TCCTGCTGATATTTTTTAGCCAATAATGAATCGAAAATAAAAATTAATACAAGTTTTTGTACAAGGTTCTGTCCTCGAGACAATCAACTTTGATGTCGTTTGTTTCTCCAATCGTGCATTTTGCAGATAGCACATAACGTCCAATGACGCCTTGAAGACGGCCTAAAGGCGCCTTAGACCTAAAATAGCCGTAAAATGGGCGTCTTCGAGGTGTCATGTGCTATCTGGGTTAATTACAACCCCTATTTTTATAGCAGCCTAATTTTTCCCTTTCTTTAAAAGATCAAGTGTGTACAGAATGACATTTAAATACTTCATGAATGCACGATTTTATCATTCTATAATAGTTAAGACAGTAATTTAAAATGATTAAATATTAGAAATAATTTAACACTTTTTCTATAGAATGAACTATACACTCAAAGGATAAAAATCCTTGTGAGTTTTAGATATATTACGTATTACAAGTTTCTATAAACAAACGAACAATTATTTTTTGAATAAAATTTATTGTATACGTCAGTCGAATGATTTTACGATTTTTGCCACAAAAATAGGCAAAAATCGTAAACTTCGGTGATCTGTATTTTTTAAACAAATTCGGGAACAGAAAAATTATGACTTCACACGTTGACTGCTACAGTGAAAAAGACCGTACGTAGCCAGACACTCTTTACTTCGTGTTTTGTCATAAATCGTCGAAAATATATTCGTTTAGTTAATAGAGGCTGTTGGTCTTGCTTTAAATTATACTGCGATAATGATTTTACGCAAAAATTTTGTAACGGTATATAAATAATCCAGCCTACTTGCAATGTTTCGTCTACGAGTTATCTCGTAGTTGGCAGTCAACGTGTTAAACCCTCTCTAATTTTATGCGTATTAAAAGATATTTCATTTTGAACAAAATCCCTGATAGCGAGTGCAAAAAGAGATCGATTTGGCGTGGAATGACCTCTATGGAAACTTGTTGTATTATACAATATTTAACATGGACTATGTCTTTCAGGGAAGGGAATCCCTCGATTAATCAAAGTATAATACATGTATTCTTTGGCGACCTTGTATCCCTTCAATACAGACGAGATGTACGCTATAGCTGGCGTCGCATATTTGGTAAGACACATTGACAGAATAAGAAGGTATTGATATAAAACTAATATAATACATACTTATTACTTTAGCGACATTTGGTGGTCTCTTCGGATTATTTGTTGGCTTTAATCTGATGTCTATCTTCGAATTTGTTTACTTTTTTGTTATTCGCATTATAACAGACGTACGTACAAAAACAAAAAATGGAAAACAGAAAACATAAACAAATTATTAGTAACAAGGTCATCCTATAGTAAAAAGATGCACATACTTTTTATTTTGTGTTTTATAAATTATATATCTATGTAAATTGTATATAACTCTTTTAGAATTAAATCCCATTCATTCTATTTAATTGTAAGTCAAACTTGTCATTGGATAAAAATATTTCTTATAAAATAGATATGAAAAAATAAATATTACTTCATAGTCAATATTGTCATGACTTCTAATAGTACGTCCAAAGATCACACTAAAACTTACAGTGTCAATATCTTAGTATTTCAGTACTTTGTATTCTGGTAACTGAAAGTCTGTTAGTAGCCTATACGGGCGTAATTCAGGTAACTGTGCAACAGAAGTTGTTCCACTTAATTTTCCTCTCTTTTGTATGACAGACTGAATTATTTTATTGGTAACTTTCATAAAAGTTGTCTTAGATCCTTCAGTTTGTAATACATTACACAGTTCTTGTATAAACCACGAACCTACACAAATGAATTTGAAATAAGAATAGTAAACATATAATTAAAGTTTCACATGTACATAATTACATAAATCACTACCTTCTTCTTTATGGCGCACAGATACAAAACCTTGCATTGTTGACATGAATATGCAGAAGTTTCTATATTGTAAAATATTTGAAGTATTGAAACTATTGCCACCATCTGTAGTTAAATTTTCCTTCACTTGCCCTGACAATAAAGTATTATGAGAAATACACTGCAACATTTATAACATGATATATAAAATTTGCCTTACCTGTTGCTTGTCCTTGACAAGCTTGTATAATAACAATTTTAATAATATCTTTTAATTCTTCACAGCAAATAGTATGCTCAATTACTTCAAGACTAATTTCTTGTTCGTCTGAACTAATAATACCTCCTATAACATGAATTACATACCTTAATAATTTCTATTCAAACTTTATTTATTTCAACATGTACATATTAAACTTTAGTTTAATGAAAGGATTCAAGAAATTTACCTTTACATCCATGCGTTAAAATGCATACAAATAGGCAGTCGTAATCAGTTCCAAATACTTTTGCGATGTCTTCCAATTGTTTAAGCATTTCATCTTTTTTTAAGTTATGAAATAATTCAATGGTAAAACCAAATCCTTTAAAGGTTTCTGATAACCTAATGCAATCTGATAAGGTTCCATATCGAGTTTCGAACTGAAAGTTTTATCTAATCTTTTGATATACTCTCTATACTATTAGGCCATTGTTGGTGCATATCACATAGAGCATGTTAAATAATAATAAATGTAAATACCATTCAGTACCTTTTGTCCCAAAAAAACCATTTGACTTATAATTATGCAAAGTCCTTTCTTTATTTTTTTCACCTCCTCTTGATCACTTGAGAATACTATATCCTCTCTCATGGAAAATGTTTCTAAATGAGAGGCACTAGCACAGTTTGCATTCTGAACATCTAAAACATTCTGATGATTATCATGCCCTTTCAGATCTTCATAAATTAATCCTAAATCATCAAATCGCTTTATATGTTTAAGCAAATTTTTTAGATTTGCTTTACCACCTAAGATAATTAAAACATGTAAAAAATGAAATATTTATTGGAAATTATGAAAAGAATTTCGTTGGAAAAACAAACCTGAGTAAACTGATATATATTTCTCTTGTATCCAATATAACATATGTAATTCAAGATAACGTATATCGTTTAAACTTTCTTCATATTTGTTTAAATCACTTTTAACATACTGCAATAATAATGTTATTTCATCTTCTGTTAGTTCTTCACATAACAAGTATAGGCACTTAGCAACCAGGTTTATGTTTCTTGAACACAGCCTATTATTAGGTAAATACAATAGTTCTAAATCACTGTATGATATTCCTAGTTTCCTTATAATTTGTCGATTTTGTATAATACATATTGCTTCCAAAATCTTATTCTTCCAATTTTCTTCATGATTATTAATAAATTCTTTAAGTACATATGTTTTATGTTCTTTATGTCTTTGCAACAAATGATAAACTTCTTGAAAACTATCAGTATAATCAGTTATCATCAAGAATAAAACAGATATCTTTTCATCAATGTCAAGATCATCTTCTATTGCTTCTAAAATGTCTTTGCTGAATTTAATTGCAGTAACACCTTGTTTTGTAGCAATATATGGTGCTGCATCACTGAACAAAACCATTATTAAAATTCTCTTCCATGGATATACGTTTAATCAAACCTGAAACAAATAATAAACAAATGCTCAAACACTTGATTTGTACAATGATCTGCGTTAATGATCTACATTTTAATGTTCAACACTAAAAAATAATTTAACAATACTTTTAAATGTGATACCCTGTCTGCACTGTGTTGTACTAAAGTATTTCATTGTAATAAAATAAAGAATGAGTACAAATTGAATAACACACACAATTATTGAAACTATAAATGTGATTTTAAAAAATAATAATCAATATTATCGAATTTCAAAAATGAAACTAAAATATGTATGTAATTACATATTTACTTATACAATAATGTATTTATACATATCATGAATATAAAACGTACACAAATTTCAATTTTCATTTATTATTTTGTTTTTATTTCTAAACTCACGAATCTAACCAGCTATGCAAATTCGATTCTTTGTAGGTATCGTAGGTGTATAGTTATACATAATGTATATACGCAGCTATGTATATATATGTAAGTACTCTGATTCATACTACATTCCACAGTCACATCAGCACTTCTTTCATTTCAACATTTAAAATGAATATATAGGTACAGCAACTTTGACGATTGTTAACGATTTGTCAATTCGTCAGAGTGCAGCATAGTGCAGAATCAAGGGTATCATCAGCTGTCATCAGCTATCATGGATGATCATAGATAACCTAGGATCCCTGAGATAACCTAATGACCTAATAGATGGATAGCAAAGAGGATAGGTTATCCTCTTTGTGGATAGTATCTTGCAAACCTTATCTAAGTATCGTAAATGTGATTTACAGTAAAAAAGTACTTTCTTCGTAACATTCAAATACTTATAGATTATAGAGAACGGATGTTTATACAAATATGGATCTTACTTTCCTAATTTATAGAAACTGGAAACAAACAGTTTGTTTATTCTATTATAAGAATTGCTTGTTTATTAAAATCTTATTAAACATTCTAGTGCTATGATATGATTGAAATTGAATACAATTAGCAGCCTACTTATGAAGTACCAACAATTCTGTGTATTCAAATTTTTTTTCTGTGCATTCAGTTTTAGCGGTTTTAAATGTGGTTCAAATACAGTCAAGATGTGCATTGAATGCATTTTATCATATTCAGAAAATGTTATTTATTCTAAGAATATATTAGCTGACGTCATATTCGCGATAAATAATTAATCTTGCACAGTTAAACGGAGTAAAAGTTTTGTTGATTCATCGATGCTGATTCAATCAGTTCAGTACTGTTCAATACCCAATTAAATTTCATATTGCAGTACGTCAAGTCTTTTTCGTGTAGGCATTCCGGGCATTTCTCCTGAACTGAATTCAATCGAAGCACCATCTAGGAAACGGTACGCGCAACAATCTTGAACGTGCCGTAGGAATTTATGCCTCGAATACGATCTGTTTCACGATTCTAGGTTCACGGCAAAATGGATGCAGGCTGGTGAAAGAAGGAGTCGTGAAAACACAAACATCTCGTTGGAAAGTTTAATAAATTGATAAAATAGTGTGCTATCCCTCTGTATTCCGTCCGTTGTGTTCCGATTATGCTACCGTATGGTAACTGATGATGTTTACGGTGTTCAATGTCGATGGAAAGCTTTACATTTTTCTCGCTTGAATATCAACGGTGACTAGTCCAAGTGCGTTCTACCAAACAGGTGCTTTTGACGTCACATCGTCGCGTTCACGCTCCTTCTATCAAAATGTGGTTATTATAAATCCTATCGACGGAGATTAAAGCTTCGGTTCGCCTGAAAAATTCGAAAGCCAACTTCGGTTCGAGTTACGAATTTCGTGGTTTAAACGTTGCGGTCCGTGTCGAAATAAAAATCATGTCTAAGAGCAAACTTCATCATCAAGTTGACAGCAGTATTGTCGCCGTGAAAAGCAAAGTAAGCTACTTTCTAATAACTCTAATATTTCTACGTTACGACCGTATCGTCATATGAAGACGAACCACATAGTTATATTTCTATTCCTTTCCTGATTCAATGCCTCCTACTATAAATAATTTCTATTATATTCCCTACAGTTTGATGCTGATATTATACGATTTTCAATCAATCGTAATGAAGCAATTAGTTATGATAACTTTAAAAAATTATTGGCCGAGCGACATGATATAGGTCCAGATTTCTGCTTTTTGATTTGGTATACGGATCCAACTGATGGTGATCTTTTACCCATTAATAATGACAACAATTTGGCAAGAGCATTATTAGCTGCAAAACCACTTCTAAGAATTTTAATACAAAGGAAGGGTAAGATATTAAATGTTATCTGTATGTACCAATAATTAAACATTATTTTTAAATTAATAAGTGATATATTTTGGTACAAAAGTATAATTACTACAGTTGTCTTTGTATTTTCTGATATTACTTTGATATTTAAAAATGTTAGGATATTTGCACTTCGACATATAAAATTCAGTTATCTTATATGATAGGGGATGGATTAGAAGACATAAATGGATATGGGACAATGAAACCAAAAAATTTAATCTCGAGTATTCTTGGTGGCACACCTGGAAAACCAAAATCATTGGCTATATCTAATCCACATGATTTCAGGCAGGTATGTCTTGTTTATGTAACTGCACTATGTAAATTTATATGTACAATATACTGTGTGTCCCACATAAGTATCACCAAGAAATTTCAGGATTTTCCTTCAACTTTACAAAAATTATGTCAGATAAAAGTTAAGTATATTTAAGTGTGCATAGCTTTCATAAATCAAAGTTTCTTTATCAGCATTTTTTGAATATACCTTTTGTTTTGCAAATGAAACTAAGATTTTTTAAATATTTTCTATTAGAACGAATCATAACAAATCTAACACTTATACATATGTTACAAAAGACTCAAATAAGGTATAAGACTTTAACAGAAATCGCGATATATTAAGGTGATTTGTCATAATTCGTTTTAATAAAACATGTTTTGAAAATGCTATAGTCTTATTTGAAAAGCCAAAGGTAACATTCATATTTCGGAAAAAAACTATTAGATAAAGAAATTCTGATGTACGTAAGTACATCAGAATACTTAAATATAGTTCGATGTTTGTCTAACAATTTTTTGTAATGTCCAAGGGAAGACCTAAAATTTTGTGGCAACATTTACCTGGGATACCCTGTACATTCACTATTTAAATTTTATTCAACGCTTCTAGGTATCAGCAATAATTGATGTAGATATATTACCAGAAACGTGCCGTCGTGTACGTTTGTTAAAGCATGGTTCTGATAAGCCATTAGGATTTTACATTAAGGATGGAGAAAGTTTTCGAATATTGCCACCTTCCGCAGGTGGTGGTATTGAAAAGGTTCCTGGTGTATTTATCAGCAGATTGGTACCAGGTGGTTTAGCTGAAAGTACAGGTCTTTTAGCAGTGAATGACGAAGTGCTCGAAGTAAATGGCATAGAGGTCGCTGGAAAAACTCTCGATCAGGTCCGTGTCGCTGTTGTTTTGTTTCTTTATTCTAAACTTGGTTTAATCGAATTAATAATATATGTACTACTTATACAATTTTAATGTATATACTTATTACAACAGGTTACAGACATGATGATTGCCAATTCTTCAAATCTAATAATCACAGTGAAACCTGCGAATCAACGGGCAGCGTTAACTGCTCCGAGGCGTGGATCATTTTCACGGAATAGTCAATTGTCTTCTGGAAGTCATCAATCCACGCAAAGTGCTGCTACTGGTAGCGACGAAGATGCAGACGAAATTGTAGATTTAACTGGTGTAACATTGCAAGAGGATGCGACCACTTCTACTTCTCAGCATCACCACTACCACCACCACCACCATCATCATCAAAATCATTTTAACCATGATCAAGGTGTTCTACATTTATAAATGGCATGTAATGCAAAAATTCAATTTGTACTTATGCCATGCTCAATTGAATACAATTGGATGTTCATCCGTAATGGGAAAGTATTTATAAGTAAGTGAAAGAATATAACATGACAATAAGAAGCTGAAATGGAGAGCATTATTGAAACATGCTATTATCATTTTAATAATGTTGTTTATTATGACAGAAATCTGTAGATGGCAGTACAGTTTGTGTCAAAGCTATATATCAACAAAAGATTTGTAATCAGTGCCTTTTAGTAGAATTATATTGAAATCATTGTTTAGCAGAAAGCATTAATCTTAGTCTGGTAACATTCTTTTACAATTGAAAACAGTTTGAAAAGAATTGGTAAATGCATTGAAATTGCTTCATACATTAAATACTTTTAATAATATAGAGAGAAAAAGGAATTAGTAATTTTTTTCTAAATATCGAAATTGTTAGCATTTGTAACCTGTATTTGTTCATTTTATTTTATTATTTTCATAGATAAATATTAATATTAGACACAGAAAGTATTAAGATATCGAATTTGCAACACACAAAGATATGTATTATTACAGAAACTTAAAAAACAAAACAGATACAATTAAGAATAAATGATATACTTAAAATTAAGGGACATTAATACTTTGTTATATATTGTTCACATAATGTTTTCTTTTAATTTGGAAAAGAAGGCTTTTAACGTAGAAATTTTATTTCAATTTTTTTTATGTGAACTACTTAAGCAAAGTATACATATATATCTCGACCATTAAAAAGATAGTGATATGAATACTGACTGTGTATAAAAGTATTATTGGAAGACAGCAATGTTTTTAAAGTATTAAAATATTTTTTAGTACTTAACGTTCGAAACCTAAAAGTGTACTTAAATAAGAATGGAATGAACTATGAAAGAAGATAAGATTGCAAGGACTTCCTATTTTTTCAAGATCATGTTTTACAGTTATTAATTGATACTTAAATTGAAGCATGATTTGTAATTACATACATTCATTAGGAAGTTATTCATCATTTCGTAGCATATTCATTTTTCTTTTTATCGATTTTGATGAATTTTTCGTGTATATAATGCAGATAATGAACTTCAGTAACTTAATTTATCATTATAAGTAGAGATCTTTGTTCAATAATGGAAATGTATATAATAATGACAACCTAAGATGGTGGAATACTAATATCAATATTTCATTCCTAAACAAACATAAGAATAAAAAAAACTACTCGAGTGGCCTTATGTGTAGATCATTCCAAATATGTTTTTGCGAAGTTGCAAAATAGAGACTATTCTATTATAATGCATTCAAACACGTCTATTCGTGTGTGTATTCTGTTTATTCCACTGCATGTTTAGAGTGTTGAAGTTTTTGAATTTTAATTCCATTTTTATAAATGTTATTTGTTGTCTAATTGAGCACTAGATATTGAAGTATAATGTACTTTACAAATTTTAGGTGTAAGTGAAATTTTTTAAAATAGGAAACATATTTATGTACATGTAAAATATCTTTATATAATTGTGCCTTCATTGTTCCGTCTATAACTATAAAACTGGATTGTGATAAATTATATCGCATTCCATCCACATAGTATTTTTGTAGTGCAAAGGAAATACAACCGTATCTCGCTAATATGTATTATTATCTTAAAAACGAAGTGTATAGAGCCTCATTAAGCTACACATATTTTTCCTTTATTAATCTGATAAGGATATATATGTACAGAAAAAAGAAAGATATAAAAATCTTGGTAATACAATTATAAATTGACTTCCACCACAAAATATTTTAGTTGCTAAATTAGAAACGTGTGTTTCTATGTTTACTGCAACTACTATCAGAGTAATGGGTTCTATTCAATACTGATTACTGCAAATACTAGGAAAGTACATGCAAAAAAATGAAATGAAATATTTTGTAACAGTTATATTTAGCTCATAAAACTTCATGTATGAAACCAACGGTACATAGAAAATAGCATTTTACAATGTTACATAATGAATTAGCAGTCATAAGTAGAAAATTATGATTATTTGATTAGGAAAAATAGGTATATACTTGATTTCTATAAATGGGTAGCATTTTGTACTTAAATAAAGTATATACATAATAGTAAATAAATTTGTTATATCTGTGAGTTCTTAATTGAAATACAGTCACTCCGATATAATTTCTATATCTTGTCTTATATAATTCATGGCATATTAAGAGGTTTACATCATTTGTATTTTGTAATGTCGGTAAAGGCCGAAAAATTACAGAACATACTACTTATTTGTAATAGTATAACTTCTTTTAATGGCAGCTTATAAAATAAACTATTTTATTGTATAAATACATGAACTTTATTGATCACCTTTTGTGTTACGTATTCATAATATTAATCATTGTTTTCTGGTGGTTACTATGGAATATAAACAGAAACGATTAAATGAGTAATATGATTTGCTATGTAAATTATGTTTTTAATGAGAAAATTTTAAACTGTTCCAGTTATATTCATAGTAGTAATAATAATACATGTATTAACTGGATAGAATCGCATAAAAGTACGATCAAACATGTCTTATGCGGAACATGGTCCCCGAATTTTCTTAGCTGGTAGACCTAATACCGGAATGCCTTTGACATATGGTGACTATGTTTTGCCCCGAAAAAGATTGGAGGGTCGTTTAAAATTACATGATTCTTGTTCAGATATTAGAGCCTGGAGTCCTAATTCTTTGGAGAATTCACGCTACATTCGTGAACTTAGCGAACATGATTCATCAGTATGTACTTAAATCAAATACATAATATACAGATTGTATAAAAACTATGGTATAATTTATTCTCCCAGATTGGAAAAATAATACCAGTCAATGTAGTTGTTGATAACATAATTCGACTCAATTCGCATAGAGAAACTGAACTCCAAACAGTCAAAACGGAACTGCAAAAGTACAAAAATCTTAAACTTACTCCTAAACAAGAAGAACAATTACAAAATCTCGTGAGTTTTGTTTTAAACATATTTAAGTATTTTTATAGCCCTTTAATACTTGTATACTTCTTGTAGGATTACAATCACAAGTTGAAGGAATCAGAACAAAGTAACCATGCAATGGAGTCTGTTAATATTAGCAAATCAGTCCCTATTGTTAATTCAAATTCGTGTTTATCGATTCATTTGCCCACTGAAAAACATTACCGAAATACAGATGGGTTGACCATTGCAAATCAATTCTTTCAATTGTGCCCTTACGCTTTAAATGACTATGTACAATTTAGGTCTGTCCCTAAAGCATTGCCTACTGGAGGTATAGTAGAAGATTATTTGTAATCTTTCCATAATTTTGTGATGATTTCAATTCAAAATTGGTTTCCAATTTCTCAGATTACATTGAAAGGATGCCAAGCTGGGTAGAATATATCGATATAGCTTTACAGGTAGAGACTACAATACCCATTGATTATCTGGTATTACGGTTGATACAAAATATTCAGATAAATATTTTCTTACAGACGGAACAAGAAACACGTGATATAGGAGTACAGTTTGATGGTCAAGTTGACAGATGTTTAAATAAAATTACAACTATATCTGTATGAATATGCTTGTAACATTTACTAGTTGAACAATGTATTTATCTGAATATTATTATGTAGGCAATGTCACAAACGTCATTCATATATAAATCTAGCGAGGAGGATAACAGTGTAATAGAACTTGATAAAATCAGTTTTCAAACAAATAATCGTGAAGAAGAAACTTCTGAATGCGATGCATCGTGTAGTGAAAGTACTCGAGATATTGGAACTCTATCAGAATCTGGTAGTGAAATTGGAACAGAATCTGATTTTGATATAAATAACAGCACTCATAAGGGGATTATTATTCAAAAAGATTCTGAGATTATAGTTTTGAAGAATGAACTTGGTGTATGTATCCTTACAATTATTTCCATATATTTAATATACAATAATGTCTTCATGAGTGCGACATACTCTCATGAATTTGTTTTTTGCCTGAAGCTAAGCCTTTGTTTAGTTTCTGTTTACTTTGTTTTGATGGGTTCCAAAGGGGGACTCCCCCCAGTAATGGAAATAACGCCGTTGCTCGTGTCGCATTCATCGAGAAAACACTGTATATCTTAATATATTTTGGTTGAAGGTAAGGGATGCTGAATTAGATGAAGTACACGAGTTGAATAAAAATTTGGAAATTTTATTAAAAGAAAAGCAAGATTGTATAAATACTCAACAAGAGAATCTCAAAGCAAGTATATAAGATACTATTTTTAAAGCTACTTCCAAACAGCTACATTGTATGAAAGTATTACTGGTAATTAATGTATAACTAATTAATACAGATATTACATGATAAGTTAAGGAAGCTGGAATATGACCGCAATTGTGAAATAGAGGATTTGAAATCGAAGGTAATATACACTTTATACGCAACCCAAGGCTACCCTAATTTTTCTGACTCGTTCTAACATTTATTTTCTTTGTAGTTACATGGTTCTAAATATTTAGTCAGCCAACTTAAACAGGATTTAACTAAAAAGTGTGAAAGTTGTTACGTACAGTCACAAGAAATTGAAAACCTCAAATTATGTGCTAAAGAAGTGTCAGTGCTAAAATCAGAACAAGATTTACTTTTAGTTAGTGACTGCTTGCTTGTACTTTGTATTTACTCTTAGAGAACGAAAACCAATTTGCTGTGTTTATATTGTAGAAAAAGCTACAAAAAATGAATGAACTAGCTGAAAAAGCTGAAAATTGTGACTTCGCTTTAGATCAATTAAAACAAGTTTCACAGGAAAAAGACAAACTTAAGAAACAAAATCATGAACAAAGTTGCATGTTAGCAGATCAGGAAGAGGAAATAAAGCGATTATTAACACTGATAAGAGAGACAACAGTTACTTATCAGGAACAGGTATATTTATTTTGAAGTATTTGTCAACATAGTAAATATTTCATTATTGAACAATTACTCTATTTTGTAATAATTAGGAAAAAACAAATTGCATGTTGAAGAATTTAAAAACTGAAATTCATGAGAAAACTATTAAGATTTCTCAGTATGAACAGGAGTTAATTTCATTGAAACGAGAAATTGGTGATTTTGTAAATAATTTGAAGCATGCTTTGAACAATTTAGTGGAATTCAATGGCTTACATGAAGATATTTGTAATTGTGCAAATTGCGACTTAGACATTACCGAAGAAGCCAATAATTTACTATATAATATAAACTTTATTTGAGTGAAAATTTGAAAAATATGATTTCAGATGTTTTGAATTGCGAATCTGATACAGATCCAAAGAACACAAGTAAAATTCTAATTCCTGCCCTATTTATAACAGTCATTCAATAGAATATTAATTAAAATTAATTAATACTTGCTTTATTTAGATGGAAAGGATAGTATAATTGTATTAAATGTAAGACAAAATAAGTACAATCCAAGTGAAATAGAATTTGAAAATATCTCCAACTCTGTTCACAGTGAACAATCATTCAATGGAATCGCTGATAACGTAATTTTTTACAAATTTGGCATTTGGATTAATAAAATTACCTATATTTTTTACTGTAAAAGAAGTAACTGTATTCTGGTTTTTACATTAGGAATACCATAACTACATCGTCAAATTGGACAGAAAAAATAATATAAATGAAATAGATAAGGAATTACTTGAATATTTTTCACATTTAATGATCAAATTACAAGCCCTTACTCAAAAGTTGCAAGTATACCTTGAGGTTGAACGACCCCAGATGATTAAACAAATATACAACTTTTACGAAGTGCTTAAAGACACGGAATCAGCTATTAATGAGTCCCAAGGTGTTACTAATTTGTATTTTTATAAAATGTTTATTAATATACATTGTATTATTCTTTTTTTTTTTTAGATTTATCCTTGAGAAAACAACGAATTTCTGAATTATACGATCTATATAATGAGAAGTATAAGAATTACGAAACGTATGTTAAACAGTTACCTAATGATTTCTCCCAAATACAAGTTAAGATAATCGAATTCATTAAGACAATTCTACATCAATTGCTGAATGCAATATTGTATGTAGAGAAGAAGAATTCGTTTGACAAACAGATCAATCAAGCTTTTGAAATACACCTTAGATCTTGCATTGATAGAATAAGTACAGCTCTTCAAGGTATAAATTTTCCATATTTTTATTTTGCTATATTTAGGTTTCTCCTTTCATACATTTCTACCTTTATATTTACTTTCTATCTTACAAAGAGTGTGGATGATCTTAAAATACTATAACGACATATGAAAATAATTTCTTTCTTTGGTCAATATTACTGAAATAATGGTTGGAAATATTATTAACAAGGTGCTGGAGACCGACGTATACAAATAATTGAAGAAATAGAAAAACAACAACAAGAGCTACAGAAGAAAGATGTAGAAATTACTCAATTGAAGGAAGAAGTAGAAAAACAGTTATTAAGAAGAGGAGAAGGTGATGGTCTATATTCAGAAGAAAGTATTGCTGCACTTAAAGAACAATTAACAAAATTAGCGACGGAACTTAATGTAAAAGATAAGTTTATACTCAACTTGAGGGAACAACAGGAGGTACTTAGAACTGAATTATTCAAATGTAATAAAGACTCTAACGTGCTGAAAATGCAGAACAAGAATCTTGATAATATTAGAGACAAATTACTGAAGGAATGTGAACAGTATAAGGAAGAACTGGAAATAAAAAATAAAGATGTAATAAATTTGACGCAGCAGCTTCATAATATATTTGAAATTAAAAATTTGGATACTGAGGAAAAGATCAAAGAAATGGAAAAGGAGTAATACATTTTTTATTCTTAATTATTTTTAATACTATTTTAAATTGGTTTAGAACAAATTATTGTTACAGGTTGCTGGACTTACAATTTGAAAACAATGACTTAAAAAATAAAATTATGCAAGAAAATAAGATAATTTCTAAGAAAGATGACACTATAATACAGTTAAAAAATCAGGTTGAGAGAAACGAACATATCTTGTCGTTTAAAATTGCAGAACATAAAAATGAAATGGAAGAAAAATATCATGAAATTGGAAACTTGAAAGATGAAAACACTTTATTGAATAAAAAATTAAAAAATGCCGAAAACAGACTATCAGAAATGAACCAGACGATTTTATCTTTAACCGAGCAAAACGATAAAATTGATGTGATATATTTGTTACAAGAAGATCTTGTAAAGTTAGACAAAAGTGAGAAAAAATTGAAGACTGAGTTAAACAATTTAAAAATGCAACTTACAAACGACCAAAATAAAGTTAAAAAACTAGATAATAGCTTAAATGAATTCGAACGCGAAAATGAAAATTTGAAAAAGAATGTAGAATACTGGAGAAGTGAAAATTCCGTATTGTCGCTTAAGCTCTCTACTGAAGAATCCGAAGAAAAATTAAGAAGCAAATTATACACTCTCTCCAGTACAATACATGAAAGACTATTAAATTTTAATAAAAAAATCAATTTAGAAAAACATGCATCAAACGAGCAGTCTGATGACAGCCTGAAATCCAAATATTTAGTTAATGAAAGAACTTGTTATATAATATTTTCTTTTTCTTACTAATTATTAATGTATTCGTTTTTGTTCATAGATATATCAAAATTTAACGGAAGAATGGAAATCAAGGGGGAATCAAAAAAGAGAAATAAAAGAAAACGAGGTAGAAAATGCTCAGAACCAGCAACTAATAAACAGTACAAATATAAAGTATTCTTCCGATGATAGTTTAAATATACGATACAATACGAATCACCTAAAAAATGGAGATATAGAAAATCAGAATGAAACAAAAAATCTTCGAAATGATATGGAAATTAAAGATTCAGAAATGAGGAATCTTGAAGATGCAATAAGCCGTTTAACACAAGAAAACGATGATCTACGTGTTCATATTAAAGTAGCTGTTATTTAATTCTATTTAAGAATTTGATTGTATGATATATATATATATATATATACCTATTTTAATTTAATAATATTATATAGTTTCAAATACAGGAATATCAAGATAAGTTAACATTAATGAAAAAGAATTATGACAGCAGTTTGAATGCACTTTGTAAAAGACACAAAGAAAGTGTTGGTACCTTACAAAAACGATTTGAAGATATAATAAAGGGTGAAAGGACATTTGATTCAGAAAATTGGTTACAAGTATGTAAACATATATTTTTATATGATCAATTATGATGATAATTGATAAATAAAAATCGTATGCTTTCAGTCGTTGGATATTAAGAAATTAACAGAACTTTATGAACGAATAACTATGGTTATAAATAACAACTCAAGTTTCATTCATATGAAGAATGAAAATCAACGTTTTTACGAAAATGATATGCAGAAGGAATTTTATAAGGATCTTAACGAAACAGAAAAAACTATACATAAAAATATATGCGAGAAAGGTAAATAATACGATATTTTTAAATTGCATTATATTTCTACATAAATTCACATCAATTTCTTTTTAAAAGATGTGTCAAATAAAATGGCCTCGTCAATTTTAAGAGAACAAAATACTTCGTACTTACAAAATCAGTGGCAATTTATTATTTCAAGTCAAACTCAGAAATATCCAATACAAACAGAAGACTACAAATTAAATCTACAACAAGATTTTGGGTAATATATCAATGTCACTTCTTTGCCTAAAGACTAGACTTTAGAGTAAATTAACATTTCAGGCTTTTTGATGATAGAAAATTACCACGGTTAGAAAACAAACATGAAAAAGAAAAAGAAGCAGTCAAAAATAATACAGTAGGTTGAATTTTTTTTTAAATTCTAATTCACTTTGGAATAATATGATCATATAATTTTATTTGCAGCTTGATCAACAGAGATGGAGTTTTATTAATCAGTGTAGTGCATATCACAAAATGAGCAATGCTGTTCAAGATCCGTTCATATAGATTGAATTTATTAAACAAAACATTGTTTCTTACAGAATTCGTTAATGCTCTTCAAAAAAATTGTTTGCTATTTTACGTAGACTCGACAAAGTGCAATCTATTTGTATTGTTTTGTATTGAATTTATACTTTTGATACTACATATATTCCATTATAATTCACGTAATTAAAGTATTTTTAAAGATAAGGCCTACGTTATTAATTTCTAATAAAAATGGTGAAGACTCGCAATTTCTTAAATGAAAGTTCAATTTATTGTAAGAATAATTTTCAAATATAAAATGTTATAAATAGAATTACATAAACAATAGTGAAAGTGTAGAAATAAAATTTCGTGAAAATTGAAATAAAACAAATTTTGTTTTACAATAAAATTAACTTATAATAGTATTGCTATTGAACTTATTCATATCAATTAAACCCCGCATAGCGGTGCCTGAATCCATATGAACCCGACTTTTTAAAAGCTCCATCTAACTCATCAACCTATAAATCGTATTTATGGTAGGAGTTGGTCATGTTAAATAAAATAAAAAAGCAGGTCAAAATAATGTTTAAAAAGTAGAAACTATTAGGAGTCCAAATGAATTCAAATATGAATACTGCTGTTGTACGAACATTAAAAACGTCCGCATTATGGCAGTGAAATTATAATATACAAAATTTATTTAACATCTATATGTATTAGAAATTTATATATTAAGCAATAACCATTTCTTCTTTTAAAACAGATGCGAGTTCGGATTCTGAGTCAATGCACAGCAAGCTGACAACTTTATCACAATTTGTTACAAAATCATAGGCGCTTGTATATGACAAGACCTCGTTTTTTAATTCTTTCAATTTTATTATACCATTTGTAGGGTTCAAATTTTTGCCAATTATTTCTGAAATAATTTATGCGTAAGTATAGAATACAGTAATGCTTATAAATATTACGAATATATACTCACTTGATCTTATCTCTCATTAAACGATATATTTCAAATTGATATTCTCCCTGAGCCCCAAAAAGACTAGGATCAGATGCAAGATCATTAAATACACTGCATCCTTGATACGTTACTCTTGAAAGTGTGAAATCTATAATAGATACCTATGGCATAAAATTTCATATTTCAATCCGTGTAACAAGAATTCCTGATTTTACTATTAATCGAAAATAGTTCGCGTTATCAACATACCTTTACACCTTTACTAAGTAATTGAATTTGTTTTTGTCCTAGCTTATAATATACATGAGATTCAGTCGTTGGGGATATTAAAATATTACCCCAATGCAAGTCTCTGTGTTCAAATTGAACAGCTTCTTCTGCAATTGCCAATGCTAATGCCGCCTATCAGAAATAATTAAATATAATTGGTAATACCTGCATACTTTAAACTAAATGAAATTAATTTTTAAAAAATGTTCAAAACCTGTATGAACAATACATGTGCTTCTTCTGCTGTAGGAAATACAAATGCTTCCAAATCTTGACCACTATGGCCAAGTTCTAGTATAATATATAATTGATTCTCATTAAACATCGATGGACAATCATTTTCAGAGTGTTTCTCTTCGTCGTAAGTATTCCAAAGATCCACTAATGTTTTGGGATACTTTCCTTTAAGGCATTTAATATTTTTTACTTCTACAAATCCATCAGTATTATATTTTGTATTATATCGTAGATTGTGTAATTCCCTGAAAGTATATCCAGTTAATGCCATAGTTAATATCATCGTGCATTAGAACTGTACTGTATAGTTACTTTGCTATAACGATTTCTGATAATATTTCATGAAACTTCTTTTGTGGTTCCCCGTTTACACATTCGTCCCCTTCTATTGGAATAATTTTTATAACAGACTTTTTATCATCATGTTCATAAAGAAAAACTTCACCATAGACGCCTTCTCCGATTTTTCGACAATGATCTAGATACCTAATTAGATACAATTATATTATCATCTCTCAAAGAAATCCTGTAACGTTTGTGTATACGTCTACTCACGAATCTGAAAAATACGTAGAAAACGGTATGTAATCTTGTTGTAAACATCTTGCAAGAATAACTTCTTTTGCTGTTAAATCTACATGTTCGTTGATAATGTGGCCATCATTGTCATAGTTTGTAATATTGCACACAGAAGATTTTCGTGGATCTGCAAAATATATGTATGTAATAATAGTAAAATTAACATATCCCATGTATAATGGGATGAAATAAAAAGTTAACTCACCACTTATTAATGTGAATCTTTGACTCTTGATAGGAAAGATTCCATAAACTTCCAGAAATTGAGTATCTTCTATTGATTTAACAGTTTTATTAATTGGAACGACACGAACAGATATTCTTCTGGTAAAACGTCCTAAACTGGCAGATTCGCCAGTTCTACCTTTCGTATTAGTAAGCTCATGTTCAGAGTTAATAACTGTTTCACTACTTGCTTGTACATCTGCGTTACTTGCAGTCTTTTTTACACAACTTTGGAAAATACCTTTGCACGTAAAAACTTTCAATCAATTATCCTTTTAAAGATCAATGTTTTTTATTTGTTTACACTTTGATTATGAAACCTACCCATTTACATACACATTTTTCCCATTTTTTTAAATAAAAATATATACTTGTTATAAAATATTTGTTCCAAAACAGTATACATAAGAAATAAAGTATAAGCACATATATGCTTCAATATGAAAAATATTGAAATATTAATGTTTCAGGTTAAAAATTATAAAACAGAATTTTGTTTTGTCAAATATAAAACTAAAAGACATTCAAATGTTTTTATATATGTATTATATTCAAACATTTTTAATATTGTAGGAAATTTAATGTAATAAATTCTTCATGAACATCATACATTGAATCATGATAAAAGAATCTAAGAGATATGTTTTTATTCATTTTATAGTTACCTTGTTTTTGCATATTTAAAATGTCTACAACACTGTGTCTCCACTGTTTGCCTTTGCCAATAGATAATTTATCCAAATTAAATTCATTTTGAATATTGCTCAATATTGATAATGACCTTGCCCAAGATTTACCTGGCTTTAAATATATAGGTTTCTCTATTTTCATTGACACATCACTAATAGGTGTTTTTGGTACATTTTCTAATGCTCGTAATGTTTTCCTAGAGAACCTTTTTCTTTTAGTGTCATTTTCTGTAATTATGCTGATTTCCTTTCTCTTAATACTATTATTACAACTTTCTGAAATATTAGATAAGTCAAATTCCCATTTACAATATTGTTTCCTTTTTCTTGTAATTCTAAAAGGATCTTGTAATTGTGTCAAGACTATGCAAGGTACAATTCCATTGCAACTGTTGTCACTAATTACAATAGTATTATTTCCATTTAATCTGTCATCTTTACTAAGTAGATTTGTAGTGTCTAAAATCACACTTGTGTTATTACTTTTAAAGTCTATAACATTATTTTCATTAGTGTCACCAAATAGGGAGTGTGATCTATCTAAGTCAATAGAAAAGTTTAGGTGTTTTTTTTGTAATATACTTGATGGTGTATGTTCTTTTGTTAATGAAGAAGGTACATCTTCAATGTCTTCCTCTTCTATCTCAATCCCTGAAACATCTTTCACTACCTCAAAATATTCTTTAGATATTTCTTGTGTTATGTGACTTTGATCGCTATTACTAATACAAATAGACGTAATTGACGATTTTCGTTCTCCGTTCGATATATGCTTTTTCAATGCATGAAAGTCTTCGCATGCATCTGCATTTACTTCAATAATTCCTGAAGTAATTAAATTTATATTAGTTGCTCTAATCAGATCATTCTCTTTACACTTTACAGAATCATCCAATTCTTCCAGACATGTAATAGGAATTGGTGACAAAGCAATTATATGAGAAGGTCGTATTCGGCTACCAATAGGAGTACTACTGATTAGATTTCCACATTTGTTACTAGCATGTAATCGCTTCATAAATAATGTTTCTAATTTCTCCAGTCTTACAAAGCAATCTTTTACAATTACGTTATTACATTTAAAATTGTTTATACTCCTCTTAGTAATTTTATTACAATTCAATGAGTTATGTTTTTCTGATATACTTTCTTGTGTTGCTTTTGTCAATTTTTCAATATTATCCAGTTTATTCTTCCACTCCAATACATTGGTTTTATCCAACTCTACAAAACAAGGCTTTATTTTGAAATTGTCAATAGAATTTGTAATTCCCTGTTTTCCATTAGAACCTTCTTTTGATGCTTCTGCATCATCATTGAGATGATTTTCAAACTTGGAATTCAAATGCGATACATTAGTATTTGAATTACTATGTATTGTTTTTTTATTTTTCTTTGCTGTGTATAAGTTCTCTTTATGGACATTATTCTCCTTCACCTAGTCATTAAAACATTAATATTAATCACTTTTTTCACTTAAAAACATGATCTCTACATTCATTGTAGTTCCCATGAAATCAAATGTTTGAAGTTTAAAGCCTTGGTAACACCATTGATTACTTAATTGTAATTTACTCGAATAAAACTTACATTATATTTATCTTTATTCCCAGTTAATACAGTGTTTCTCTGAATTGTTTTCTTTTTAACTTGCATCTTTGTTTTTCTGGCCCTCTTTTTCTTGGAAACAAGTTTTGTACTAGCCTCAGATATCTCAACATGATCATATGATAAATGTTTATTGTCAATTAACTTAGATGCAACTATACTTGAATTGGAATATATTTCTTTACGATTTTGCCATGTATTGATATTATACTTTTCAGATGGTTGTTTTGCACCTCTACAGAAAGAAAAAAGTTAACAATTAAATTGAACAAGAATAAAGTAATAATAAAATATTATATATACATATATACCTTGTATTATTAAGAAGTTTGTCAAATGTAGTTTCAAACGGATCATAAAATATTGAATTGTCACCACCAATCTTCTCATCTATTGAATTTAATTCTCTTAAGGGAGCCGCATTGATAATATTGTTTATAACAGGAAGACGTAATTTGTCTAATGAAATCGTAACGTCTTTATATTTTTTCTTCGTGTAAGTTCGAATCGGCTTTCTAAAATTCATTCTAGATTCTTCTTCACAGTACCTAATAAAACTTGTTTTATTGCTATCTTTTTATGACAAAACAAATTCTATATTTATACATAAAACCAAATATATTAGAAAATGTTTTAAATACAAAACCAGAGAGGAAATTGGATGTAATAAGAATGCATGAGAATGCTCACGCCCGAGAATTCGTTATCCCTGGATACGTGTGCTGCACCAAGCGGCCAATTCTGACAAAATTTGAAAGTTACAGAATAATATCACAGACGAGATAGAGTAAATTAGAGACCCTATAATAAGAAACTGTATACCGGGCCATTAGCCGCCATGAATTTGCTAAATTCTACGAGAGAGAAAGAAATATATATTTTTTCAGTCGTATCCTATAGCACAGATGAGGCCAGACGAGGTATAGAAATAGACATTTCATCCAGTTTATCTTTTCGGCCCACTTTTAGAAGAAAAAAGGGAATAGAAATCGGAATATAACTACAAGACAATTTATTCTAAATGCATCGTTAATGGATATTTTATTAATGTTACTTTTTACATGTTCTTGTTTTATTCGTTTTTATATCTTGCCTTACATTTGTATATTTGTAACAGATAAATTTAGAATAGATGTAGTTTCATAAATAGTTTATCACATCTATTTTTTGGCCGGCGGCTTACAATTTCCCTTGCGGGAATGCCTTACCGTAATGAGCCATCTCGTAGCCGTGGGATTCCGGGAATCGGGTGACGTCACGGAGTGCGAGCGTGAGCGGTAAACAGTCATTTCATGTTTCTCAAATATTATGTAGCATTATATTAAAGGAATAAAAAATGCACCGATTCCTTGTTTGTCCTTTTGCAAGCACTTAGAATGAGTATTATTAAACGAATACAGCGAATGATTATCAGATTTCATGATTATAGTGTTCTGAATACATTGGCAATGTATGCGAACAGATCACGATCATCACGATATCCGCTTCCAGACTGCATTTACTTGTCGCTCACATGTGTCGGTTGTGTGCTGAACATATTTTCATCTATTTATTGTGAATATTTATTAACTTATTAGTGAAAATGAGTATTTCAACGAACGAAGGCAATCCGAATACATTAAAACTGATAGTCGCAGCTAAAATGGCTCAACAATCCGTTACCGTGAAAACGGTACAACCGAATGGTAAGTAATCTAACCTCTTTATTTCAAATCCAATTCTCAGCCATATGATGAAATATCAGGTATTTGTTTCACCTGGTATGATGTGACGCGTGGATATGTAATATTAATTTTTTGAATGAAAGTTTTTGTTATGATTGTGTACATTTCTACTTACGTTTACTATTATTTATTATTCATGTGTCTTGAGTTACATATGTCACATTTCGCTATTATCTTAACATTGGAAATAAATTGATAAAATAATACATTACTGTCTTGAAAATTCATTTAATATTTTAGATAATTTGTTTCAGTTTATTGGATGATTGTTAAGATTCTATTGCTTTCCAGTGGAACTTATTATTAGCTTCGGACATTTCTTCTGTTTATAAAAGTTATTTTCTTGTTTAATATTCTTGACATTATTTCAATATGCAACAGTTATAGCAAATATGAAATGAGTTTTTGCATTCTGTGTTTAGTGAGTCTTTTGGGCCGTTTACCTACTATTGAATTATCTAATGGATCAGTACTATTTAGCACTAGTGCAGCAATGCAGCTCATATTACCTCCATCTGAAGAATTTAAGGATGTAAATAATAAGTGGTTAGAGTGGGATATTTCTCAGTTACAGGTATATCAAAAACTAGTAATATAGATTAAAGTATAATACCAAAATTAATGATAATGTTCGTAGTAAATATATAAATAAATTTAATATTATATCTATTATGTATTTTATAGCCAGCTATAGTTTGCTATGGTAACACAGGAACTACAAATAAATCTTGTTTATGGCCATTGTTAAAAGAATTAAATAGTGCACTAAAAAACAGGAAGTACTTAATCAAGGTATTAAAATTACTTTTATTTTCTTACTATAATGTATTAACATTATTATAGCACTAAAATTTAATTAATGATATTTCAGGATAAGAATGATTTATCCTTGGCAGATGTATGCATTTGGGTAACTATATGGTCTACTGTATTAGTTACAGATGTTGGACAGAAACTATGTAAAGAGTATTCTTCAATTAAAGATTGGTTATTAAATATTGAATTACTTCCAGTTATTCAAGTATGAAATGTTTTTAATTATTACCCAAACATTTTGTGTACATAGTATTATAATTTATGTCAAAATGTATTCGTTTAGGACTCCCTTAAAGAATACAATTTTGAACGAGGTATCAAGGCAATTCTTAATATTCAAGCTGCATCTTGGTTTCCTGTTAATACTGTCATGAATTCACGATCCTCTAAACCAGTTCTAAGTGATGTAAGTTTTTTATGACATATCTATTGATGCAACATTACACATAGGGACTTTATTAAAATTTTAAACTTATTAATTTCAGATTAGTCCAACTAAGGAAAAAGAAAAGGAAGTTGAAGCAGTTAGCCAAGAAGAAATGCAGAATATTGCTAGTAATTGGTCTTCTAAGTCATATCCAGCCGTAAAGAATTTTCCTTATCCCGTGTAAGGTTTGATGTACATAAATATCAATATATTTAAAAGAGAACAATAAGTACAATGTCAATGGAAATATATTGTCTTCAGATTACCAAAGAAGGGTGAGAAAAATATTCTAATAACATCTGCATTGCCCTATGTCAACAATGTTCCTCATTTAGGAAATATTATTGGTTGTGTACTTTCTGCTGATATCTTTGCCAGGTTTGTCATATAACATATGTTTTGACATTACGTTAATACAGAGATATTTTAATTTATTTATTTTGGTTACAGGTATTGTAGGCAAAGGAATTATAATACCCTTTTTATTAGGTATGTACCTTTTCCATAATATCTGTAAAATTGCTATCTTTATACTATATAATTATCGAATATAAAAGAATTGACTGAACATTACAGTGGAACTGATGAATATGGTACTGCTACAGAGGCCAAAGCTATAGAGGAGAAAACAACACCGCAAGCGATATGTGACAAATTTTTCGATATACACAATGACGTATATAGATGGTTTAGCATAGGGTTTGACTATTTCGGTCGTACTACTACTCCTGAGCAAACAGAGTAAGGTGGATCTCGTAATACCTGCATTATAGAATGTAAATCATTGAGGTTTTTGTTTACATTTATAGGTTACAAATTAAATTTCCAATCATTTGTTCATACTTTTGTTATTTTACGAAAGTAAAAAGATCATTAATATTATATAAGTTTCTCTTTTTGCTTTTCAGAATTGTGCAATCATTTTTCTTAAGAATAAAGTCGGAGGGATATGTGTTAAGCGAAACAGTAGATCAGCTCCTGTGTGAATCTTGCGATAGATTTTTGGCAGACAGGTTCGTAGAAGGTACGTGTCCAAGGTGCAAGTATGAAGATGCACGCGGTGATCAATGCGATGGATGCGGTCACTTAGTGAACGCAACGGATTTAATATCTCCGCGTTGCAAAGTTTGTAGTAATAGGCCAGTTGTTAAAAAATCGGTGCAATTTTTCTTAGACTTACCGAAGGCAAGTATTAGAATTGCGGGCAACGTTATTCTGTTCCACAAATATGCTATATTTTCAAGTACCCTTGCTTGCAGTTAGAAAATAAACTGAAACAATGGTCTCAAACCGTAGAAAAAGGATGGTCGAGTGTTGCTAGAGTGGTTGCGAAGCCATGGTTACGCGACGGACTTAAACCACGTTGTATAACAAGGGATTTGAAGTGGGGAATACCTGTACCGGTAAAGGGTTTTGAAAATAAAGTGTTCTACGTTTGGTTCGATGCACCTTTTGGTTATATCAGTATTACAAAGAGATATACCAAGGAGTATGAACAGTGGTGGAAGCCTAAAGATGTAAACGTCGATTTGTATCAGTTTATGGCAAAAGATAATGTTCCGTTCCATGCAATAATGTTCCCTGCTTGTTTGCTAGCGGCTAATAAGGGTCATACTTTAATGAAGCATTTAATGGCAACGGGTAGGTTAAAAAAAAATATATGAAATACATCATAGTTATGAGGTATTTTGATTTCTGTATTAAATTTTTAATGTTCCATTTTTATTTCAGAATATCTAAATTATGAAGACACAAAGTTCTCTAAATCGAGGGGAATTGGTGTATTTGGCACCGATGCTAGAGATACGGGTATTCCGGCTGATGTTTGGCGATTTTATCTTGCATATGTTAGACCGGAAACACAAGATTCCAATTTTAATTGGGTTGATTTAGCAACCAAAAATAATAGTGAATTATTAAATAATTTGGGAAATTTCGTGAATAGGTGTGTGTTAAATTACATTAGTTATTGGAGTTTTTTTATTCAATCACAATACTTGAGAATTATTTTTAATAAATAGAGCTCTAATGTTTGCGGAGAAATATTTTGATTCCAAACTTCCGCAAATGGAACTTTTGGAGGACGACTTGGTGCTATTGGCATTAGCCCAACGCGAGTTATCGTCTTACATTCAAGCTTTGGAGCAAGCTAAACTGCGAGATGGGTTGAAGCATGTTTTAGCAATTTCGAAACATGGAAATCAGTTCATGCAGTTCCAAGAACCATGGGTTAAAATTAAAGGAACTGATGACGACAAGTAAGTGTTTTTTTTTATCAAGAGTGTATGTCATAATATTCGTTATTGATGTTTTTTTCATCTTTATTTTTAGAAGTAATCGTATTGAAATTTTTAATGTAAAATACATAACAAACTTGCAAATAACAGTTTTGTTCATATGATGTTTAGTTACTAGAAAGATTAAAAATGTTCATATATTAAATTATGTTGCGGGTCTAAGTTATCTTTTACTTCTTCAGTAGAATTAAATGAAGCCAGTGCATTCGTTCAAAACATAACTTTTTATGATTTTACTATTCACAGAAAGAGAGCTGGTACAATCATTGGTATATGTTGTAATTTAGCGTGTCTGCTGTCAGCACTTTTGGCTCCATTTATGCCCAACACATCCCGCGAACTGAGATCACAATTAGGATTGAACAGCATTAATCATGGGTATATCCCCGATATTATTACAAACATACTACCAACAGGCCACAAAATCGGCATACCGTCTCCTCTGTTTAAGAAAATCGAAGTTAAAGATGTAGAAACGTTAAGAAGTAAATATGGTGGAAAACAAGACGGTGCAAACAAAATCGAAAAAAAGATTGTTACAAGTAGTGATGTAAAATCTTTGGAAACTGCAATAACAACACAGGTTTATAAATTTTATAATAAGATTAACACATTCGCTGTTGGCGGCTCCAATTGGAATCACTCTATGGCTCCGATCGGAGCCGTCGGTGGCGAACACTTTAATCTATAATGCAAAAGATTCGTACTTTGTTTAGGTATTATATTTGTTTCTTCATACTTTGATACTTCTAGGGCAATAAAGTTAGAGAACTGAAAGCTAAACACGATAAAAGTGTCTGGCAACCTGAGGTTCAGATTCTTGTAGACTTGAAACAGAAGCTTGCTGATCTTATAGGAGGTGGAAATAAGTCTTCAGACTTAGCAAAAAAGAATAAGCCTGAAACAGTTTTTGTACCTGAACAAAATGGAGATGCCTCGATGGATGCGGCGTCGTTAGAAGCGGCTGTAGCTAAACAAGTACGACAAAACAGTTCTTTCTCAGCAGAACCATATATTTAATTTCATTACTTTTACAGATTTATTTTTCTGTTTTAGGGCAATCTGGTACGTGAACTAAAAAGTAAAGCGGAGAAATCTGTATGGCAGCCGGAAGTGGAGAAATTATTGAAACTGAAGAAACAGTTGACAGATCTCACTGGAACATCTCCATCCACGACCAACAAAAAGTCAAAGAAAAAGAAGTAACTTAATTACTAGGCCATGAACATCCATTTCCATATCTGAACTATTTTGTAATAAAATGTCATCGCTCATTTTCTGTTATCAACGCAACTCCTTTGAAGATGCATCCGGTACCATATGGTATTCATTTTTAAATAATGTAATCAACATATGATTTATTTAATAAAATTAATTTATACATTAATGAAGATACTATGCAACTATGATTTATTTTTAAATTTAGTTCGATAACTTGCATTAGAAAGTCACAAAGAAACCAATCGAGCTGCATTTATTTTCTTACAGAAAGTGTTAACAAAGTACTATTTCCTTATTTTGAATGGAAACGTTTTTATTTTTGTTGCACGTTTCGTTTTACCGATGATAGGGATTACTTTATCGGCGTTGTAAATGTTTTTCAAATATTTCGGTATCATATTTATTGGTTTGTCGGTTTTGGATGCACGAAAAACCATGTTTTCTATGAGGCAGATAATAATAGATAATAATATTCCAACGAGTAATAGTAGTATAAACGGTATTGTTTCACGAATTGTAACGCTCGATACATAATGTTTGTCCATGTCGCAGTACGGCTTCCTCGAGTACCAACGCTTTACCTGTCTGTGTCGAATTCCGGAGGTAGTAATTCTAATTAAACTGCAATCGAGCGATGTATTCATAAACATTTTAATATTAAATAAAATGCTAACGATGTCTTTCGCAACATTCTCACCCTATCTTTGTTATTTCATGAAACTGGCCATGCCGCGCTGTCCACATGCCCAATGAGGAAGGTCGAAGCAAGTGAACTTCAGTAAGCTGACAAATCATCTGCTTCGTGAATATACGTTCTATAAGTGGATAAATAACGATGGGATCCGCGAGATAGGCAAATCCAGGCTTCAGGATTCTCCTTACGCCTTCGTCCAAATCCTCAAATCTCTTCTCCTCTGGTATAGCTTCCCAGTGTCTTCGAAAGTATTGTACATCCGGTGCTGGGGACTATGTGTTGGTTAAATTATTATATTTACTCACATTCATGAAATAATATTAATTACAGTGAACTCTAACTATATTGCCACTAAACATATGTATTGCCACGCGAGGGAGTTCCCCTTAAATTATCCCTACTAATTTAAATTGAAATCACAAATTTAAGTAGAAATATTGATTTAGTTAAATTATCCATACTAATTTAACTTGAAATCACAAACATCCCCTTCACACGTACTTTCGAGCACACAAATTTGCTCTCCCACACGTTCCAGCTTATGCGCAGGCGCTGAGGCCAAATCTACTCATCTATCACTCGCCGGGGAACTCATTGCCATTTTACAGACTCCTCTCGATTATTGTTCCAAACTCATATAAGGAGAAATACTTCAGACCCCCGTAAATTCGTTTTCTTCCCGAAGCCTGAGCCTCGGCAACAAAAGCGGAAGGGTAACAAAGTATGCGCTTGACAGGTTTCACGGTCTCCCCCCCCCCCCAGTAGTGGGAATAACGCCTGGACAATAATCGTGTAGAACAAGCCAGACGATAATCGAAAGGAGTCTGTACTCCCCTACAGCCTGCGCTGAATTAAGGGAGGGACTAGGGAGGGCTATAGCACTGGGCCCCACTTTTCAGGGCGGCTACGTTCTAAGCCTTCCCTTTATATCAAAAAGTAAATGAATTAAAGTTTGTAGAAACAAATCAAATGAAAGTTGTTAGAATATAACGAAGCATTCCTAGTTATAATCAATCGTTCGTTACGATTAAATGTTACTTAATTTTATTTAGGATAAATTTCAATTTTTGAAGATTTATGTATTTTACACCCGCCCCCCTCCCCTGCTTCTGAACCAAGGGGGCCCTCGAAGGTTGATAGCCCTGGGCCACAAAAAATCTTAACCCAGACCTGTCTACAGCCCCGACTATAGTAATATAGTTAGAGTCCATTGTAATGTTAATATTGACAACTATCCAGAACAGAATATAATAATCCTTGAAAGACGTTGTATTTATTAATAAATAATAAAATAGATGTTCACGTTTATCAAGACGTTGAAGAAGACCTCTTTATGAGCGACGAGTTTTATCTTGCTTTTCACGAGCGAGTACAGGGAATCGTTCATTTTGTTCAGAGGAACATTCAACCGACTGGACACCATTGCTGCCGAGTAGCAATTATATAGAAGTAGACCGAATATCATGGTGTGAAGGAAGGCAATACGGCCTGCATACTGATTATTCTGAAATGGTAGTCCTGCGAATTAGGAGAATTGTCTCTGTTAAATAAAGTCTGTTGTAACGAAAATATACTTGAAAGTACGAAGTATAATTTGAACTATGTAATTAGAAGTGAAAGTCATAGGTATACACATTGCTTTACTACACCTTGCTGACATAACGCGGCAATAAGGATAAGAGTACTTTCTCCATAATCAGACTGTTTGTGTACTTTCCAGATTAACCATAATGTACTTATTATAACAATCGACAATAAACAAACCATGTACCAAACGGTCGTTTCAAATGGCCGGAAGATAAGGTTCATGTCGGTTATCAGGGAGGGTACAGTACGAAACATAAAGCAGGTTCTACAAAGAAATTCCCAATTAATCCGTCGTTTTGATCGTACATTCCGAATTTCGAATTACCGTGCAGGCCACACTTGCAGCGCGACGTTAGCGTAATTAAGCCTATCGTTTGTTAGAATTGACGGAAAATATCCCACATCGAAATCTCGTTGTTTGAGGCCAGCCATCAATGGGCCGTTTCTATCATCTTTCTCCCAGTGTGTTAATTCTATCATGTCCAGACTGAAAATTAAATACGTCTAATAACGTTTTTTATCGATCACGACGATCATGGAGTTCCGAACTTACGGAACGATGAATAAAATATTACGTTAAATTAAACATCGCGGCAATTTCTATTAACATCGAGTAACCGAATTTCGACCAGTTGTCTACTAGTGCGGTATCCTGCTGTTGGAGATACTCTAGTAGATCTTGATCTTTCGGTCTAGCTGTTACCTACATAAGAATGGTATATTTACAATTTGTTATATTTTTGAAATTATTTCAATTATTATTGAATTTGTTATATTTTTTTAAGCTCGTGTTTCGTGACCAGCGACGAATATTAAGATCGTCTGATACCTAATTCTGTTACTTTATCCACCGATATTAATTTTAGTTAGACCAAGGATATCATTAAACTTTGAACAGGTCTTTATTTTATTTTCTACTTTGATCGTTACTTGTTAAAAGTATCGAAGTGAAAATGTTAGCTTATTTTCAGACAGTTTCACCATCACTTACAATACCAGCAGCCTTTACTTTTAACTTATTATAGTTCCATCTTCTAGTAAACTTATCTTCCAACAAATCAACATTTAATCCATTGATTCTTGTCCATGTGCCCAGTTCCACGACATTGAGTGAACCACCGCAATGCTTACAATGATTATAGACGTCGTATAAAATACACTCATCGTCTTTTGATATAGAAATTACAAAATCAGTGATGATACTGAATGTGCTGTCGTTCAATGATTGCATGGTTTCTGTCACATTCCGCCCATTTTCCTCCAGAATCAACCAATTGTGCAAGTGGTCGAACATATAATGGGCTGAGGCCTGAATTATAATTTTTATGCCATTACTCTTTCAATCCCGAGAACAATATTGCATTAAGTGCATCAATAGTTTACTATTTTTTGTTAAATTCCACGCTTATATAAATTTATATTCACTTGAAAACATTCATCGTTTTTATCAAACATTCGACGTCATATTTATCCAACAAACACTGGATAGATATTTTCGATTAATAATTAAGTAATTACTAATTTGTTACGATGAAAATATATCAATTATTGTTACACTTAATAAAACAAAGGTCTTAAATGTATTTCATATACCTCGTAGAAAATGTTTGCGGCATCACTGTCTGCGAAGGGACATCGTAAATCCATAAAAACACCTAATTTCCAATATGTGGTCTCCAGAAAACGCGACACATCGATGTTTGAATCGAGCCGTTTTATCGAGACCAAAATTCCGGCGTCGTTTAATACCTTAATAATTTCAATATCATCTGGATCGAAAGATTTGTACAATTATAATAATCTAATAAACTTTCGAAATTTAAAACTTCCTTCATAAGTTGGTACACTAGCCGAAATTTCTATATTGTCATTAACGTTTGTGGGGCACGGGAGTACAGCAGTAATAAACACGTTTAATTGACACTCAATTTATTCGTCTATCTACACAAGATCCTTGCGCGCGCGACGAAATTCCGTTCAGTACTTTGATTAACTTTGATACAGCCAAACTGACCTCCCTCCGTCGTTAAATCCTAGCTTAAGAAGGGCGAAAAGAAAAAGGATAGATGGAGTAAAGAGAAAGACAGACGACGTAAGGGAGGAACCCGAAAATGCCGGGAAACTTGGAGAAAGTGCCGAGATGGTAAAAAGGAGAAATCAGCGTAGAGCAAGGACCACACAAGCTGGTCGCCAAATGTGCACGGGCACTCGACCTTCACGACGCCCTAAGCAGGAAGTTAAAGTCGAAACAGAGAGAAAGAATCGTTGTAGAAAAGCTGAACAAAAAAGAACTTTTAGGAAATTCCAAGGACCCTCGATGAAAGTGGATGTAGGAGTAAGAACCCTGGGTCTCGCCCGAACCTGGTTACCAAATGTGCATGACAATAACCAGACTCGGACGAGACCGTGAGAAACGCTAAAAACAAAACGGAAAGAAACAAGGAGGTGGGTGGCAGTCCTAAGACCACCACACGTTTTTTTGTTGCATTCTTATAATTATTCCGTACCAATGAAAAATGTGTGTTTGGTAGCATTTTGGGATTAATTATAGAAAGCGTAGACATCGATTTCAAAAAATAAATATAACATTTATTTAAAAAAAGGAAAAATATAATTCAACAGAAAACGAATTGCGAAATTTCTATAAACTCATTCACTTTTTACATAAGTAAAGTTGAAATTAACAATTTTTTTTGCCATTCCTATATTAATACTTAGTGTAAGTCCATTTTTTAGAATGAAAATATAGAAACAGATATGGAGCAATAAAATTGGTGGTATTTTGAAAATATCTATGAAAATGAAGATGACTAGTATTTTCAAAGTACCACCAATTTTATTGCTCTATATCATATCTGTTTTTGTATTTTCATTCAAAAAGATGGAGATTACAAGTATTAATATAGAAATAGTGAGAAACAATTGTTAATTTCAAATTTACTTACGTAAAAAGCGAATGACTTTATAGAAATTTCGCAGTTCGTTTTCTACTGAATTATATTTTAATTTTTTGAAAATAAATGTTATATTTATTTTTCGAAACTCATCCGCACGCTTCTTCATTGGTATGGAATAAAATTATAAAAACTCGTCAACAAACATGGTGACTATAGAAATTTCGGCCAGTGTACATTTGTTCCATGCTTGTTTTATTTACTAACTAAAATTATAATTACTGAAATATCTTCATCTGTTATATGAACGTATCACAACAATAAACCATAGAACAGTAAATTCGTTGTTTAAATAGATTAGTTTCAAATAGAAAACCTTACACACTTTCGAGTTCTCCGCAAGAAAATCCAGCCACCCTGTTGACTTTCTTAAAAAGGAAGAAATCGCGAATTAAATCAACATTAATCGCGTGAGAAACAACAATCGCCTGTAGATAACAAAAATATCGTAAGTACATCCTACTGATTCTGTACGTTCTTTATTCCAGCTTGCCTATCGGATGACTGCATGCAGACCGTTCCGCGTTGCAGTTTCTTGCACGTCAAGTGACCCACTCTTACATTTTGTATGAGAAAGCACGTCAATTTTGACGTGACGGCTCTTTACGAAGTAGAAACAACTCTTTCGTAATCGTAAAATTCCGACAACGTATATCAGTTATAGGAACGAAACAGTAAAGATGTGTCAATACGTTAACACTAGAACTACCAAATCCGTCAAACTATCGGATTACAGATTTATTATTTTGCCATTACTGGAATTATAATGGTGCTTTTAACGGGATTTATGTTGTGCGACGTACTCGCGATAAGCTCGTGATTAACCACTGCTCTTTGGTAAATTAATACTGCGGAGCTCGATGGAAAGATGGTGTGATAGTGTGTGATAATATGTGTTTTAAATGATTCACACAACTTACAAGGGAACACCGCGAACCCTTACTCACGGATTTCAATGAAACTTTGTGGGTTTATAGAGTGATTCAAGGCAAGAATAACGGTATGCTTCATTCGTGCCCAATCGCCCGTTAAGGGTGTGAAAACTAACCTCAAAGTCAAATAGGCACTCCCACTTTTTTGCGTATAACCCTTAAAGTACAAGATATAGAAGAAAATGTTTCAAAGAAAAGTTTAATGGCACAATAAGCGCTATAAACTTGCGTTAACAGAATTTTGAAAAAAGTGTTTTAAAATTTTCTTGTTAAGAAAAAAACTCTCTTCAAAATTTTGGCAATGCATGTTTATAGCGCTTATTGTACCATTAAACTTTTATTTGAAATATTTTATTCTATCTCTTGTACTTTAAGGGTTATACGTAAAAAAGTGGGAGTGCCTATTTGACTTTGAGGTTAGTTTCCACACCCTTAACGAGCTATTGGGCACGAATGAAGCATACCGTTATTCTTGCCTTGAATCACTCTATAAACCCACAAAGTTGCATTGAAATCCGTGAGTAAGGGTTCGCGGTGTTCCCCTGTTAGTAACACACTTACAAGGGAAGGCACGGAAGTGTCCCCCTCCGATTTTGATAAAACTTCGTATGTCTGTTAAGCAGTCAAAAATAAGGGATACATAATTCTTTTTATCGGCTGAGATGCGACTTTAAGGGGTGAAACCGCCCCTCGAAGTTTCGATCCGAAATTTTTTTGTTATAAATAATTTATATTTTGAACAATTTGTTAGCACCATATTATTCTACATAAAAAACCGTAAACCTCGTCTATTAGAAGTTTTCATGTATCTCCTCTGGTTTTCGAGATAGTACTTTCGGGTCGAAACTGCAGATAAAAAAAAATATGTATCCCTTATTTTTGATTGCTTAACTGTAGAATTACCGACAATAAACGTATATTTGCCTCGATCGGTGGATAAACGGGAAAAACTTTTGAAAATTTAGAAATTGACTAATTTCTTTACTTTCATATCGTAATAAAAGGTACAAAAGATCTGAGAAAATGTATTGTCATAACATTTTAATCGTCGTTGTAAGAGTGTATTGACAAGTCATTTTGACTTGCTTGGTAGTTCTAGTAGACTTACGAAGTTTCATCAAAATCGGAGGGGAACACTTCCGTTTCTTCTCTTGTTAAACTTTAATATAAACTTAACAATGTGTTGTATGTGTATGTGTGTATTGGTTGTGTTCTGACTGATCGATGTGTTCTTGTTGACGGTTCAATGTGTTCTGGCGCATGAGTGAGCGTATAGGTATAGCTGCTTACTGGTACGGATCGACTCGTGATTGGTGGAAAATGCAGAATTTTGGTTGGTGTAGGTGGTTTAAGAGGTGGTAGTATAAGTTGGAAGAAGTGGGGTTCGGTGTATGTATTGTTTCTTGGATTCCTGGTAGTCAACGCCGAAATGTGTATAACGAACGGTCTTAAGGACGACCATCGCCTATCTGCAATGGTTCGTAACATGTTGGCTTTTAATTTACTAGAGATTTCAATTTTATGGTATATTATGCTAGATTGTCCTATATATTGTGTACATTATTGTATTATATATTTTAATTTCGTATACATTCAATGCTGGTAGTTCTATAGTCAAGTCCCTCGAAATTTGAAAAGATATCTAGATATCTGATGGTAATTTAAATATTTTATTTCGAGAACAACACACGCGAGTAATGTTCAATATAATTTCAAGACAGGTAACTAAAATGTTCATCTAGTTAAATTGTTCTTTTGTGGAGATCTCGCGGTGGGACGTGAAGTTTAAAGCTGCAAATCCAGTAAGTTGTCTCTACTGTTCCCACTGGTAATGCTTCCTCTGGCACCGACTATTTTCTTGCGGCTCATTGTCCTCTTTCTATAAAATATACATACACGTATCTCTTAATTAATCTGACTACCGCTTACTATTTCTACTTATTCTAAAGACTAACGATGGTTGAATGCATCGAAACCTTTTTATTTGAAACTAAAACATGTTGATTTAAAATGTTTTCGTATTTAAATACTTTTTATGTGTTCAATTTCTCACTGAGTTCGAATACCTTCATTATTTATCGTGTCTCCGATTGTTCCTTTTTAAATTAGTTCTTTAACAAGCTCTACTCACTTTATCGAGCGTTTATAAATGATATTTTCAGCGATGCATATTATTCCAGCTAGGGGGATGCCGAGCGCCAGCAAAATTAAGGCCGGAGCGGTTTCATAAATCGTGATACTTCTCGTCGACAAAGTGTCCGGTTGGCACTGAGGCTTTCTCGACGACCACTGCTTAATTTGACGATCCCGAAGGCCAGTATTAAACATTTTCGTCAATCTTTAATGAAAAGAGCGGTATGTCTTAAATAAGCTGAAAAGGTGTGATACATGGGCGTAGCTAGGTTATCAGTCAAGGGGGACAAACATATTAACACTTCGACTGCCACAGTCAAAAAGGTTGTACGTAGCCAAACACACTTTATTTTGTTTTTAAAGTCATAAATCGTTGAAAATGTATGCGTTTTGTTAATAGAGGCTGTTGGTTGTATTTCAAATTACAGTAGACTACTAAATTTAATGCCACTTTCGGGGCCGTAGGAGAGTAAAATAGCATTAAATTTCGAGCCCCCTCCATGCTACGTTCTGTCCCATGGCGTTGACCTCGGCGCCTGCGCAAAAGCTGGATCGTGCTGTTGCGCCGGCGTACGCAACATGGTGGGAGAGCGAATGTGTGTGCGCGAAAGTACGTGTGAAGGGGAAGTGACTTCTGTGGCATTATTTTCAGTGGCATTATAGTTAGAGTCTATTGTATATTGTAATATTAAATATTACGCAAAAATTTTGTAACTCTGGTAAGGGGGGGGGGCAAAATTCAATTTTTTCCTTGTAGGGTGGGGCAAAAGTCACTTTGTTCCGTCCGGGGCAGGGAGCAAGATCCCACGCCCGCCCCCCTGGCTACGCCCATGGTGTGATATCGATGTTCATGAGCAATGAAAGAGTCGGACATTATAAGTTAATATACAGGGTATTTCACCTAACTTGACCACCTTAAATATATCGCTTATTCTGTATGATAGAAAAAATATCAGGGGAGAAAAATATTCTGTTCGAAGGCGCCAATACGGTGATGGGCCGAATTTTTTTCTCAAGGTCATTTTTTTCGAGATTTCAAGGTCATAGAATTTTTTTTAAATGGGACTACATATTTTCACTACAACACTCTTATAGCATATAAAAAAACAAATCCAACGAGGGGCAATATGTTGACCTTCACGTGACCTTTAGCGAAAAAATCATGAAATGTTTGTCAGTAAGCTCAGTACGCGTTCGGGGACGGTAAATGAAGGAATTTCAATTTCTGGGGGGTGTAATACAGCACAACAAAATACATAAATCTTAGAAAGTTAAAATTAATTTTAAATAAAATTAAATAACATTTCACCATAACGAAATGGAAGGTTCAGAATGGGGCCCAGGGCTACACCCCCCCCCTAGACCCCCCTTGATCTAGCGCTGCGCACAAGTGCGCGTTTTCAAAATGAAATAAAAAATTAATTAGAAGACATTGTCTCGTACTTTTGACTGGTAAGTCCCGGAAGTCAAAGAAAAAGAAATGAAAACTCCAGGCTCACCTACCCTATTTTCGCGATCTCGATGAACTGCCCATTATGGCTGGCGTACATGCCCATCACGGACTGTTTAAACAAATGGATCTCCGTCAACTCGCAAATTTTATTGGAATCGAACATCCTCTCGACGTATGGATACGCGGTGTTCGGATCCGTGTGGTAAGCTAAGATACCTTGGCTGACTTGTTTGATACCCTCCTCTATCGGCAAGTACCTTTTCGACTCTGGCAATGGATCCCAGCGTTTCTTTCGGAAATAATCCGATTCCCAATTCAGTTTCTAATAATTGGAAAAACATATGAACAATGGTCGTCCAACATCCTTATAATAGATTAAGATAAATATATTATTCTCCTCCAATCGCATTCAGTCGACCTCTTTACAAAGATATCACCATCCCCACAATGTCATGGCGTTAGTTGACAGTAAATGAGTCTTGGAAGCCGACATTGAGTCGTTTTTCAATACATATAGTATACCTTCATAAGATCGCATCAATTGGTCCCAAAATGAAATCTTATAGGACTCAATGACAAGATTTCGCGATCGTTTTCATTGGCTGATAACTCAAAGAAAAGAATTCCGACTGTCTGATTTCGATTTTAACGAGGTTTTGTAAGATGAAAGTATACAGGTTCTTAATGATATACGGGGTGTTCCGCTTAAAACAGGCCACTTAAATATCTTCTCTATCTGTGATCATACGAGAAATACTTTTTACGTAATTTAAATGGTTTCCAGAGACGGATCAGATGGTAGAAAAAATTATATAGGTAAGTGAATTAAAAATTTTTAGAGTAAACTTTTCATAAGTAAATTTAAAATGTTTAGAGTTCAAGGTCATACTATAATACATGGATAAATGCATAATAATGTTGGCTATAACATACAACAGGAAAAATGATGTGTATGTACGTAAAAAAGCATGGGTAACCTTGAAAAAACCATTAAAAAATGACACTTATATATAAAACTTTTACCCCCATCCGATTCGTCTCTTGGAACAATTTAAATTCTGTAAAAAATATTTCTCGTACTATACAGATAGAGAAGATATTTAGGTAGCTTGTTTTAATCAGAACACCCTGTATATGTAAATTATTAGATGTGTACACTCGATAATGTTAAAGGTACAAACAATCAAATTTATGTACATTTAAGATGTACTATACAGACTCCTCTCGATTATCGTCTGGCTTGTTCTACACGATTATTGTCCAGCCATTATTCCCATCATTGGGGGGGGGGGGGAGGCGTAGAACCTATCAAGCGCATACTTTGTTGCCTCTCTGCTTTCGTTGCCGAGGCTCGGGCACTGGGCAAAAAACGAATTTTTGAGGGTCTGAAGCATTTCTCCTTATAAGATTATTGTCCCGGCGCGGGCCCGAGTTCGGGACAATAATCGAAAGGAGTCTGTATAACGATGTTTTGCTGGTAAATCGAAGGTTCTGGGATCGGTTTCCGTTCACGGAAATATTTTTGTTTCACTTTGCCATCGGAACTTCGCGATATCTTTGACTTACAGTACCAGACAAAAGTATTCGTAGACCCTGTAAAACGGATAAGCTTTTTTAAAGTTGAATAACATTAAATTAATAAGGCCGGCGATACTATTTTTGCACCCAGGCAGCCAACGACGCAGGAACGGCCCTGATGGTAACCTTAACGTGTTCAACAATCGTGCATGTTCTATCAACTGAATAATTGTTGTCAATTTTAATGATTAAAAATCGGTACTTACATACAGAAAGTAATTTAGGTAAGGTACGGCCTCCGCAGCGATTTTCAATTTGCTATCGGCAAGAACGGTCACCGAATCCTCCATCATGTCGAGGGGTTCGCTCAATCGAGCCGAGACAATACTAGCAGAATAGTAATTGTACATTATCCAACTGTGTATAGTGATTTGGAACAACGCGATGCGGCTTGCTACACGTCTGGTAGTCAAGTTTGCACCTGTCGAAAAGACGATGTTTAGTTCCTCCGTTCGAAAACTAACGAAATTTCATAATTTCCCATGCTACCTTGCTGCGATATGATTCCTACTGACAGCACCACTGCTCCGGAATACTTTTCTCGTTTTCCAATCCCTTCGCGGTTCATTATCAATTTCATGACGAATATCGAGAAAAATCCAAAACCTGCGAACGTGTACCATGTCTGTCTTGTGAAAGGCTTCAAGAAGATCTCCAGTTTGATCTTGTTGGTGGACGTGGACAGCAACATGAAACAGGGCCTAATTAAAACAATTATATTTGGTTCTGTTGCTGTTTACCTTGACAAAGAGATCTTTTTTTTTTTTAAAAAAAACATGAACATTTAGTTGATGATTCGACCAATTAGTAATCCAATATTTTTTAACGAAATCATTCGTTTCTATAGAAATCAAGGAGTTAAACAGTTTCTACCCAGATAGCACACAGACGGCTTAAGATGACTTAATGACGGCTTAAAGGCGCCTCGGACCTAAAATAGCCGTAAAAATGGGCGTTTTCAAGGCGGCATGTGCTACCTGGGTATTGATACATGTAAATATTTTTCATCATGGTGTGCCATTTTTACTCAGGGCAAGATAGACAGATACTTTGTTAGTATATTGTTGATGTCAATGAAAGTAATGACCAGCATTTTCATTTGTATTCCTCGATTTCTCTTATATTCATTCGAATAAAAATTCATGAGACTTCCGGTCTATCAGTCTTAGGTGGCGCCATCTGGAACGCAATCAGATTGCGTACGAAACGATTCGAAGTTGAAGACGCAGTTCTTATGCTATTGGCTAACAACATCGTATTTTAATTCTAAAATTTTTCACAGATAATTTAAAGAAAAAAATAATTGATTACTGATTGGTACAACTGATATATGATATATTAAGTACGTCCTATATTTTCTTCTTTTTTCTTACCGAATAGGCCATGCTGCGCCAATGAGGGTAGCATAGTCCAACCGCTCAGACACCATGATTCTCGGGTTGCTGGCGAAGTCGATATAATTCGCTTGTAAGAATTCGAAAATCAAACCGTGCACACTGTGTCTGTCCCAGTAGATTATTTCGGAAGCGTGTACACTGAATAGTGAAAGAAAACTGTCAATATATATATATATATTTTCTTCAATTATCATTAAAGTTCGTTTACGCTACCTGAAATTAAAAAGATCTCCAGTGTGCAAGATCATGGCGTGCACAAATTTGTGCATGCTGTCCAGGGACCTCGTATTAATGTCCTGCATGTAGTTCTCGAGACGCATGTCTTTTGGTCTGTATTGTATCTAAGAGAAATAAATTACATATTGTACACGTGTTATGACACATCGGAATCAAATTTGACTTTCACTAAAAAATTCCAAGTACGACTCGAAATCAAGTTTTGTAAAACCTTCCCACAATTTCTGACGAAGCTTATTATCCAACGGACAATTAAAAATATCTTCGAAATATCGCGTTAAATTGAAAAAATAAATACTTTTAATTTTATACATACAAGTGGCTGTAGGTATAATTACACAAAAATAGAGTGTAAACGCAAATGTTTGGAAACATGTAAGTATACAGGGTGTGACAAAAGTGTTGTAGCTCCCTGCAATGAGTCACTCGTGAGTTGATTTGGAACAAATTTTTCCTTAACAATGTTATCCGAGGCTTTGTTAACGAGATATTAACGAAAAACCTCAATCAGAATTCGACCGGCAGACTCGCGCTCTGATTGGTCGGAGTTTTTTATTAATATCTCGTTAACAAAGCCTCGTATAATATTTTTGCTAAGGAAAAACTTGTTTTAAATCACCTCACGAATAATCCATTTCGAAGATCTGCAACACTTTTGTTACACACTGTATATGTACGTGGTACAGACTCCTCTCGATTATCGTCCCGAACTCGGGTCCTCGTCGGGACAATAATCATATAGGGCGAAATGCTTCAGACCCTGGTAAATTCGTATTTTGCCCGAAACCAGAGCCACGGCAACAAAAGCGGAAGGGCAACAAAGTATGCGTTTGACAGGTCCCATGCCCCCTTCCCCTCCGTGGTGGGGATAACGCCTGGACAATAATCGTGTAGAACAAGCCAGACGATAATCGAGAGAAGTCTGTATAATTAAGAAAATTAAGATGGCTGCCGTACCACTTTGATTTGAAGAAAAATCATTTAAAAGAAACATTGATATATTCAACTGATAAGTACGTTCTGTGATATAAAAAATAATAGAATTTTATAGTCTTTTTTAGTTGTAGGAGTATATAAAAGAATTAATTCAGCAAACGTTACTGCGCAACGACACGTTTTAAATTATAACAATTACTGTTATGAAATATTAAATTGTACCCACTGTTACTTTTCAAAGATATCAAAGGCAATAGCTGTGCCGCAATAATAATAATTTCGTGTATTTTCCAGCGAAATTAAACTTTAATTATCCGGTTACAAATGCAAATCCAGCGAGACTCACCACACCAGATATTTTCAATCTCATTCCATGCATGTTCGCTCGTCTCCTAATTAAAGGTTGCGTTAAAGTGATGTTCAGCCCGACATCACGCCGCCAAGTACCAAGTTCAGTGACGTTTAACGAACCACCGCGATATTTGCAATGATTGAAAACGTCGTACAGATCGTAGCCATTTTTGTTCGATATCGCGAGGACCAGGTCGGTCACAATATTGTATGCAGTGTCGTTCAACAGAGGAACACTCTGATTGTAATTCGATCCCAGCACCAACCAATTGTACGAATAATCGTACATCCGGTACTTCGAGCTCTGGATTCGTTAAAATTCAATAGAATTCGAATTTCTTGGTTTATATTAAAAAATTACCGTCTATTAGTTATCGACATACTTCGGCAAAAATACGGGCGGCAGTTTCGTTCTGGCAACGCAGATCGACGATTACACCAATCGTCCACGTTTCGCTTTTCAAGAACCTGCGGATGTCGATTTTTATGGTGGGCTCTCTTATTATCGTGAATATGCCCGTGGTGCTCAGCGTTCTCAAAAGATTGAAGTCACCTAATTCGAGTAATACAGAATGAAAGAAAAACTGGAGTTCTTTACTAATTGCGAATTTTGTATTATTCCAACAAAATTATATGGTGTACACTCTATATTTATAGAGACACGTATTCTTAGCATTTTGCAATAGATGCTAAATAAATTTGAAATTTATGTTTAATAAAAATAAACGCTAAAGAGATGCTAATTTAAATATTTTTACCGCTACATAACGTTAAAATGAAAAATCAAAATGCTGAAATTGGTAAAAATAGATGCTAAAAATATGTGTCTCTAGCGATGACCCTTCGTTTTGCATATAAACTCTCGTGCACTATGCAATACGCTATTGCATTACTATTCCTTGAATTAAATGGGGCTTAAATTAAACTGGAAGTAAGGAAACATGTTTGCCTATCGCCGGATTATAATGTATCTAAGCTATTGTTGTCAAATTAATGTACAAATTTCTATAATAAAAAAATACAAGTTAACAATCAAGCATTCGCTTCGGATTAAATTGATACGAACAGTGCACGAGGGTTAAACAATTGTTTCGTGATTACCATGACAATTTAGTCTAATGTTTTCTAATGTTTGCAATATAATGTAGCATTCGTTAAACAATTTTTGAAGACACTCAATCGACTCATAATAAGTGTGTAACAATAAGATAAATTATAAGCAGACCTGGTCATTTTTCAAATGATATTATGTATTTGAAATATTATTTCACATGTTCTTTCATTTCATAATCATTTCTATACCTATGATTACGTTTGAAATAACATTATTTGAAATTGTATTTCAAATAACATATTATTTTATTTTATAATCTTTTATGAAATAATTCTTAAAAATAACTGAGAAATCGTTCTTCGAAATTGTATCAGGTGCCTAAGTCTAAGCTTGAATTATTGACATTTTTCTGAAGAGTAGCACCCCTCTGTCATCTTCCACACCAGTTGAACGATTATTTTCTTTCGCGACAATATTAGATGGACCCAAGCAAAAATCTCTCCCGAATGAGCTTTTTGAAGAGCAGGTTCTGCTTAAAGCAAATGGGTCTAAAGATTTCTTAAAATAAAATCTTTTTGTTGCATATTATTTTGAGTATTATTTCTTTTGCCAAATTTGAAATACAAAAATAAGAAAATAATTCATTATTTCAAATTGCTATTATTTCAAATGACTCGGTAATATTTTTATTGTGAAAATAAAGTACCGAAATAAAGTATTTAAAATAATTATTACTTATTTTCATTTCAAATAAAATTTGCCCAGGTCTGATTACAAGCTGTTTTTTTAATAATTTTTCAAATATCTTCGTACCTGCAATATCACCGCAAGAGAATCCTATAACATTCCGTACCTTCTTGTGCACGAAATAGTCGCGGATAAAGATGTGATCTTGCGCCGTGGAGAGCAAGGTAAATTGTAAGAGGGAGAACAACACAGCGTACATTTCCAAAAGGGTCTAATTTCTCACGATCAAAGAGTGCGTTACAAATTTTTCACACTATTATACTGTTATTCTAACGGTTTCGTGGACACCCGCCATAAGTTTTACGAGACTACCGTAGGCATTAGTTACATTATTTTAATCCGGCTTATTCGATTCATGCATCGAATTCACGGGGACACGATTTCATATTCTAATAGACGAGACAGCTTGTCGATCTCGAGTAATTTGACAAATTGCCTGTGTCACGGAATGGACGGGGAGCCGAATGAATTTTTCATCGGACGTTTCGAACGACACAACACACGAGTTTCAATGGAAACGGGATAAAAGCCGCTTATTGACGGAATTTTTCGATATCGATTTCATTATTATTTATTGACGATTGAATGATACTTGTGCATTTATAGCATACAGAGGTGTTCAAACCATACAAGTACAACGAAAATACATATTTTAATAGAATCTCGTACACTTTTACTTTATTTCTAATCTACCGCCACCCATTATGATAATTGATAAACACATTACTACTAGTTTCAAATTGACCCTTGTAATCTAGATTCTTCGATATATTTACTTTTACTAATGAGAAACGGACAATTTCTATAAAACTTGTTGTAAATTATTAAATTTCTTATTATTCAATCACGTTTTATTATGCTATCAAAATCAAGATACCATAACAAAAACTACTACACTGGCCGAAATTTCTATAAAATCACCATGTTTTTTGATGAATTCTTATAATTATTCCATACCAATGAAAAATTTGTGTTTGGTAGCATTTTGGGATTAATTAAAGAAAGCGTACATATCGCTTTCGAAAAATAAATATAACATTTGCGAAATTTCTATAAAGTCATTCGCTTTTTCCATAAGTAAATTTGAAATTAGCAATTGTTTTTCACTATTTCTATATTAATACTTAGTGTAACCTTCATTTCTTTGAATGAAACTACAAAAACAGGTACGATAGAACAAAAAAATTGGTGGTACTTTGAAAATACACCAGCCGAAATTTCTACAAAGTCATCTTCCTTTTCATACTTTCAAAATACCACTAATTTTATTGTTCCACCGTATCTGTTTTTGTATTTTCATTCAAACAAATCAAGGCTTACACTAAGTGTTAATATAGAAATAGTGAAATACAATTGTTAATTTCAAATTTACTTATGTAAAAAGCGAATGACTTTATAAAAATTTCGCAGTTTGTTTTCTTTTGAATTATATTTTTGTTTTTTTTTTAAACAAATGTTATATTTATATTTTGAAACCGATGTGCACGCTTTCTTTAATTAATTTCAAAATGCTACCAAACACAAACTGTGTATTGGTATGGAATAATTATAAGAATTCATAAAAAAATATGGTGACTTTATAGAACTTGCGGCCGGTGTATATGTATATATGTATACCTACCTTAAATGTTGTACGAAAATATTACAGGAGATGAATTTTACTTACATTAAAACCATTTAATATTCTTGATTGTTAACCCGTTAAATTGAAACCTACAGTTCTTTCGTGAGTAGACTTCAAAGATGTTCACGTGCATGGCTCAAAACGGCTCGAAGGGGAGGGAGTTACCTCAAAGCTTATATCATTAACATTTTCATCTTAAAGTATAACTTAAGAGCTTTGTGAACTCGTCGATTCGCGGAATGCATTGAAATTCCTTAATGTCTGTAGTTTAATATCTGGTAGAGCGGATAGGTGCAAATTCTTGTCGATCAAACGTGTCTTTTCTGTCATGGCGCTGAATATTCTGTAAAAATCACGAACTTATGGCTAATAAGTTCATAACTAGAAAATACACTGTATTATTATCAGTAGACTGCGAATTTTATGCATTTGTAGTATACAAAAGTATATAAAATACAGTAAAGCACAAAAATTGGTCGAAGTTTAAGAAATTTTTTATTTTGTTTCGATCCTACTGAAATCCCTGACAGAAGAAAGAATTTTCAATTTTTACCCCTGTCCTTATAAATCACTTTATAAAATGACATTTTGCATAAAAATCCGCAGTCTAATTATCAACGTATTTAATATATCAGCTTGATAAAACATAATTCTCAAATTCTTCTGTTATTTATCTTACAGTAAAAATTAAATGGAGAACATGGTATACAACATTTTTAATACTCTTTTGTGAGATTTTAAAACTTTTCACCTTTTATAATACTAATTATAATATTACCAAACGGGTCTAATATTTACTGCTATATTTTATCGAGTTTTCACGTACCGTGTTGGTGAGCACCAGTTCAAAATATTCTCCGCGAAGCAAATCAGAAGAGAAAATCCAACGGAGATGCTCAAGAACGCGAAAATCGGTGCAGCCTCGTGAATCGATAGAGGTTCGGCAATAAGCAGATTTGGCGGGCAAAATGGTTTTCTGGCCGACCATCTTTTCCATTCACGCTTTTGAATGCCCACGTTCCTGATTTTCGTTAATCTGAAGAGAAACCGTTTTGCAATAAAAAAATAGTTGTCATGTCTGACTAATTTTATATCTAGAATACACACGACAAAGTTTGATAAATGGGACAATTTTGATGAATATTACATTTGTAATACTTTAAATTTCACTTTGCAAATATTATTGTAGCTCAAAATGTACTCAATATTTTGTTACGAAGTTTCGAGTGAAATAACATTGCGTCCCACGATTGGAGGCACAGAACACTCGCAAAAATGATGACAGCATTTAATAAAGTGTACAAAAAAGACACTCGTGGTTACGTAAATCATAATACTAACAATTAATACCAATCCTAATTGTACGACATAATCAATAAAATTTCGGTGGTACAAATGTAGTAGACTGTAACAATGAACAGTCATTATATGGATGTATTGAAAGAAAAGAAATTGATCGATGCGTGTACCCAATTTTCAGTAATTCGGTGAAAGGGCTATTGTGTCTCGCGTAGAACGCCAGGATCGCACGAAAGAGATGGACCTCCGTGAGCTCGCAAATGCTTCGATCATTGAACGAGTGCTCGATATATGGATAAGCGGTGTCGCTCATCGTGTGATAAGCCAATGTTCCCATTGCCACCTTGTCAAGACCTTCTTCTAACGGCATGTACCTTTCGTATTCAGGTATTTTGCTCCAACAATTTTTGTAGAAATATCTTACTTCCTTATCTGGTACCTAATGTAGAGTGGTTCAAGTTTAACTGTAATTTCGAATGGTTCACATTTAACTGAAATTTAGGGGAGTGGGTGGGGGGGGGGTGGTTAAGTGTAACTGAAATTTTGGGGGGTTTAAGTTTAACTAAAATTTGGGGTGGTTGGAATTTAACTAAAATTTGGGGTGGTTTGAATGTAACTAAAATTTGGGGTGGTTTGAATGTAACTGAAATTTGGGGTGGTTTGAATTTAACTAAAATCTGGGGTGGTTCAAATTTAACTAAAATTTGGAGTGGTTTAAATTTAACTGAAATTTGGGGTGGTATGATTTTAACTGAAATTTAGGGTGGTTTAAATATAACTAAAATTTGGGGTGGTTCAAATTTAGGGTGGTTCATGAATTATTGCACAAGTAGCTTCTCCCACACAAACACCTATTCACCCAATGTTTACGCAATGGGTTGAATAGAAAGTTTTTGCGTTTTCTACAAGAAGTCACGACAACTTATTATAATTCAGTAGTAATTATTCTTTTGTTTTCAACACTATCACGTACTTTTTTTATAATTGCATATTGAATTTCGCGGTTCTTCTCATTCAAAGTTAACGAAAAATGTCAGGTAATGGAATACATATCACTGATTGGAAATTATAACTGATCGACACTGCTTCCACACAAACAGTAAACAAGACTTGTAAATATGTAAAGATGGTGTCAGTAAGGTTCGAGTGTATCATTTAAATCAAGAAATTTTAGTGTAGATGCTGCGTTACATTTTGGGCATCCAAAGGTAACAGATGTAAATGATTTAAAGCGACACGTGCCATTATTCATTGCATCATTAGTTGTGTTCTCATTATAAACCTTAATATATTGTAATCACATATTTTTAATTGTATCTAACAGCAAAAAGACGCAAAAATTTTCCGTTCGATAAAATACTTTATTCTAATGGAGTTATAATAATACGATTGAGCGAAGAAATATTTACGGAAATAAATAAAAATATATTCCCAGAGAGCATGACGCCTTGAAGACACCTTTTTTAGTATTATTTTAGGTCTGAGGCGTCTTTAAGTCGTCTTCAAGGCGTGATGTGCTATCTGGGTTTGTTCCCTACCAACCTAATATAACAAATAAGTTTTGTTATATATTTGTTGAACATTAAATTACTAATTATTACCTGTAGAAAGGACCGAACATAAGGTGTATTTTCCACCGCCAATCTCATATGGCTATTCGCCAAGCTAATCAACGAATCGTTCATCTTCTCACCTTTGTTCTTTAAACGATTCGACACGACACTAGCTGAGTAATAGTTCAATATCAACACACTGAACACTAAAATGTGTAGAAACGCGATACGAGCTGCGTAACGTGTCGGAACGAACGCAGAACCTATTCAATGAGAAATTTACATATAACAAATGTAAATAATTTCGGTCGATAACGTTGTGTTAGAACGGTTCTGTACCTTGTTGTGATAGAGAACCTATTGTCAGCAGAACAGACAGTCCGTAAATTTCAGCCGGGCTACGTATCCCTTCCAGTCTTATGAAAATTATTAGAGCACCCATTGCGATCCCTATCATCGTAAATATCGCGTACCACACTTTCACGGACAATGGCTTCAAAAACTGACGCGGCTGTATTTTTATCGAAGAAATTGTACGAAACATAAAGCACGATCTGTGAAAGGTAATACATTTATTTGTCAGTAAAAATGTTTTAGAGAAAAATTTTCGGCACTCGGGTCTTGGAATCGTATACTTATTACGGAAGCCTTCTGATATAAATTATGTCCTTATTAACCTTAGAAATATAATAGAATAATACAAATAAATAAAAAATAATGATAGAATAAACATAGAATGGAATAAAATATAATAGAATATAATAAGAATAGAATAATTTATGAATATTTACTTTTTAAATTCTTTTATATTGTTATTTTATTCTATTCGATTTTTATTATTATACGTGTTTGGATAGAGTGACTTACATAATATGTACATATACCTTAGTTTCATTCCATCATGTCATTATTATATTTTCTTGTAATAATAAGTCACTCAGTCCAATCACTACATCCTAATGTAAGGCTATACTAGAATCACAGCTATTAACTTCGTCAGGTGTTGAATGATACAGTAATACCGTTTTATCCGTTATCATGATTTGCTATTAAAATTTACGATCTAAAAAGGCTCCCACAAACCAACACGAAATATTCGCTGCTGCTGCAAATATTTCGCGTTGGTTTGTGGAAGCCTTAAGACGTTTGCAATTTAAGAAATACAAGAATATATTGATTGCATACCGTATTGGCCACACCGGTCCGATAATATCTCCATGATTCAATCTCTCGATTTTCATTGCGACTGGACTTGACGAAATATCGACGATTTTCCTTCTGAACGCCGCGAAAACCGGACCGGAAGTGTCGAATCGTCGCCGCGCGTTTATTTCAACGATCTCCATGCTACAAAAAAGAAACTGTGAAGTGAATAAACATCTTCAAACGAATTTCTATGAAGTAACATAGAAACGAAGGAAAAAGTTAATTAATGTTCTTATTCCATTCCAGTTTACACGTATCTTAGTTTATTTTGTTTACCCGTATTTTTTATAAATAGGAAGATTAGATTTCACTAGTTAGCTCATTAATGAAATATTCTTTTTTTTGTATTTACGTGAAATTAAAGATATCCGACAGATGCTGTAGGAGCACGTATAAAAATTTCGATCGGCCATATTTAGCTTTCATACTGTACTCCATCATCATATCGTGAAGCGACGTGTTCTCCGGTTTGTAACTGATCTGTAACATTTATTGACACGATGTGTTAATAATTATGTCTCTTATGTATAAAATAACACCTTAACCCTGGCCCAGCCGATGTCGAGTCACTCTTTACCCATGTTTAAATGTGAAGTATTTACAGAATCCAGTTTGTTTTCAGACAAAAAGACTGTCGAATAAGAATTCCTTTTTATGCGAATAATATTTGAAATAAGTCATACACAGGGTGTCCCAAAATAGCTTCGACTCTCCGAAATGAGGGGTTCCTGGGATGATTTGAAACAACTATTTCCTTAGCAAAAATGTTATCCGAAGCTTTGTTAACGAGATATTAATGAAAAATCTACCAATCGCAGCATGTATCCAACGTTACAAGGTTTTTCGTTAATATCTCGTTAACAAAGCTTTGGATAACATTTTTGTTGACGAAAAAGTTGTTTCAAATCATCCCAGAAACCCCTCATTTCCGGGAGTTGAAGCTATTTTGGGACACCCTGTATTTATTCGAACAATACAACGAATAAAAATGTTCTCGAATAACGATTAACCCTGCTTTAACTATTATATAGAATATGTTAAACAACAAATAGTTACATAGTTAACTTACTATATTTATTTAGACACTTACTACAAGCCCAACTTTAAGTTTCATTCCGTGTAAATTCGATCTTCTTTGAAATTTCGATTGAGTCAGGACAACGTTTAAACCCTTCTCATTACTCCACGTTCCGAAAACCGTCACGTTTGTAGATCCTCCACGTTCTTTGCACGGATTGTATACATCGTATAAAATGTAATTGTTCGCCGATGGTACAGCGATCACAACGTCGGTCGCGACACTAAACGCCTCATCGTGGAGTGTTTGCAGGCTATGGCTCAAATTTGCTCCGAAAATCAACCATTTATGCATCTCATCGTACATCAAGTGCTTTGTTGCCTACACAAAAAAATCGATTTTGTTTCATTTTGTCGCATATAATTATTTTACTGTAAACTATTTTTCACTTATGTTCCACTTCTCATATTCGATTCTTCCACACAACTGAAATTTACTTATTTCATTAGGAAAACAGTTTGAAACACCTTGGACTATCTTGAAACAGCTTGAAATAACTTGAAACAGTTTGAAACAGTTTGAAAATAATTTGGAAATAATTTGTAACAGTTTGAAAATAGTTTGAAACGGTTTGAAACAGTTTGAAAAGAATGTGAAAATAATTTGAAAATAATTTGAAACAGTTTTAAAACAGTTTGAAACAGTTTTATGAAAAAAGTTTTTATAAGCTAAAACGGATAATGCGGTTCTCTCTGTTACTACCTCATGGTCGAGATATAGAATTGAAAATTGGTACTAAAAGTGTTTTTTTTTGGTAACCTAATGAATGGTCCATCGACGATTTACATAATTTGGCGCGAGGACACTTTTGGCCCCTCGTCCGACTATACAATTTCATTCTGATAAGCTTTACTTGATGAAACAGAAATACTATTCTATTCTATAATTCAAATTCGTAACTTTAATGGAAACATAAATGTGATTGTTTTCCTTATATCTGATCATAGTTTGAATTAAGATGATTGGACAATACTCTATGGTAATTTAACGCAATAACAGACTCACGTCGATTAAGACTTTAGTGTAACGCTCATGATCGCATCGGGAATCCAAAAAAATGCCCAACTGATGGTAGTCGGCACTTAGGAGATTTTTAAGGTATAAACGTTGATCAGTTATGGAGTCCATTATCGAAGTGTACGTAGTATACATATTATTAAATGTTCTTGCCAGTGTGATGTCATCTGCGTCGCATAAAATACAGTGAGGAACATATTTGGTACAATAACATACACGTACAGTCACTTATGAGTAATAATAATAACAGTAACATGCCTAAGTATCTAATATTTATTTCTATATCTTTTTTATTAGTAGATTTTATGTGTTTATTACTTATTATCTGTATTTGTACCCACTTTCCAGGTCGCCACAGGAGAATCCTACGATTCTCTTCACCTTTTTGAACGCGAAATAATCACGTATGATATTATTTTCATTCGCACACAAAACGCCAGTTAATTGCACTATTAATAATAGTAAGATATAGATTCGATTCATTGTGAAAAATTCAAATTAGTCGAATTGAAATCGAACGGAATTCCTCGAGGGAACGATTTTCAAACGATACTTGGTCAGTCTTGCGCTGATACACTTCATCGTTATTGAATCAGGAATTAATAATATATTTCCTCATCCATCAATCATAGCCTTAATACGATATTTAATAGCACATCAATATTACATTTATTTTCAATAATTAATAACGATTGCCGTGATGTACGTGCACTCCTAGTGTCCTCATGAAGTATGCATACTGGAAGTACCATTACTCAAACATTCTATTACTTCAATATTCTCTCGGGAATGTAAAACCAAATTGTGAAAATTTAAACATAAAAATAAAGAAATATTATACTTCAAAGTAAAGATAATGATTTCGTTAGTCTTCAAGCAATGTATATGTTCGTGTTTTGTACATACCGTATGAAACAATTTGCGCAAAGTGCAGACCGTTAAAGTGTTACAATGTTATAACAAACAAGATTCAACCACAATAATGAAGGATTTACTGCATATTAATAACTATTCGAAATTCAGCCAAATTCAATGTATCCGAAAACATTTATTTTCCTTTTCATTTACAGGGGGTAGAAGGACACAAAAAAAGAAGGAATGCAATCGAACTGATCTACTTTAACTAACATAATTTATATTCTCTAGCAACTCTCTTTCGATCACGTTCAGGGCCCGTCCTCTCAAATAGAACTTCTCACGCTGCATAAATAAAGTAACTTATAAATGACTAGTACGGATCGTTTTATATCGCGCGAACACGATCGCCACCACGCTCTGTCGTTCCAGCCTCCAGTTCCCATTGTCGTCAATGATCACTCTATCGCGAATGATGGTGCATCGTTCGTTGCCAGGTAAAACTTTCCTCGTAACCTATTTAAATTTAAAAGGCAGATGTAACTGGCGAAAGTTGTCTTAACATGGACAGATGGTATGAAATTGTGCGCGAAACATATGATCGATCGAGTATTAGGTGTATCAATAAGTAATTCACTATAATTTCAATATGGTGGCAATACAGTTTAGATTCAAAATATTTCTCCAATCTTCTGCTTGGAATAAATAAAGAATTTTGGTAAAATAGAGTAAGTATTTAAATTATTTCGAAACAAATAGGTAGGGGAACCTGTTGTACCTCGGACATGGTTGTACCACGGTCCTATATCCAATTTTAAATGTTCGTGGATCTCTTTTTTTTTGCAAAATTGCCAATACTAATTTATACATAATCTGCGAGAAGGCCTACAAAAGTTAGTTTGCAAGCGCTCGCGCCACAAATCGAGGCGTTACGACCATTTGAAGATTTTTTCACATCAAAAGTAATTCCCTTTTTTGTTTAAACTTTTGTAAATAATTTCACTTCTGTTCATACAGTTACAACCAGTTATTTTAATATAGTTTCGTAACTTATTTAAACATAGACTGCTGTAGAAAGAAGGGTTTAATCTCTAATCTATAAATGACACGATGTTGTTTTTGTAATTTTTGTACAGTGTACCTTGAGCCTTCAAATCGTATTATACTTTGGAAAGCTTTCTTTTCCAATATTTTATCTCTTTTTTGCCTAAACAGGTAACCAAATTATTAAAGTGTCCCGTAATAAAAACGAAATAAAAAAGTAAATGGTATTGTAAAGCAAAAAATATATATTCATACCTAATTAATAAAAACAAGTCCTATGTTCGAGGTACATAGGGGGTGTTGTACCATGGACATAATTACCGTTTTTTCTTTGATCATTTATAATTCTAATAAAATATATTGCAATCATTCTACAAAAATTAAGTTATGTATCTTATTAATCTGTAAACTATATACAATCTATAAAGTGCGTAAATTATTTAGGATTTTTGTAAAAATAAAAATAAAAACAACAATGTACCCAAGGCACAACAGGTTCCTCTACACAGTTTAGCAACAAGAATAATGGACCATTGGTACACCTAATTGTACAATCGTTTCATGAAATCGAAGAAAGGAAATGTTATCTTACGACGTGGACGCGTATTCACCCATCAGTACGACCGGGTTGTAATCGCAACGTCCGTCTTTGTACTTCTCCCAGTTCTCGCAGGTTCTTGCCTTGAAGCCTGCGGTGCTTCCTATACTTTCCGTCATGAACTGATGCGCCCGCGAATGACTGCAATAAGCTGACAAACCATTCGGCGCTAATACAATACCAATTAATGTTCACATTAAATGCATAAAGAAACGTTCAGAATTTATTTTACGCGGTAAATAAGAAGATCGAGTTTCGTGTGATCAATTATGAATCTTACATTATACATATGTACATAGTTATTCACTTCAGTTTCTTAATTCGTTCCTATTTTAGTACTGTTTGTTGAAACATAAAAGAGTATCACAGTATGTTTACATGATTCTATTTCAATATTTTTAAGTAGTAATTCTGTTTCTGAAATATTTTCGTCAATTAAATATTCCGCAGCAGCTTGTGCATATAATAATAACAAACCCATATAGCACATGAAGCCTCGAAGATGCCCATTTTACAGCTACTTTAGGTCTGAGGCGCCTTTAAGCCGACATTAAGTCGTCAATAAGTCGTCTGTGTGCTATTTGGTTAGTATTTTGTATATATACAACGTATGCATCTTTGAAATAAGAATGGTTTCCTTAAGAACTACGATACTGACGCTAAGATGGAATATAAAATGTCCTGATGTAATAAGATAAATGTTGCAAAAGAAATTGCTTAAGGCACCAAGATTGTAGTCGGTAACCTTATCTAAATTTTGGTAAGCCCCTTGAATACGACCCACTGTTTATATTTACATTACAAAAAAGAATTATCATGTTTATTTTATTTTCGAAATTCAACGTAGCGTAAATGATGGCGGCCATATTGGAACTTGTAGACGGCGGCCATATTAAAAACCGGAGACACCAATGCCTTTGACAATTTCTCCAACTAACTTTAACTATGTACAGACTTCTCCCAATTATCGTCTGGTTTATTCTACACGATTATTGTCCAGGCGTTACCCCCATCACGAGGGAGGGGGAGGGGGGCGTGGAACCTGTCAAGCGCATACTTTGTTGTCCCTCCACTTTTGTTGCCGAGCCTTGGGCTTCGGGCCAAAAACGATTTTACGAGGATCTAAAACATATCTCCTTGTATGATTATTGTCCCAGCGAGGACCCAAGTTTGGGACGATAATCGAGAGGAGTCTGTACATATGTAGTACATGTAATATGTCCCTAAAACATTTCATATTCACTCAAACTATTCTACAACCGTTCTTAAAAAAACTGTCGTCTTCAGAAATATCCTGTATGCATATACCTAAATAATAAAAAATTTCTGAAGTACATGAAGAAGATTTGATCATCGTTTACCATCGACGCTATCAGCTAATATCATCTGCGGGCTATTAGACAAGTAAAAAAATAATAATATACGAAAATATAGCTTTTACTTGTCGTAGGCATGAACGAGCATCCAGGCTGCGGGAACTTTCCGCTGTTCGGGTAGAAGTCAGCGTGACCCAGCGGTGCCAAGAATCCAAACGCCGAGCCGCTCGTGTGAATCACATCGACGAATTGCGCATCGGTTGGATCTAATCGGAATTCCGGGTCAACAATGCCAGAAATCGTCTCGAACAGGGGACTCGCCGGATCTAGGCCTTCGCCGCGATATCATCGTGTTAAGTAAATTGTCAATCATCTCGCGTGTCACGATAATACAGGGTGTCTCGGCTAACTTGATCACCTCGAATAATGACTTAACGGTACACTTTATGAACATTTTCAAGCGTGGAACTTAAATGGCATCAAGGGGCATATTTTATAAGGGGGACGTGTTTTGTTTTGTGGGTGGAGGCATTTTAGAGATCTCAAGGTCACCTTGATTTTTTTCAACGGAATAACCTACTAGTTAACGAGGTATTTACAAAATAGTTTTTAATACGTACTTACTATCTGGAAGCTATAAGTGCTCGCCCCTCAATTTCAATACAGCGATTTCAGTACAGTGATTATTTTGTAAATATTTTGTTAATTATTAGGTTTAGGACGTATGAAGGTAAACACATTTTTACTCAGAATTGGATACTCCACCGATTTATGGTACAAAAAATAGGTCATTCCATTAAAAAAAATCAAGGTGACCTTGAAATCTCTGAAATGCCTCCACTCACAAAAGCTTTTGCCTTATCTAGGCCTAAAAATTTTCATAGAGTGTGCCGTTAAGTCATTATTCGAGGTGATCAAGTTAGTTGAAACACCCTGCATAAGGTACATCCGTTCTCGCAAAATAATGATCGTTGTGCAACGTGTCGCGGTCCACGTTGACCTTTTGACCCGCAACAAACCTGTTATTCTGCCGATACGTCCATCCAAGTAAGCGCCGGCGAAACCGGCAAGGTGCGAGCCCAAACTGTGCCCGGTGATGTGAACGTCCTTGTACTCGAGATTCGACTCGCGGTTCAGAAATTCGAGAAAATCACCGAGAAACTCGCCCACCCGGCGGGTATTGTTCGCGGCCACTGGATAGACGTCGCTGGCCAATACGCCCCAACCGACGACGATCACGTTCACGTCTTGGTGAAGCAGGTACGCTGCGGTTGAAAGAATACAGGGTGTAACAAAAATGTTGCAGGTCTCGGAAATGGGACACTCGTGAGGCGATTTGGAAGAAGTTTTTCCTTAGCAAAAATGTTATCCGAGGCTTTGTTAACGAGATATTAACGGAAAACCCCGACCAATCAGAGCGCGAGTCTGCCGGCCCAGTTCCCGCGGTAGCGTTGGCAACGCGCTACGATTGGTAGCCAACGTTACCGCGGGAACTCGGCCGGCAGACTCGCGGTCTGATTGGTCGAAGTTTTTCGTTAATATCTTGTTAACGAAGCCTCGGACAACATTTTTGCTAAGGAAAAATTTGTTCCGAATTGTTTAACAAATGTCCCATTTCAGGGACCTGCAACATTTTTGTTACACCCTGTATAGTCGGTTAGTTAAGAACGTATCTCCTGGGAGAGGAAGTTTCGGTACCTCCTCCGATGCCACAGCTCGTCTCATGCACACTAACTTTCACAAAGCCCCTCAATTGGGGCTAGGGTATGTATTACCTGGGGAATTTATTACCCCCGACTTTCCAACCGTTCTAACTTTTTTAGGTACACCCTGTATAAGTGAACTTAACCCCTTGCCATACGATTTTTGTTACCACGTCACTCTCAAGAATTACTTTATGGTTAATATTTTTCCAGATGCAAAGGGAATTCTATTCTTATGGCAAGTGTTAAATTTATTCTAAACCTTAAATGCTAACACCAACGAAAGGGTATTTCACATCGACTGAAAGAAAACGAATGATATACATGCTTACTAAATTCAATTTGAAATCGTTATCACCTGTTTGCCTCGATGTTGTAAGGCAAGGGGTTAAAAGAGTTACTTTAGAAATATGGTACAGTAGAACATACACTAAAAACCAAATAAGACCATAACTGCGAAATGACGAGTTTCGGTCTTGTTTGCGCATATTCCTCTCGGTTACCTTAGTTACCAACCTCTTAAACAATTGAGCATCGTTATGCCTCGTGTAGCATCATACACTGAGTGACTGTGAAGTACAAACGTGCCAATTCATAAGTATTCATGTCTTGAGAAATACTTCATTATGTCACCCGATGTATGACAAATCCTATCGTTCCTGTTAGAGAAAGCGAGAAAGTGGGGGAACCAGGGGTTCGAGAGACCTCTCCTGCTCATTCGAAATGCGCGATACAGTTATGCTCTTATTTGGCGTTTAGTGTAGACTATTTCCTAACCTACATATTGCGTGTCCAATTTTTATTACCCGTCGAAAGATGTTTTCTAGAAATTTTAGACAATGGTGAAATTCTGAAATGATCGAGTGACGTCAATAATCGACTGATTTTTTAAATTGAAATTGTGAGTGGTGCGTCTTTTGGGGGATTTGTTATGGTTTGGGTCCCGTACTCTAACGGATAAAATCGAAGTTCTACTCTATTCCCTTTCTATAATAGCACTACGAACTACAAACGTGATTGCAAAGAGCATAAACATTATTTTCTAATTGTCTCACTGACTAATGACTCGCTCTACCTTTTTCTCTGTAATTCACTCGATTATTGATATTCCGTTCTCCATATTTAAAACTACAGTAAGGCTCGCCTACTGTTAACTACCCCATAAGACAATAGAAATTATGATACGATTTGTCTCGGAAAGAAAATTATTTAAAGTAAAACTTTAATTTAAAATCGTGGGTATCTTACGAAAAATTGTTGTCTCAATTTAAATTCGAAGACTTCCAATGTCAGCGCGAAGAGGGGCGTCAATAATTTTCTAGGACAACTGATTATTGAAGCGCGAAGACAAGTCAAAGAGAAGTAATTAACGACGACAATATTTCAGTCAGGGGCAAAGTGTCTTCGTCGGATCGCGTTGGAAGCGGCTTTAAATCGAAATTTTCGCACAGTTATGTCAGAAGCATGGCGTGCGGTCGCGCGAGCAAAAACTTGTTAAATGATCAATTAAGTTGTTATCGGGCTGACCTTTGAACCTGACGACGTCGATTCCGTGTTTACCGAAACGGATTGACCCTGATTGTAATTAAATTTCACTGATGCCACATTGCCGTCGACATTTCTAGAAATTGCGTTCCTAACACGGGGCGCCACCTCGCGCTATTAGCTACAGTTATTCAAAAAAAATTTTTGAATAATATGTATACATACACTGCTGGCCAAGTATTTGAAATTTAATTAATACTATGCATTTTAGCGACACCTTCGATTATCACTATATACAGTAAAGTTGCGATGAGTGCGACGTACTAGAGTCCATTGCGGAGCAGTCATGGCAAGGACAGATTTTCAGTCCCTCGTAAATTTGTTTTTTACCCGAAGCTGAGCCTCTGCTTAGCTTCTGTTCACTCTGTTTTAATTTGTACCACACGGGAACTCCCCCAGTGGTGGGAATAACGCCGTTGCTCGTGTCGCATTCATCGAGGAATCACTGTATTTCGTCATTGTTGCTTTGAATTTACTTAGATTTGAATTGGTTGACGTTCATGGATGAAGAATGTTTTAAAAAACGAAATGTAAATTAGAATTAAAATATTCTCAACTATTCGAAGAACGAAATACAGGAACTAAATATGAGAACTAAAATAAATATAGGGGTTAAATATGGGAACTAAAATAAATATAGGAGTTAAATATAAGAATTAAATATGGGAACTATTATAAATATACATTCAGATAATGGGTATTCTGCTGTATAATATTTCGTTTTTTTTGCGGCAGCTTCTTTCGTACGAAACGAAAGACAGTTGATTGCCTACCGTCTATCAAACCTCGTACCCAGGCCTCATTTCCGGTGTCGCTGTAACCGTGAATGATGAACTTCGTCGGACGACTTTCATTGAGGTGGGACGCGTAGAGGACCTCTGTGTTGTTTAAGAACAATTTCTCCTCCCCAAACGGATTTTCTCTGTTGAAAGAAAATGGGAAGATTAATCGATTAAAATCGGAAGTCTAGTTATCGTAAACGTTTTTCTCCTGTTAAAAATAAATTTTCAGGAATATAACGTAAAACTCCTTCTGTTTCGAAACTTTAAATTACACATAAAGAAATAAGTTGTACAGTATTTGAACACCTTTAATTATAGAGCAAAAATAAATTCGAAAATGTTTTCTAATATACTAATGTGTATTTGAATTTATTAATTATTTTTCATGACAATTGAGGTTCTACTTTTTCTTGAATTAACACAACGCACTTCATCCGGGGAGGAATTTATCTTATCCACAACAACATAACTTTATTTTCTTTTTCGTTCATTCACTGCTTTTTTTTGTCGTATCTCTTTAAACAAAAATTCATTGTCATACACAGAGTGTGTTTTTTTTTTAAGTTTGATAGTCTAATTAACCTTGTATAATTATAGTAAACGTCAAATTACTGTTTTTCTTACAGTTTGAAATTGATTTCTCAATTTACTTTCATCTTACTCCTCGCATTTATTGACATTTGTACGTTTAGGGGTATGACTAACAACTAATATGTATACTTAAAAATATAAATTTAATAATTAACATTATTTTGTCCTTCCTTATCATTAGTGCATACAAGAATGATTGGGACAACCCAACACTATACTGCAGATTTCACGTATTTATACCAAATGCAACTGACGGAAATAGTAATGCAATAACTCAACAAATTCAAATTATTTAATTCATTTGTATCCATTATGAATGCGTAGAATCCATTGTTTAATCACGATAAATGAAATTTACGTTCCATTACTAGCCCAATCAAATGTATTAAATTAGTGCATACCAAATGTCATTATCCAATGGGGTTCATTTCAGCCATCTTAAAATCGTTAACACTAGAACTACCAGCATTGAATGTATGCTAAGTTAAATTGTGTAATATATTAATATATTTAATATATAATGTAATATAACTTAGTATACTATAACATAAAGTGTACAAGAAATTAGAGATGAACATAAATTCCGATGAAAGTATCTCTAGGATTTCAATAATTGCAAAATAAAAAATCTGGAATCCGTCATTTTGACGGGTTTGGTAGTTCTATTGTTAAACACGGACCAAGAAGCTTGTAACTCGTTAGCAAGAGTAGACTCAATTCAGATGGATCATATTTCGATTAAACATATTTGTTTCAAAATAACTCGTAATCGTTCAAACTCTGTGATCTAAAAACATTGATTATGCAATAACCTAATGTAACAGACGAAACAGAATTGGATTCAATGTTTGCTTTTTTAAATAATCCTTGACACAAGACCTACCAAAGCAATCAAAATGACTGGTTCGTAAATGCTTATAAAAGTAATTAAACTGGTATAATAATATATTGTCTTAGATTTTTCGCAACCTTTATTCTAACACACAAATGAAAAAATTCGTTAATTAACTTGCATATTTTCAACCTGATAGAAAGAAAAACACAAATTCATCTTCGTTACTTCTAGTGTCAAAAATCGTGTAAATTTGTCGTCAAAAATTTGCGTGTAGAATCACATCGGTCGTCTCTATTCGATAATTTCCGAGATTTCGCCCAATCTACAGATCGAGGATAGAATAATCGGTCGTGGAAACGGTGAATTTTCATGGGAAATACCGATGGACCAAGCGGAGGATCCTCGAGGCGCGCGTAGTGGCGCCTCGTTTCGCCACCGGGCTCTCCGATCGAGCAGATCGCGGCGAAGACGTTCGCGCGGGAGAAGAATAAAAAAGAAAATAAAATAAAAGAAAAAAGAAATGGAGGCGCGTCCGCGATATTCACGCGTCGACGATAATCAGTCGAGCGTCAGCGCTGAGAATAGAATTCTGCCGACTTGCTGATTGCACGTTTATCGTTGAAAAAATTGATGCATCGTTTACGAACGCGAACGATAAACGGACGGCCGCTCTCCGCACGGGCGAAAAATTCGCGGTTGGTTACCAAGGAGAGACGCGAATTTTCTTGAACGTTCCGAACGCACACAGTTTTTCAATCATGAAAATTCAAAAATTTTCGTCGATAATCGAATTTTAGGACAAAAATTGTTAGGAGACGAGAATTTTCTGGAACGTTTCGAACGCACAGTTTTCCACCACTACGAAACTCTTGTTGGGACTGCGAATAATTTGAACTATTGACTTTGGTGAAAATAAAAAATTTTCATCGATAATCCAATTTTAGGAAAAAAATTGTTACGACGAAACGAGAGTTTTCTTGAACGTGTCAAATGCACCATTGCGTAAATCTTATTTTGGGAATGTAAAAGTTTAAACTAATTGATATTGGTGAATTTTGTATAGTACACTGTTGAATTGAGATCTATTTTAAGGGATGTATGTATCGTCTACGGACACTCTCGTGCACTTTTTTTTTTACCTTCGTAAAGGACGAAGAATGAATGAAAATTGAGAATAGCGTAACATGAAAGGTTGTATTTGTTAAAGGTTTAATGTAAACGAAATGTGAAAGATGAACTGAAATCGAGAGTAAACTTTTGGCAGAAGAAAATAAATATTGTAAGTGAAAATATGTATACTTGAAAGACGAAGAGAAATGATTCTTGCAAGATGAGACTGGAACATCTCCATCTGGATCAATTATTGATCGAGATTGATGAATATATAGGTACAATTTCTACGAACACTAACCACTAATCGTATTTTTATTTCGGAAGCTGACTATCGATTAACGACTGAGAATCTTGTCTTTGTTCCTCAAAATATTTAACTGTCACTGGCTAATCCCTTGATATGTAACATTCATCAACAATTGCATCTTAAAGTAGCTCATGCGTTTGGTGTCGTATCTAGCTAGGACTCCATATGACGCTTTATACTTTTTATCAATTTTACCAATTTAATTTGAATGATTGATATTTTAAACTAATTCAAAATACTGAAATAGAAAAAATATTTACGAATAAGTGGAAAAGACAAAATTTCTTTTTCCTTATTGTAAACAAAATTTGAAAGTTCGTCGTAGGAATCAAAGGAGAACAAGTAAGATTGACGCTCATAGCAGACATGCGTAGAAGATACTGCCAAACGCATTGAAACTTAAGTTTGCATACTTTGATCTTAATTTTAAGTTTTATTTTATCGTTAACATGTATTTCTTTTCCGTGCCATTATAATCCCCGCAAAAAAACATGTATAAACACCTAATTTTTTATGAAAATATCATTTTTTTAACTGAATAAGAAGTGATGAACTTCTCAGTATCAATTACAGTTCCATAAAGCTCGTGTTAAAAAGACATTTCTATGACGTTTCTTTTTCAATAATTTTGTCGTTGACCTTGCGATTTTTTGGTAGCAACCGAAAGTTGAAGCTTTTAAGAATGTTCTGTTAAATTTTTAAGTAAATTTATAATTATTAAAAACTTGCGTGAGCCACCTTAAGGAGGGAGCCTGACCATACCCCGGCGCGGAACACCATTTTTCGCTCACGGACTGCACATAAGTGCTTATAACTACAATGTTTATAGATTTATCGTGAAAATAAACATTTTTCTATTCAGCTTAAGTGTCCAATAAAGTATTCTCAAAATTTCAAAGCGGTTGGTTTAATAAGTTCTTCACAGGAAATTCTCAAATATTCATTCCTTTTTAGCCAGTTTACACCAGGCTCCCCCCTTAAAAAATCATAGCAACACGATTAAACACACAAACGTGAAACAACATTTCCTCATAATTTTCGATTTCCGATGATTTCCTTACAAAAATGTTCACTTGATTTCAATAGAAAAATTAAACACGAAACTTCCTAACAACTTACTTTTCCTATATCCACTCTGTATCAACACAGACATTTGTACGTTACAACCTATCCTCCATTGATCACCATAAGAAATCACTCATCGTAGCACACACAGCTTAAAACACACAATTACCAGAACCAACATCCAATCTCACTACTCTCGCAGCTTCGAACTACCAACTTAATAATCCAAATGATGTACACCTGTGCCATACCTAGTATACAAGTTGAACGTGGCTGGTTCCTGTGCAGCCTTGAACACCGACTTGATGACCGACTCCACATCGTTCAGCAGCGTGTTCTGCGGGTACGTGTACGCTGGAACCACGGTTATAAAAAAAATTTCTGTACAAAAAACGGAACAGTACGTGACGCCCCGTCCAGGTAGCGGTATAAACACACATTCGAAACACCGGCGTGATTGAAATTCTCGAAACTCTGATTATTACCAAAGGACACCAGTTGGTCCGTGGATCTCTGACCTACTGGATAGAACGAGGCCTAACTAACACTATGGTACAATCTGGTACGATACACTCTTTAAACAACGACAAAAAATATAAGAAGAATATCTATATTCTTCTATCACTTGGGAACGCGTTCGAGGAATATGAACGTGTCAAGACCCACGTGGGTCCCCTTCGTTTTACCTGACGCGAGAACGATCGCCAGAAGGATGAGGGTCTCGACTGGTGACATGTCTCTCCGCGCGATACCGCTCGCCGTTGCACTGGATTACTACTGCAGCCGGCTTAGCGGCGGGGTCACCATTCATCCCACCAGCGATTTCTCATCTTTTGATGCTCGATAAATCCGACGCGTTCGGTGGCAGTGTTTGTTTCCTTAATTAATTACGACACTCGTCCTCCCCCCCCCCCCCCCTCCCCCTCTAAGCACCGAGGGGCCCCTGGCACTGCTTCCTAGAAGTTTCTGTTCGCTCTAGAATTTGATATTGCTGAGTCACAAACGGTGCTTTCGACATAATATAGGAATTACGACATTCCTATTATCGACCAGTATTTCTTTTTTTTTGTTCGTGTCGTTTTGGTAGACTAAGGATGTTTGCACGGATTTTGTATTTTAGAGACTGGTTTCTGGAGATCGAACTTTAATAGGAATTTGTTGGGTTTCTCTATCGGGGATTTGAAATGATTAAAACTAAGGGAGAGATTCGCATTGGGGTTTATACAAAAATCGACTTTTGACAAAAATCAGTTTTCGAATTTTTAGAAGAAAAAAAAAACCAAAAAGAAATATAATTAAAGCAGTAAACAAATATTTACACCTATTTTCACATTTTTGAATTTATTTAATATTTATGGAACTACAAAAATATAACAAAATGTAATATACTCCACACGAAACCAAATAAAAAGAACTAAAATAACTAAAATCCATAAAAATATAAATTATAAAAAAACATGAAGCGTCCACTGCATGAAATAAAAAATACTCTTTCACTGGCTACTGAACTTGATTTAATCGTTTTCAGGACATCAAATAATGAATCTAAAATTTTTGTTCTTTTATTGGTTGTCTCAAATACTGAAAATTGGGCCTTCAGCGTCTTTGGATTTGATATTTTTATAAATTCTTCAATTTTTCGAGTACTCACGAAAAAATTCGACTGTTCCAATCAGTATTCTTATCTCAGGTTTTGAAACGGTGCGATCCTATCAGCGCAACTGCAATTCTTGTAAAGTGATCTGTGAAATAGGTACACGCTGTGGTGTTTTAGTAGGTAACAATGCCGAATGTAATTTGCAAAATATGTGCTACCAAGTTAGCATTAAAACAAATATGACGTTATGTTACGAAATGTACATTAATTTATATGGTTCATAAATAAAATTTCTTGTCGAATTTACTGACAGTTAACAACCGATACTAATCCGTCGAAACCACTACTGGGTGAAATGTGTCGAAACTTTTACTCCGTCCGTGTTTCCACGAATGTATTTTCGTAGTACTAACATAAATATCAACGTGGTTGTTTGATAAACAATTTCGTAACGATAATCGACGCATAATGTGGTGTCAATCTTAAAGAGTCTAAACGAAGTCTCATAACTGAAGATAGATTTGGACAGTGTAATCGGAATTGTGATAAGCGATAAGTACAGTATGTCTGGTTTAAGTGTACACACGCTATTAATTCTCAAACTATTGAAAATGCAAAAAAATGCTTCGTATAAAAGTTGTTTGATTTCATAGAGCAAACTTAATAGCAACGCCGGATCAAGGGGGGGTCTGGGGGGGGGGGGCTGTAGTCCCGGGTCCCACGTTTCAGGAGGGCACCGTTCTGAACCTTCGATTTCGTTGTGGTTAAATGCTATTTAATTTTATTTAAAATAAATTTTAATTTGTGAAGACTTATGTATTTTGTTGTACCGTATTACAAACCCCTCCTGCTATTCAACCAAGGAGTCCCCGGAAATTGAATAGTCCTGGGCCACAAAAAATCTTAACCGGGCCTGCTTAATAGAATATTTGAATTTCTTTTTAAATTATTATTTACAGAGATTTCAATAATGTAATTTTTTAAACGGACCTAAAGATATTTATTATCGCCGTGTTATTAAATATTTCAAGACAAATTCAATGACATATTTGAATGTTCTGTTTGAACAACAATTTCTCGGATAATTGTATGAATATTGGTTGCAGTTTCGCTGTTCCTTATGTTGCGGATCACACGTAATGAGTAAAAGACGCTAACCGAGCTAAACATGAATATTATTATAAGTTATATGCTATCACAGAGACCATATATAGCACTAGTAATTTTCTTTTGGGCCGAGAAAAAATTAATAATTCATGACATATTTCAAATTTTTCATACCAAATATGTCACGAATTATTAACTTTTTCACATGATACCTTAATACTTTATTACGCAGAATGTTTAGAAGAATGGATTCATGTAAAACAAATATATTTATTTTTATTCATTAATCCCGGCACTATCTCCACTCCTATTCCTAACATCAATTAACCAAAAAAGTAATAAGAAATAATAAATAATAACAAAATAATTAATTCTAAAACTTTTAAGTATATTGGGGTCTCTAGGCCCCCACTAGGACGCCACAAACTTGCAGTTCTTCCGCCATCTGGGATTCAGAAATGTACCGGACAATTTGGGAATTTATGGGACATTTAGTGGAGCCCCCACCACTTTGGTGGCGGAAATTGGAACAATTTTTAAAACTTTTAAGTGGCACCATCTGGTGGTGTCTTTGCAAACTATCGAAGAAAGTTCTGGAATTAGTTCCAATTTCCGCCACCAACTGGTGGGGGCGTCACTAAATGTCCCATAAATCTACATTTTTTCGGCATTTTTCTGAATCCAAAATGGCGGAAAACTGCAAGTTTGTGGGGGTCTCTAGGCCCCCCACCAGCTGCCTGTTTACAGACTGGTAACCAATTGTGTTTATTACTCATTTCACTGGCAATAAAATACATCGTTTTTATCCTCAAACGTTCAAACGCGAAAATTTGGTTGCTTGTCGAGTACTAAAATAAGTGTTAAACTGAATGTGGTTCTTTCATGCAAGTGTGTCATGAGTTTCAGTGACTTCTGTAGTCAAATGGTGGGGGGCCTTTCCCCTACGTTGCTTTTCCCCCAACGGGAGCCGATTTTGCTCGTGGGTGTATATGGCCATTACATATATCTCGTCTGTCGTTCAAAAACATGTTTTGTTGATGAAAAAACCAGAGAGATAGTGGAAAATGACCGCAGAATAGAATTTGTTTTTTAATAAATGTATAAGAATTAGTTAATTTTATCTACTTATTCTAACAGTAATTCTAACAGTGTATTATACTTTGTTAGTATCAAATTTCTGAAGAGGTACCATTAAACGAAAAAATATACCTTCATTTGAAACACTGTATTCAAAACAACAGATGTTTTATCTGCCGTAGTTTTATATATCATATTAGTTGCATTTACATTTAAAACAATAACTGACATACTTCTACCTCAAATTCTACATGTATACATAACTGCATTAGCAGAAGCTTGCATCGCCTGCATGATTAAACTGCACTGAACTGCGCACGTCACCTGTTTATTCATGATCGTGGTGTCGTGCAGAATGCTGGCTTCTGTGAAGGCTCGCAGTTTTTATCCGTCGTATATCTGTCCCGTGTTTTGACAGTCGATTTAAATTTATAAAATTAACCATATAAGTTAGCAACGCATAAAAATTACTATCGACAAGTGTCCAACGACTATCGTTTCACAGTGTGCGTAAACAATGGGACTAACAACGCATGCTGTCGATGCATTGCAATATTACGAAGATAAACAATTTGTAACGATTGTCATTGGGACACGTATTTAAGAAGCAATAAAAGATGAATTCGTTCGATTCGAACGGGCCAAGCGCAGAGAAAATACTTCTACTTCTCGAGGAACTCTGTGATCTTTCATATCCGCAGGTCCAGCAAAAGTTAAATAAATATGTGAGTACTACTACGCTTCTGACGTTTTTGGCGGCACGCGTGTCTTATTTTGAAAACATTATGATTCGTTCCTAATGCAAATGTTTATTTTTGTATTGATTAATGACGAAAATGTTTTGAAATTATTATTTACACGTAATGACAAAATAAATTGAAGAATCAAAAATCTAGTTTCTATTCATAAAAATAAGTATTATATTCATTTACAATCGAAAAATTTTTTGTAACTCTTAATATTGTCTACATGTAATTCTAATTTAAAAATAATTTATATCAACCTGGTTTAGATGAATTTAAATATCTATTAAAGTATAGATAGATTATATTAAATCATTTTTTAAATATTATTCTTAATATTGATGTTACAATGTTGTAGATACAAACTGAAACAAACATGAAAGTATCTTTTCTGATGCCCATTTTAATAAAATCAGAGGAGATGGTAATTCATGTGATAGGAGAACAAATTTTAGAGAGAGAACTAAGATTTTCTGTAAGTATGAATTACATGTAATTACATTAATAATAGACTTTGGATCTGCATGCATTGTGACCTATACAAATATTGGAATTAAGTAGAAATTTATTTCTTCTTGTTAAGTTATTTTTGAATGAAATTTTTATTAATGTGTTTATGATTATGCAACTGTAGTTTACTTATTACTTCCTGTAAACTTTTAATTATTCTGTGAAATATAAGTATTTATATTTTTAAAAGTGAAAGAAGAAGAATGTAGAAATGAATTTTATGAGTGTTTAAACTAAAACATTTGCAAGTACATTTGTAACTTGAAGTAGAATAGCTTTGAGGACTGTCCTACATTGGTATTACAGTCTGCATTGCAGTGGCTAATCCTTAAATAGAATACATACTTAGAAACCTACATGAAAGAAGCCATACATAAGACTGCTATTGATATAACATTGCAAAATATCACATAAGCCAATGGAAAATCTTATCAAAGTCAATAATCCTTATCATTCGCATATTTCTAGTTTTCCATTTTTTATAAATCCTTATGCCATCAAATATTTTTCTCCTGATAAGATAATACACAATTATAATTTATCTATGCAAGATACACAAAAATTATTGTTTCTGTTAGGTAAACAGGAAGTTCTAAAACACTGATTTATGAGTGTGATTACAATTTAAATGACTAGATATATATGTTTTAGTTATACAATTCCAAGTAAGAATGTTTACAGGTAGTAAATAATATTTTATATAAGACTGTACAATCTAAGGAACCAACAGTCATTGATGTCACAATGCTTGACGAAGAACTGTTACGTCACCTTCAACCAATATGTCCAGTAACAAATTCATTCTTAATGATTCCCATACAGCATCCTAAGCAAAATCATGTAGCTTTGATAGTTTCTTTAGTTGATGAAAACAAAAACGAAGCTACTCGTAAATGTACGGAAATTGTTCAAAAATGTTTTCGGTAAAGCAACTTTTTTGTATCATACTAAAAGGGAAATTAATCATAGCCTTGAGAAGAAACACATAATTACGTATTCTTTTCTTGATATAGATTCTGTCTAGGATTTCTTCTAAATTCGTTCGCGTGTTATGAAGAAAGTCGGTTGAAACATCAGTGTCAGAAATTGCTTGCTGTTTCCAGAAAACTCTTTACGCATTTGGGTAAGATCTTTTGAGAATATTATAATTATTAATGTAATTGTATGTGTCGAATGAATATTTTAAATGAACAGGGGACTTTTCTGATCTTCTGCGGGAAATAATGGCAGAAGTAAGAAATCTAACGAACGCCGAGCGATGCTCGCTGTTTCTTTTGGATCCCGATCAACAAGATTTAGTTGCTAAAGTGTTCGATGGTATTGCCATGAAAGAAGTGAGTTAAAGTCTCCGAGACGAAGCTTTTCACGTCGCGAACAAAGTTTAAGACCCGATTGTTTCTAGTCTGTGAAAGAGATGAGAATACCGATAGGGCAGGGTATAGCAGGTCACGTCGCAACTACTGGTAAATTACTTAATATTAGAAATGCATACGAACATCCTCTTTTCTATCGTGGAATAGACGAGGTTACAGGCTTTAGAACTAGAAATATTTTATGCTTTCCGATCAGGGATGAAAATAAGATTGTTGGTGAGTGAAGATGCAATTCTCATGTATTACAAGAATATTGAGAAACGTTCTTTAAAAAGGTGTAGAATAAACAATAATGTTATCGAAACTGTTCGTCACTGCAGGGGTTGCACAGCTCTGTAACAAAAAGGATGGATTATACTTTGATGTTTTTGATGAAGAAGTTGCGACAGCATTTAGCATTTACTGTGGAATTTCTATAATGCACAGTATTGTTTACAAGAAGATGCAGGATGCTCAAGCAAGGAATAAACTTAGTAACGAAGTAATGATGTATCATATGAAGGTAGAGTTCTGTCAAACTGTAAGAATTTTAAAATGAATTCGGTTTAGTCTCTCTAAATGGTATGTGTTAACAGGTAGAAGAAGATGTTGTTCAAGCACTATTGAATTGTAAAGATGAACATAATATAAAAGATTTCAATAAATTTCAATTTACACCCAGAAGTGTACCTTACAAACATATGCCCTGTTATACAATCAAAATGTTCAATGACTTAGGTCTTATTAAACACTGGAAGCTAAAGTTGTCGACCTTAGCCAGGTATGGGAATGTTCGAGTTTTTAAAAATTAAAATTAATTTTCGTGAACTTCACAGGTTTATACTATATGTGAAGAGGGGATATAGAGATGCACCTTATCACAATTGGATACACGCCTTCTCTGTAGCACATTTTGCGTATCTACTGATGAAAAATTTGCAGCTTATCACGGACAATTATATGACTCACTTGCAAGCTTTAGTTTTTTTGGTGTCTTGTTTGTGTCACGATGTAGATCATAGAGGGACTAATAATTCCTTTCAAACAAAATGTAGCACAGTCCTGGCTAGTCTTTATAGTTCAGAAGGCTCTGTAATGGAGGTAAGGTTGCATCTCCAAAAATGAATATCGTATGAGAAATTTTCTTCATTAATAATTCAATTTTATGGAATTTGACAGAGACATCATTTGGCACAGACTATGTGCATTTTAAACACAGAAGGTTGCAATATATTTGAAAATTTCAATAGCAAAGAATACAGCGAAGCATTGGATTTGTTAAGACATAACATACTTGCAACTGATTTAGCGGCTCATTTTCGTGCTGTCGAAAAACAGAAAGAGATGATAAACAATAATTATGACAAATTTGATCCTAAACAACAGAAACTGTTATTTGAGATGCTTATGACGTGTTGTGATCTTAGCGATCAGACTAAAGATTGGAAGGTTTCGAAGAAAACTGCAGTAGGTAGAATATTAATTATCATAATAATAAACTAATGACGTGTTAGTAAAAGTATTAAACTGGAAAATTGTAATGCATTAGGAACAAATTTACGATGAGTTTTTCTCACAAGGAGATTTAGAAAAGAGTATGGGCAGTTCTCCTATTGAAATGATGGATAGGGAGCGCGCTTCTATTCCAGACCTTCAAGTTCAATTTATCACAAATATAGTTCTTCCACTTTTTACGTGAGTATTTTTTCTACAACTATACTTTTCTAATATTAGTTGATAGGAAAATAGGAACAATAATATATTGACAAACCATGAAATCTTTTTTTTTATTTAAAAAGAAATTCTGTAACAGGAGTCATTGAAAGACTTTGTACTTATTAAGGAAAAATGTTTATCTTCTACAGTATTTTTTCTGTTTCATAGCGATCTTTCTACATTGTTCCCTATGGTACAACCACTTGTTTACGTGCTGAAAGAGAATCGAGATTTATGGGAGGCATCTAAAGTTATATTTCAAAAACATACCCGAACAGGAATGAAAGGTATTAATATTTTGTTGGATTCAACGTTTGAAGAAGAAGTATTACAAATCTATGCTCAAAGTAATAATAAATTGTCAAGGGAGCCTGTAACCAAATAGAAATTAAATGGAACAAAAAAGTAATATTCAAGTGAAAAATACGGATATACAGATATCAATTTTGCTATTAGAGATAGAATTTGTAGAATATATAGAGCGTAATATTTTTAAAATATGAAAGCAATAGAAGAGCTTATTAGATAATAAGCACGTGAAGATTGAACAAAGTTTGATCATCAGAAGAGCGCGGGCGTTCTGAAGTTGTTTTATTTATTATATTTAATGTTACATATATATGTATGTATATGTATATTATGAATCATAAGTATTGTTTTTTTTTATCTTTCCGAGTATAAGCCTGAAATATGAACTGCCCGAATATTTACCCTAATATCATTTGTAGTTATGATCGTTGTGAATATTTTTTAATATTTTCCTGCTACATATTAACGAAAGTTGAAATACAGTTCCTAATGTTCCTAGAAGTACTTTGTAGAGATATAAACAAGTCATATAATTCATAATATACAAGGAACGCAGTATGTATGTCTAAAAAATCAAAACATTTTTACGTAAATGACCAATTGTAATTGCGGCGTATCTGAAATTTTATGTTCCGATGATAGTGCAATATTTTTCGTTTAGAAATGAAGTTGTCAATAAGTGCAATTAAAAGAAAAAGTATTATAGCTAAGTCATTCGATATTTCCTGCTATTTACTTAAATTTTTTTAACATTCATGAAAAGTACTCTGCTCAAATTTATGAAATGCAGTTTTTATTCATATATACCGAGTGAATCTCCCGCTGCTAGGATGGAGAAGCAAGCCACTTGCTTTGTCGTTTAAAAGTTGCTAGCTACTCCTGCCGAGCAGTAAAAGATTCACCGGGTATATTTATTACAGTCAAAATTGTCCAATTTAGTAAGTACTGTTCTATATTTATTAAGAAACAAAACTATAGTAAGACAGTTAATAGTTAGATTTATAAAGATACATTATTCAAATTTACAAAAAATATTCTTATTAATATCTTTATCTTTTTGACATTCGAAAAGGCTTAAATCTAGTAGAAAACGCATGCTCACTTAATAGCATTAATGAATAATAAAATATAAATCGAATAGCCTTTGTAAACTTTTACATTGCAGTAGAAAATATTCAGCATTTGGAAATATTTACAAGTCTACCAATATTTATGAAAAATTGAACTTCGAGTAGATTAAATATTACTACTTCTATAGTATACACAATATTAGTGAAATATCTATGAGATCAAAACCTATTTTAGATTATTCTGAGTAATTACTAGATTGTGCATGCTAATGCATATACAACATATGTTCCACCGTCTATAAGTTCCATTTTAATAACTTTATTTTATATTTGTCTGAACATCTACAGTCTGATAATCATAAAGGATTCTAAACTTTTTACAACATACAAATGAAACAGATGTAAACTGTATAAAAATGTATATAGACAATAAAAAGTAATATTAATTGATTACAAATTCATTGTGTTGTATCACTTTATTAAACCCATCTATCCTGATGATAGTTTAAGTCCAGTAGGTAGTGAGTACAAAGTTTGTACTACAAACAGTGGGACAGGTGAGACCGGTGAAACAGAACGGCATCCCCTCTACTATTACCTACCGTTGTCTCCCACTTTACTTCCACCATGCTGACACACAACCATATTTCTACCCCTCTTATATTATATACAGATGACTATAGTAATATATTGTATATATAGGATAGTAAACCGTGTATCCCCTGCCCGTTCGGGTCTTTGATCTTCTTCAATCTTTTTCTTTCCGCCAACAATCTACCCAACTGTACCCAGCAACGCGTCATTGTTTTATAGTCGACTGGTAGACGTGAATACGCGTCTATTGTTGAACAGAGTGTGCAATAACAATAAGCGTTATTTACAAAAATAATTAAAAACAATGTGCGTGTACGATAAAGTAAGAACAATTGTTTTAAAGAAAAAGCCGGTTCCAGCAAATATGTTAACTTGACGAAGCTTGAAACGCTTTTTACAACGTCTTGGTTATATCATGGCTATTTTCTATATAATATGTTTTAAAATTAGTAACATTTGTACATTCGAACTGTTTTGAAATAAATTTTGAACGAACAGTATACTATTTACAAGCGAGGCTTTATAATTATTACTCGAAACTGAACGTTAAACATTATATGCTTGAGGACTAATACAAGGGATACTATTTCTACAATTATTGAAAATGAGTACGGAAAACGATTTTAATATAGCAGTCAGATACCGAACTGTTCGCAAGCATTTGGATAGTTTAGGATATAAGCATTCAATAAGTTTGGATGCATTACCTTTAATAGAGAAGTTGCTTGCTGATCTTCTTCAGACGACTGAGAGCTTAAAGCATTTTAAGAGTATTGCACAAGAAAATATTGAGGTTCGTATGTTTATTATTTCAGATTACTTCTAATGAAAAACAATAGAGGCATATTAGGTCATCAGGTTGAATAAAACTATATATATATACATGGATAATAATTTCTCTGTAATATTATAACATATTTTCAAATCACACTTTATATGAAACAATATAATGTCAGTATTATATGAATTAATTCATGAAATATAAAAAACATTTTTAATATAATAATAAAGAATAAATTATGTAGGCTTTTATAATATTTTTATATAATTTATTGCCTTCATTGTATGTGTAGGCACAATCCCAATTACAATTAGCAATTGATCCTTACAAATGTGACAATGCAAGGTTAATACAAGAATGCAACCAGCTTCACTTAGATTTGATAAAGGCAAAGGAAAGTCATCAGAAGCAGATCAAGGAGTTCAAGAAAGAAATACAAAAATTAGAGCGTGAATGTAATGATCTCCAGCTCGCGTCATCTCGTAATTTGCACAGAATTAAGGAATTAGAAACTGAATCTTCCAGGAAATCCAAGAAAATTTCAGAGCTCCAAGGAAAGTGCTTGAAGCCAAAAATCAGTAATGTTGGATTAGGTAATAAGTTTCCTTCTTATATGTATTTTAATTTATCTCTCTACACTTGATTTGTAATGATAAAAGAAATATAACAGTTTGAATATAATTATTTACATAACCCAGTATTAATTCATTTATTGATAAATGTCTAAACTTCATTGAAGAACTTTGTATTATTTTTAGTGATTGTACTTAACTCTTAATAATTGACACATATTGTATTCGTCTTAACATTATAAATAGGATTACAACAGAAGTTGTATAATCTATAAAAAGTTTAAATTGAAAACTGCATTATTTTTGCAGCTTCCAAGAAACGTCCGTGTTATCCTCTTCGAAGACCAATTGTAGAAAGTGACCTGCCACCAAAAATTGTGGCTAAAACCCCTTCTATACCTAATTTGAGCACAGTGGACCCAAAAGTCATTGATTTGATTAGCATGGCAGACCATAAAATGAACTGTTTGACTCACGAGGTAACAAAATTAAAAGGAGAATTCTCATTACAGACTGAGAATGTGCAGACATTGAATAGTCAGGTATATTATTAATAACTATATGCATGTGATCTTGTGGAATTCCTGCTCAAACTATGGAAATGCTTGACATCGAATGCATTGCATGAGCTTGTAATTAGTGGAGAGTGGCGATACATCTATTGGCTATTAAATGCATGCATATCTGTTCGAATTCATTATTCTGTATACATATTAAGAGATCAAATTTTTAAACATGTATATACATTACACGAATCTATTTACAGGTAACTGCCAAAGAAAAAGAAATTATACGATTGAAAAAAATGTTAGAAGGTGGTAGACCATATTCAGCAGTTTCAAAAGATTGCCCTTGTAAAAACAAAGAAATAGCTAATACAAAATACAGTGATAATATAGGTCTTCACGAGCTGAAGATTCTTCAGCAAGAAAAGTTAGAATTGGAAGAGAAATTAAAAGGTGAAAACGAAAATATAAAATATTAGAATGCACTACTTTTATGCTTACTATGTATCCTTCGCAGAAGCTTTAAGTAAACAACACGATGCCATGACTCAAGCACTTAAACTTGCTGATCGAAATGAAGAACTGGAAAAGGAACTGAGGGATATAGATCATATAGCCTTAGCTGTGGAAGCTGACTGTAATTCCGCAGTTAAAGAAAATAACGAGAGAGTCTCAAAGCTTCAAGTAGTTACTTCTTACAATATTTCTAAAATTAAATTGAATTATGACAAGTTTTTTCATTGAATTTATTTTCACCCAGCAAAAGTTAGAAAATGCAATGACTCAAGTGCACGTCTTAGAAGGAGAACTGACCGTTGAGCGTAGAGAAGTGCAAGAATTAAGAGCAGATCTTGATGCCTGTCGACTGGAGAAACGCAACATTCAACGCAACCTGGAATCTACATTGGATGAGAAAAAACATATGATAAATAGAATAAACGAGTTAACAGTAATTGGTACAAATGATTTTTATTAACAGCTTTGTATTAACAAATCATTCGTTGTATTTCCTGAACAATTCATGTATAATTTTATAGAAAAGAATTTAAATGATGAGATAGAACGACTGGCCAAAGAAAATGAAAGACAAAGACAAGATATCGTTCAGTTGCAGTATAGCAATAAATTGTTGAATGGACAAATGCATACGAAGGAAGTGTTACAACCTGATGTTGGAGCTCATTTAAAGGGGATTAAAGAGAAATGGAAGCATAATGGTTACATTACAGGTAAGTTATTCAATAAAGCACGATCTAATGAAATCTAGAAATATCTTAATTGTGTGATAGATGAATTGCAACGAGAGAAAATGAATATGGAAACACGATTACAAAATGACAAAACCGAACACAAAGCGTCTTATCGACCGTGTAATTTGTGCAAACGTGGTACTTCATGCAATTGTTCTCCTCCAAATTTCAAAGACAGTAACAAAATGAAGGTAAAAAGTATGAATAATTTCGTATAAAAATTGTTCATTATCAAATTAATGCATTATTTCGTAGAATACTATTGAACGTTTGGAATATGAGCGGGATATTGCACGAGCCGATGTTGAACGACTAATAGAAGAACGTGATGCATTGCGTGAGAGATTAAAGGTACTTGTGTTGCCCTTATAACACATTATAACATAACTATGTAATAACACACTCACTCTCTGCCCCAACACTCTGGTTATATTAAATATCATTACATGTAAGATGGCAGCAGAAGCACATACGTCCGAGCAACGTCGACTGAGAGAAAATTTGTCCGAGGTAGAAACTCGTCTGAAACAGGTAGAAAAAGAACATCAAGATCTTCTCCTTACGCAAGGAGCACGGAAAGCAACGATAACTGGACTGAAAGATCAGTTAGAGGATCTACGAGAAGAGCTGAAGCGAACCAAATCAGAACTGGCAACTCAACGTACACAGTATTTCCAACTTAGGTATTTTTTTTTCCTCCTATAAGAGCTAAGAATATTACTTGATTACTCATAGACATGTCAAAGCAACTACCAGATTGTACATTCATCAACGATAGTAACATTTAACATTATATGTCACCAATTTACCTTGTACGAAGTAACTTAAATCGATATACGTATTTAGGGCACTGCAAGATCAGACTGATCAGGCACTGGGAGACACTCAGAATCAATTAACACAATCGAAGTCCGAATTGAATAAGGCGTTGGAACGCAACAGAATGATGGAGCGACAGCAGCTTCAGTTTCAAAATCAAGCGGAGGATTTACATCAAGAAATTAATCATTTGAAGGCGACTATGGCGCACTTGGACCATGAAAAGGATCAGTTGTTAGTGAGTAATTCACACTTTTTTAATTAATATGTACAGTATTACGTAGAATGATCTATATTGTAAAACTAACTTATTCTTGTTAGATGGTACTGGACGAAAAGACCGAAAGAATAGCTGCTCTAGAGAGGGAAATTATGCTAAAGGATCAAGTGGTGACAGGAAGCGAGCAGCAGTTTCGTGAACTGCAACATAAAAACGAGTAAGTACCTCTTTTGTATTCAATATTTGTTACAAAAAAGTGTTATTTGTCAGGGAGAAATTTGTTATACTCCCAAAATATTCGTATAAATTATATTTACAGCGTGATCGTTGAATACTAAATATAATTCTATAATACCTGTGATCCAGATATAATTAAATATTTAAGTTACTCGAATCTTAATCAAAAGGGGGGTGGTGTACAAAGCTGGACTTTTCGAAAAAAGCTCCGCATAAAAATGCTTTTTAAAATAAATAGGAATACTTATGACATCTAGGCGGGAGTATTAAAAGTTCTTTTTACGCGCAGTATTTGTACAACACTATTTACACACATTTTTCAGCACACAAGCAGCTCAGCTTTTATATCACGGACGTATTTATGGGCGTATATAGTCTTTCTTTTACTTAAACATTGATTGACTTCGCTCTTTCATTAAGAAACCTCGCTAAACTGACTGTAGGTGGCTGACAGCCACCCGGAGAAAGGAGATTGTTACTTTCTAGTTCAGAAACTTTTGAACTTTCTGTCATCCTCGTGTAACCAGGTCTGCATTCACACCTAGCTCTCGGTTCCGATTCCTCGTTTTTCCACAAAGTTGGTTTCGGTGTTCTATTAGCGACCAACCATTCGCCTGCCGTGCAGGGGCCCTGCGTATACAATTTGTAACACGTTTTATTTATCACCACCATCCCTGGCGTTGACTCGCAACTGTTATTATTGTCTTCCGAGCACTTTTCGGAGTCTCTAAGCGCATTGGTGCATCCACATACACCATTGTAACTGATTCCATCGATGGATGGTCGGACATTGTGATCGTACAAAACAATCTGGCCACTTGGGCATGGTCCCTTCGTGCCCACTTTATAACACGTTTTCTCTTCAGGGAAATATAATCGTCCTCGTTTACAAGGTACAGGCACACATGTAGTTGAATTTATTAACATATGACCATGTTCGCAGGGTCCTCTTGTATAGAGTCTGTAGCAGAATCCATCGTCATAGAGTACATGATCCGGTTTACAAATGCATCGAGCTTGAACAGTGTCTTCGTTGGCTATTGTATTCGTTATAACAAACTGATGTCCTTTTAAGCATGGACCAATACCACCTATCAATATATTCATAAATTATTTAAAACCGAAGTCCAGTGAGGAGAACAAATTTTCGTTACGGTCTGTATCTCACCTAACTGATAGCACATTCCTGTTGGCTCATGATAATGAGGTAGTTCGTGCTGGCAACCACATACACTGCCTGGTAAAAATAATTCTCCGGGTTCTGTACATGGACCTTTAGTATAATGTTCATGGCAGCCTCCTATGCTTCCTGGCCAGTGATACCTTCCAAGTTCGCCTGTCGTTGAACAGGAACACACTGCCAGTCCATCTTCGTCTACAGTAAGAAGTTCACCTTTCGGACATGGTCCCCTGGTGAATTTTGGGTAACACTTGTTATCCCTAGGCCAATACACTTCTCCTTGTTCCGGGCACGGTTCTGGGTCGCGGCAGACACCCCATCTTCATTAGAAATTACAATTGTTTATCGCTGTTCGCGTATTTAAGACGATTTGTATTATTTTAAAATCTAGATGTCTCTAGAGTCGCATAATCGTTGGATTGATCAAATACCGTGGCTTAGTACTACCTAGATTTTCCAGATATTTCTGGTACCGGAGCAAAGAACTGTCCCCTTGGACAGGATGTTCTTGTGTATATCAAATGGCAGAGAGCATCTCTGGGAGACTGTGCAGTTCCAGGTGGGCATCTGCATTCTGCCACTGTTCCGCCCCCACCTGCAGCTGGTCCCAGTTCCATTGTCTCTGGACACGGTGGTCCGATCTGTTAAACAAATTCATTACATGTGGAACAGTTTGCTGGAAATTGTGAAAGACGTGAAGCAGAAATGTGTAGTTCCTCCTAAATCAGATCTATTAGGAGAGGGCGTGTGTTAGTCTCCAGAAAGAGAAATGCAAGCACCTGCCTGGAATATTTTGTAACACTTTCCATCCGGTGGCCAAAATAACAATTGCCAGCCACGTGGTTGGGCGGCGCAAGGATTACTCGAGGGATCTGCCCATGGCGGTGGCATTATCGCTGATCTAACATCGACCGTTGTGAACCAAATAGTGACCAGCAGATTCCTTAGAGCGCTGAAACATATTTTGGGTTCACGTTTAGGTGAAGTTATAGACAAGGTCAGGTCATCTGTGTTTATTAATTACAAGAATTTGACCGTACAATTTGCAGACATTAAACGAAATTTTGAATCAGTATCTTCTGTAGGTCGATCAGTAATGCAAAGAATGCTTTATAGGCAGATCGGTAATACAGAGAAGAAATGTTTTATTGAAAGGGAGAGATATTTGAACAGAGTCTAGTTTGATTGAACATGAGAACAGGGAAACAGTGATTGCGATAGAAACAGTTGTAGCCGTGTATATACGTATGTCAAGATCGAGGGAACGGGCGGGGAAGAGTAGAAGCACGACAGAAATAAAATGACCATACTTTCACTGTTTCACTATGGCAATGGCATTGTCCCTGGTAGCAGGGCACTGGATGACGACATGCGTGTAGAATAAGAATATACCTGGCTGTACGAACGCTTCGCGACTTGCAAACTGAAAGCAAAAACACTTTCCTCTTATTTCTCTTTCTTTGGTTCCGAGCATTCTAAATGACCGGTGGATTTTAAGCGGTATCCGGTGGTCGTTACTCTGATGGATCGAGGCGTCGTGTCTCTTTCGAGTGTCCACTCATAAGTGCAGCATTATGTTTGAACTGTATGGGTTCTTTATTCATCGATTTCAGGCGACACTTTCAATTTTTACCGGAACAAAATTGAATAGAAAACCTGAATGAGGTTTTGCATTCAGCTTGCAAGTCTACGAAAATTATACAGTGGTTTAGTAATTCTATTCAATGGAATCGCGAGGGATTGAATTCGCAGGGCAACGTTTGAGGTTATTACGTCAACAAAGTTGCGTGGGTTTTTTCTTCCTAAATCGCGGAAGCGGTTACAAGATCCAAAGGAACCTTGGCAATTAAATTCTAACAACAGTTACTAGGCAAGCTTTCTTCCATGACTTTCCACTGCAGCCGAGAAACGAGTTTTCGAGACCGCTTAATGTCGTTTTATTAATTACATTTTTTCATTCGCTGTTCTAGTTTATTGGCCCAATGGCGTGCGCTACTGTACGATTAAAATTCTCTTCACTGGACGAGTAGCTCTGTTTAAACGTCCCTTTGTTATCGGTACAATTTACTTCTTTCGATTCTTTTCTCGTAAAAACCTTGTTCGTATGACTAAAGTTTCGTATGCGCTAATATAACTCTATATGTAATACGGTGAAAAGAGAATTATCTTGTACAGTATCACTGTAGATCAGATGATATGAGAATCGTCCTGGTTGAAGAACTACCATTCGTTCCGGAATGTCGCGCTTCCTTTTCCGGTATAATTATTGCTTCCCACTGTCAAACCAGTATGACTAGTTTGCGCGAATGAAAAGTGAGAGCATTCATGACGAATTTCAAAAATGTGTGCGACACTGATTGATGATCTTTTTTTATTTCGTATTTTCATTGACGGAGAATACAATAGTTCAGTTGTTTATTAAATTAATTCACCAAACAACTAACACGAATCGTTTAATAACAGTCGTGAATACGAATATGAAGTACTATATTTCTAAGAATCGATATTTATTTTTTTTTAAGAACGATACACAATTCGACCGATCACGTAAGATCGATATGAGATCATCGATTACGATACCGTTATTCCACTCGCGATTACAATCGATATTGAACGAGCTGTTCGCGTGAAATTACAAGGAACCTGTGTTTCTTCTTCCCGGGTAATTGCTTCATTGTGACTTGGTACACATGAGAAGTAAAAGTGGACTGTTGTTCCAACTGAAATTTGTGCGGGAGCAACAGTCCTTGTTATTAATTAATCGGTCGCCGCACAATCGTCCAATTACCGGTTCACCGGGGGAGTATTACATAACCGCTTTCACGTTCACCGCATTTTAATCCACGAACCGTCAAGGTAAATTATCATCGTCGTAATCGCGTAACGAGGCAAACTTCGCGTAAACCGGTGACAATTGGGATGTCTACACTGGTATTAGAATGTGTTGTTTATCCTTTCCTCATTGGATGACTGAAGCTTGAAATCGGCTATACATGCGAATTTTTTTAGGTTAACTTTGGAACATTGAAAATAAGCATAATGAATGAACCATTGATCGTTCTCATTAACAGTTCTATTAGACTGAAAGTAAATTAATTATTGAATTAAACATATGTTACGCTACAGATGCATACAATTTGAAGTCCGTTTGTTGATTATCATAAGCCCATCCGGTTGACGTTGGGAGATCCCCTGTGGGGAACAACTGACTGTCAAAAGGCTGTAACTATGGTAACTGAGTTTGCAATAATGGCAGTATTCGGTGAAAAATTCTTAGTGTGCGGGTGGGTAGGTGACCCTTTACACCTTGTATAATATGTTGTTCGTACGAATTACTGTAGAGCCCGGCTGGAAATCATTAGTGTCATTCATTTCCGAGAGGTTCGGCGGTCATGGATGTCGCGAACGTTTGCTCGCATTGCTGTTCGCCTTGTAACGATGACAGACTATATAGGTACGATACCCACTTATTCGGTTCTCAATCTATTTAGACGGACAAATCGTGAAGTGGATAGAGTTCCTTCACCCTGCACAATGTTCCGAAAATTTGAAATAATTTTTAACGCAGTACATCTAACAACAAATCTTCAATTCAAAGCAATTCTTTTCAACAGCAGAAAATTTATAACCTGAACTCTATATATTGTGTTTTAACACCCCAGATTCAATTTTGTACAACTCCCTCTGGAACAGAACGCTGTCGTTTCAGTCGACAATTACAACTGGCTTTGTAGCATTTAGTAATATATTAGATGTTATATAGCAAACACAAATTTTTACGGAGTAAATAACAGAAATCGGAGGCAAACAAAATTTTGAGATTCAGAGTTTTATATGGTTCCAGGTAAAATAAAAACCTCGTCAAGCAACTCAACTCTTTACAAATTTATAAAATCCGCAGTAAATCTCCTCAGTCACAGATTCATGAAATAGGGAACTGTCTGATTCAAGAATTCAAATCTCGTAAAGGTTTTCTTCACTAATTTACTTCAGCGTCGAAATATTTTCGTGTATAAAAAAAAAACGTGAAACAGGTTAAACGACGTGTTTCGAGTGAACTCGAATCGAGATCCTCCGTTCTTGGTCTACTTTCCGACGCGCTCGACGTTTCCATGCTTGGCTCCCGCGTCCCAGCTCCCTTTCAGTTTTTACGAGCAGTTACATAACACGCGGTCCCGTAACACGCGATAAAAATCAAGAGCGTTATGTCAGTAGTCAGTCGTGTTATTATAGAGCAGACGCTTCATAGACCCGACGTTTCCTGTGACGATTCGACTTAATGCTCACGATACACTTCGTACGTACGAATTGCGATTGTTCTCCAACTTCGTACATTTATTGCAGAACAGCTTTCTCCGTGTGGTTAGATAAAGTTTAATGATTCGTTAGTGGACGTTTTATTACTTGAATCCACTTTTGTTAACACTTTTGAGACAGAGTATCGAGACACTAAACGCTCTTGTGTTGTCTCGCCCGAGTAATTGCAACATGGTTTATGGCCGGGTCCTAACAGAGGGCGTCTTTACATGGACACACATGAAAGTGACGTATGCGCCTGAATATGTATAGTACCGTAAGGGCTAGGTTAACTTCGCCAATCTTCTTTGTGAACGTTCAAATCTACACCCACGAGCAAACTCGGCTTCCGCTAGGGGGAAAAAGTGAGGTAGGTGAAGGGCCTTCTACCATTTAGTTTTGGGAATTACTGAAATTTATGTCAAATTAACATTCGGTTTAACATTTATTTTAGTATTCGAAATTAATTTATCAAGCGGTAGGAGGCCCTTACCCCAACATTATTTTTTCCCCTAAAGGAATCCGAGTTTGCACGTCAGTATATAGAGGTTCTTAGGTGTCTGTCAATTTTGAATTCTATTGAGTAGATTCTGTATACTATTGTGCTAGATCGATGTCTACTCAGAGTTGTTTATTCAAATTGAATACCCCATTTAGGATTAGGATAACTTTCGTTGAATACAGTTCCTATGTTGGAATTGGGTTTGATTTAGATTGAGTGGTGAAGAGTATCTACTCAAAGAAATTCTATTAAAATCTATCGTAAAGATCACGTCGTGACATTTGCGCGGGAGAAACTGGACGACCTTTTCAAGTCTGGCATTGTAGTTGTGCAACGGCTTTATCTATGATAGAATATTGAAAAGTGCAGAAAAATCTAATTAATAAAACTTAAACAATATGCTGATTAGTATTTAGGTTTTCGAGGTTTTACAGCGCAATATCCTGGAAAAGTAAACGATCGGTTGGCCTTTTAAGAAATGCAGGAAGGAGCAATCGAATTCCTTTGGTAGCTCTCTATGGTGCGTTCGAGTTTTTAATTACGCCGGTACATTTTTTCACCGATATATTCCGTGCAGTTAGATAGCAATTTTACGTTTTGCCATAAAAACTCATATAAAGAAAAAATTATTCACTTTGCATACACTTTTATATGTTACACTTGCATAAACATCTGCAGTCTATATATCACATTAACCTAATATACACTTTTCTACACTAATGGGAATTCTGTCATGTCCATTGATAAATTATTACCGTTCTTACTTCTGCGTCGTGTTTACAGTACTGCAGTGAACACCCTAAACGCTATCATGTAAAAACAATTACATTGCTTTTGACCACTGTGTAAGAAAAAGGTCGAATCTTAATGAAGGACACAATATCCAAACTAATATGGCGGCCCCATATCAGAATGTATTGTACTCGGATAAACACGATGCATTGATATGAACTATAATAATTTTTCGATATTTACAATACTGCAGATAAATACGATGCAAAATTCCCTTTAGTACACAAAAGTGCATAGTGGAATAATGTGGTATATAGACCGCAGATATTTATGCAATTGTAAAATATACAAATATATGCAAGTTGAATAATTTTTTCTATGCATGAGTTTCTATATCGGAACGTAAATTTAGGTCCAACCGGCACGGGATACATCAGTGAAAAAATAACAGCGTGATTAAAAATCCGAATGCGATCTTTACACAATTCCTGACCAGGCCGCGTATTCTATAGGTTCATAATATTTGCACAAGAATGCAATAAGCATAATTTATATATAACAAATAAAACAAACATAATACCTAACAAGTAAAATAGACAGTGAATGTTACATACAACATAATATATAACAACAGACATAAAAAAATTAAATTCCAATTGCATTCTTCTCGTAAATAAACTACCAAAATTATAAATTTTCGTTAATGTCTGCACCCTGTGTTCGTGACGTTTATTTCACAATCTCTTTTAAACAAAAACATTAATAATGTATTTAGTTGAGTATACTCTACGATCCACGAGTATATTCCTCCCCCAAAGAAAGGAAATACGTTTCCGTGACTTACAGTGAGGGATTCATGGTGGCGGGTATGTATCTCGTCGAAGAAGAGGACCGTTCACGAGTTATCACATATCACACAAAGAGGAGGATATACACGCACTGGGGGGTTTCACCGTGTCCTTTTATCTCGACCGTTCGACATCCTGCGTATCGACACGTAGGAGACACGCGAGTAGCGAAACGATGCTGCCGGCTCGGGCACCGCGTTCGGACTGAACAGGACTGAACATCGACGACCGAATCGCCTCCTCCCGCGGACTTCACACGGTTACCTAACTTGCCCCCGCGACCGAATCCCTCGGTTCACCATCCGTCGTTCCTTTTTTTGGTAGTTCAGACTAGGTGTAAAACCGAAGGGAGAGGGGGGTAAACTTTTTTCTGCTCGTACCCCGATCTTCTTTCCAGGATCCGGGGATTTCGTCGATTATGTAAATTGTAAATCATCGGTTTTGAGGTTAGATAATCCTGCGATATTATGTCGACACGTTCCGTTCCGTGAACTCGATACAATATTATTGGGTTTTCACCGATGAGAGTTGTAGGGTGATTTAAAGGTTACTGTGCTTGATGAGGATTTTAATATGTAACGAGTAGAAAGCGTTGGGTAAATTTCAGTTAGATCATCGAGGAAATTTGTGCAATATTGATCGACGTGATTGTTGCTTGAATCACTGTCTACCTATGTGTATAGACGGATCTTGGAATGACCTGGGTCACTTTGACCATCGTGTATTTCTCTCTTCACGTACCATTTTCAGATAGTTTCCATATTCTATTATTATCATCTATATTTAGACTCCAGAGCCAAAGTGTATTAAGTCACATTTTTCAAAATTTAGAGGTGAGGACAATGAAAGGTTTAAAAGTCTCGTGAATTTGGAACCGTTCGGTGAGAATTCAGGACTTTAGATTGTTCGGGTCGGGTTAAGATATGGACTTAATATCACTTCTACACTATTATATTAAAAACTAAGCGACTTAGAACGAAATAATTTTTACGAGTGAAAAATTCCCATACAAGAAACATGTAAAATGTCATCTTTAAAATAAAGTAGACTTAATACATTCTGGTTCTAGGATTCAGATATATATGTATCCTAAATTTTGTAAATCTTGAAAACACTGGCGACCAGTGCATCGTGAAACAGAGTCGTTACCAATACTCCCGATGGAATCCACGAAACACAGATTTACCAATGGTGAAATATCTATGCACTCGCGATATGATCCTCCATAAAACACGAACAACCTTTCGAGCCGAAGAATTCTCGCTGTACACGGTTGTTACGAGTCCGAGGAATCGTCTAAAAACGGTACCTGTCCGCTGGATACCGTCCCCGTATCCGGCTCCGGTATCTTTCTTAACGCCTCCGAATCCGCGAGCACCGCCGCCTAGAATGTGTCGAGGGAGCAGCAACTATCGGTGCGTGGGCTTTCGTAACGGTCGATGTAGGTACAATGGGGAATGAAATCAACGAACGTTTCCCAATCCCATTGGAATCCGCTCGATCTAGCGGCAACGGTCTACGTTTTATGTACGGTTTTTTTTTTTACATAATAGGTACACCCGGACGCGTTGCAATACGCACCACCAGTGTTGCCAGTAGGGATGTCCGATACCGATTCGATTCATCAGAAGATCGATCTTTTGAAATGATTTTTCGTTGCTCAATTTTTCTGTGGATCAATTCTTTTCTTTAAAAATCAAGAACCGATTTTTCTTCAGTTTTTTTTTTAATTTTACGACTTGATTATTTGATTATCATTGTGTTTGTGTATATGTATATATACCATCCTCCTTACACCAAACCGATAAATATGCAAATTTCTAGTTTGCGGTTGAGAATTGGTATGAGTATCTTATTGTGTTCGTAACATGTAATAACTCAATACTAATAATACTCTGAGCTGGATTATAGAGATTAAAACGAACACTCATCGAGAATTTACTGTATTAGTATGGTGTGCACAAGTCGTATTCGTCTTATGTAGTTCTACGTGACGCCATCTTTTCCCTATGGTAAGGAATTCTCCCGGCAACGCTTGCACACCACGGCTCCCGAGCGGATTGTAACATGGATTCCCCCAATTGCGAAATATTTCGCGCGATCGAAATCTTCCGTTCGTGGATCGACCTCCGAAAGGTCGACAGCGATCGTGATCGCCGCGAGAAAGGAGCATCCGAAGGAAGCTGTACTTTCGTTACGGGCCGTTGCATAATTCCGAAAGGAACCGAGGATCAGGCCCCGGCGGCTCTTGGGGTCCAGTAACAGGGAAACGCGTAATCGATGTTTGAGGTTCTTACTTGGAAACCCTGTTGCGCGACCGATCAGGGTTGTTGCGACAGCGAGAGGCGCCGAGACCCGTCAACAGGCGTCACTCTTTATTCGGTGATGCTCAGAAACTACAGATCTAGAATTTTTTAGGAGGGTTTTGGGGTTATGTACTTTGACATTAATCTACCGCAAGTTCTGGATTCCATCTTGGTTTCTGTAAACCTTGCTTCGAAATATGGGACTCCGGTTTGATCTTTCACGGTAGAGTAGATCGAGGTGAACCAAATGGAAACGATTAATACAGTAAATCGTCGATGAGTGCTCAATATGAAAATTTTATCAAGATAAGAAAAGGGGTTCCCCTTACCTCACCCCACCCCTCGAGTTCCTATCCATAGATTGGAAGGTTTGGCTATGGAGTTATTCAAAATAACGAATAAAGACGTATTCGTGACTAACGAATAATTTTTCGTCGAATAAAATCGTTGTTCGGTATTCACGAATAAATCATGGGACTTCATTCGAAATAAAATTTGCCCAACTCTGCCGGATACATGGCCGGATAGCACGAAAATGGCGCTCGTTCAGAGATTCAGAGCAACAGCAGCCAGGTCCAGAGTTTCACAGAGAGATCACGTAATCTCTAGACGGAGACCAAACAGGAGAGGATTACAACGGTTCTTCCTGTTGGCGGATTGTGCGAGTCGGCTCCCACGGCGGCGACATCCTCCGCCGTGTTTCGAGGAACCGTGTAATGCCCTTTGCCAGTAACGGTAAAAGGTGAACGGCACCACGAAAAGGGCGTCCGTTTTGACATCGTGACACGTACGATAGTGTTCTCTGGGCGCGATGATCGGTACAGACCGCCGTGAGGCTTGTGTGAAAGAGGTTAGGCCGATGCACTCGACCTCTCGGGTTCAACGAATTTCTAGCGTCGAAACTTGGGACGTTGACTTTGCCCCACCCTGATTCAGGAATATCATCTGTATACTGTCCCCTTCTGGTTTATTCTTTGAGATTAATAGGGACCAGAGTAGTGACGAAAGTGTTGGATCATTTTTGGAAGAAGCTGGATGATTTGGAAAATATTTCGAAGGAAACAAATGGTGTCCTATTCGTATCCTCTACGTCCTCTGGAATTTTATATATAAGATCGCTTGAAATTTCCTTGTTTTATATTTTTATAATTTTTCGGAGTTACCGGAAATTTCGAGTTTTTCTATCTCTCCGAACGAACTTGAACCAAGTATTCCATCAGATGTCCTGAGAGCATCGGTATTAGCTCCCAAACAGATATGTCTGTGATGTTTTTCCTTCACAAAGACAATATATGTCTCACGATGGCGGTCAGAAAGCTTCGAAAATTGTCACCGCCTGAAAATTATATAATTTATGAAATAAACTTTCGAGAAGGGGAATAAAATCGTTACGTAGGAAACCTTTACTGTCGTTCCCGAGATATGACGCGGCAAGAAGCGATGTTCAAGGAGGCGGAATCCGTTGCAGTAACCGTTTTCACGAGTTCTCCGAAAGGAATTCGAAATCCTCGAGTTGCGATCGAGACCGATTGCAGTTTGGAATACTTCGACGCGTATGCAACGACGCGACCGGGATCCGATTTCAGGGACATTCTTCGGCGCGTACGAGAACGAAAGTTATACGTCTTGCTCAACGACGAGGGTCTAACGGACTGAGACACGGACGTACGATGACCTTCGTTGTGTCGCGACGGAACCTTGAATTCGATTCGACACGGATCCTCCTCTGCCCCCTTTGTTCTCACTTCTTTCTTGTTCGTTAACCCCGTGACTATGTGGAACGCGACGCGTGAAATTCTGATATTGGAGTTCCCAGTGTGCACTGCTCCGATGATTCTTGCCGTCTGAGCCTTAATCTGCTTTGGTAGAAACGGCAAGAATCATCGAGCGCACTGTGTACTAGCGATGGCGATTCATTTGAATTGTATCGATTAGTGATGGGCGATACATTATTAATATTTTGAATATCGATACTTCTCAATTCAAGTATCGATACTTTCTAATTCAACTATCGGTACTTTTCAATTCAAATATCGATACTTCTCAATTCAAGAATCGATACTTTTCAATTCAAATATCGATATTTTGTACCGATATTTAATGTGACGATATAGTTCAGTATCGATATTTAAACTATTTGAATTGAGAAGTATCGATATTTGAATTGGGAAGTATCGATACTTTTCAATTCAACTATCGGTACTTTTCAATTCAAATATCGATACTTTTCAATTCAACTATCGGTACTTTTCAATTCAAATATCGATACCTCTCAATTCAAGAATCGATACTTTTCAATTCAAATATCGATATTTTGTACCGATATTTAATGTGACGATATAGTCCAGTATCGATATTTAAACTATTTGAATTGAGAAGTATCGATATTTGAATTCAGAAGTATCGATACTGTATCGTTCATCACTAGTTCCTGTTCCTGTATTTAACCACCCTATGAATACCGTTCTGGGCGCACCATTCCTACATACAATCCTTGAAAACTATGTAGGTATGTACATCCTTGTGGGATACCAAGAAGCAGAAACACATAAAAGATCCGTGAAAAAAATCGCGAGGAATTGTATAAATATTCAGATACATTCTAACAAGATGAACGACGGATCAGGGACAAGATTACACGCCGATTAAATTTATAACCACCGGATCAGATAAGAAAGACGATCCATACATTCCCTCGATCTTCGAACGGAAGGTAACTTTGAAAATCGTCGAAAAATCGTAACATTACGTAAGGGTAAAAAAAAACAAACATCCTTCCAAACTTTCGGATTTCGTAGAAAGTGTCTGGTTACGCGTACCTCGTTAATCGATTTAAATTACGATCAACGATCGGTATTTTGTTTCTGCAATTTCGTTTCGTCGAGAATTCAAACTTATAGTTCACCGTGAACTTACAAATATTTCTCAGATACCGTTCGAATTCATAAAGAAAAACGCGATTTTCTGAAATCCAAAAACTGGTTTCCACCACTGCTCGTTGGTAAATTAAAATTGAAATATTAGTAAAAATTTAATAATATATTTCTTTTATTAAAATGAAAAAATTAAGTCCATTACGTATGCCAATACTCATTTTCAAAACAAAATTTCACCGTTAAAGGGTTAAAATCGACGGTTTTGCGCACCTTTCTTTTTCCTACGGCTCGTCATGAGTATTATGCGCGCGTGAAACACGTAACCGGGGGAGGGGATCAACGTTGGTTTTCATAGTCGATTCTGCGGCTCATGAAAGTCTGCCTCAGAGGGGAAATGATTAAACCCCAGACGGTAATTAAGCTGGAAGGAAATGGTAATACCGTTGAACTTCCGTGGTCGTTTCATGGGTAAAGCCGACGCGTATGAAAACGGTACGCTCCCATAAATGTTATAAATCATCGGTTGGTTTTCTTTTCATTCCGTTTTTATCGCCATTCACCTTCTTCCGTGCTGACTCTCGAGCGTTGTATTGTATTTATTACAGATTAAATCAATTAAACGTCGGAACGAATAGTCGGCGCAGAAAGTGAAAAATGGCGGGAGAAATGGAAATCTTGAAATTTTTATAATCGAGTGGATTATAAGTTGGGGAAAGAAGAATTCTTGTTATACATTCTCGTGTTCCACCGTGGGAAATATTAATATACTAGTAAACAATATTAAATATAGAAACGTATGGTCTGAATATTATAGGTAGCTTATGACATTTTCAATGTACTGCATTCGCAGTGAGAACGGAATGTTCTCTAAACTATTGAATACTTAACTTGGAGTCTTAATACTGTAGGATAGACTAATCCGTAGAATAATATCCAATATTAGCTAAAATCTATAGAATAGAATTGTATAACATATAATAATCCACTAGACCAGGGTCTAGGCGAGAAAAATCTGGGGACTGGCTATCTGAGTGAACCAAGCATCATCCTAGATGTGTAATTACTAACTATTACTAACAAGTAACCTCCTACTTTTTCGATTACCTGTCAATATATTTTGAATTGAAAATATCTTCTAGACTGTTCGTTAGCTAATAATGGTGTAGATTGTTGGAAAGTTCGTCATAGATCCTCGATTTTCATTGAAACAAACCCTGATTTCACAAAAGTTTGTGGTCGACTTACTTGTACGCTTAATACTATGATGCAAGCTGCATAATTCTGTCAAATCTGACGACGCCTCAAACGATGCCGATTTTGCACCCCGCGACAACGCTTCGCCCAACCGGAACTCGCAGCTTTCTATGACACTCTCGCGCTCTAACATCGCGTCGGTCAACTTTCCTTCTACGAGTGCAAATTCCGCGACGAGAGAGAAAGAGTCACGGACGGAACCGACAGAGGGAACGAGAGACGAAATCTGGCTCACGTGGTCAGAGTTTACGGTGTATGGTCGCGTACGTCTTTTCGTTGAGCACGACAAACGAGATGACTCCTGAGATCTTCCGCGTTTCGAAGCGTCACGGGAAAACGTCGGGTAGTTTAGTTACTTTTTATTTGTCCGTTTCCATAAACATGGGAATTCCACCGTGGTACATTCTTCTCGCGGGGGGTCCGTGACACGTTCCAACTGTTCTTATCGCGAAGTCGTGATCGATTCGAAATATCGTGCTGCTTCGACGTACTCACGCTATCGATATTCTCGATCCGAATGTACCCTTGCGAGCAAACTCGGCTTCCGCTAGGGGAAAAAGTGGCGTAAGAGTAAGGGTAATTAAAATAAATGGTAAAGGTAAATTTAATTCATGTACTGAAATAAATGTTAAAATTGAGGTTTGCGAAAGATCTACCATTTAGTTTTGGGAGTTACTGAAATTTATGCCAACTTAATATTCGCTTTAAAATTTATTTCTGTACTTGAAATAAATTTACAAACTGGTAGGAGGCCCTTACCCCTACTCCGCGTTTTCCCCTAGCGGAAGCCCAGTTTATTCGTAAGGGTACGAACTTCTCGAAACAAAACAAAGAGCAAGTAGATTCTCATATTGAAAAATACTCACCGTCAATCTCCGATTGTCCTGTTGCACATTAGAAATTGATTTGTGGAAGTAGTGGTTGAAGGACTCACGATAGAAAACCGAAAGCTTTAGTCTCGAAAATAATGGATTCGAAGGATCCGTTCCAGAAATGCTACCTTGACCGAACTGCCTGTCGTGTGAGTAGGATACGTTCGTGAACGCGGCCTATCGAATTCGTGAACGCGACCTATCGAATCCACGAACACGATCCATCGAATTTCCGATAGTCCAGAGGTTATTTTCACTTTCGTGCGGAGGGAAAAGATCGAGGCGGTCGGATACACGGGAGCATCGGGGGAAGCTGCCTGCGCCGAGGAAGGACGCCGAGATGAGAGAAAGTCGTCTGTCTGTTCGGTGTACAGGTCGTTCAGACGTTTTCCTTTTCGAACCACGCCGGCTCTGCTCCCGCGTGTTACGTAATCGATGGACACGTAATCGAGAGATACGGAGGATCGATCATCCGGCAGACGAACACGATGCAGCGTGTTTTCGAGCGTCACTGTCGATTTCGTTCCCAATCGATGTTCCATCTGATTTGAAATTCAATCTCTAAACCGACGTTCATTCTTGTGACCTCGGTTATGGGATCACATTTACGATGAGCAACGAAGGCATTCGAATAATAGAATGGTTAAATGCTGACTACTTATAGGAATTATACAAATAGTATGTGGATCCGTATAGAATTGAAGATATATTGGAAGATATATATGAAATTTTTAGTTTCACAACAAAAATCAGGTGATTAGTAACCAACTGAGGTAGGTTATCTCCGATTCCCCCAAAAATTACATATTTCCCTTTTTCTTCAGACGTTATAATTCCATCGACACCAATGGTCGTCAAACGGCGAAATTCGCTGGAGACGCAATAAAAATGAAATCGGACCCTTTGACTTTCTAAGTGAGAAGATTCTGTTGGCGGCTGTCGATGATTGAACAATCGCGTTTTAATGACGCGACACGCGCAACGTCGTCGCACCTCGGGATTCAAACGTCAGCTTTCTACCCGATTCCTTCGTCCGATCCTTGCGTATTCCGCGTTTAGCTCCCTAATAATGCCGTTCCCGTGGCTACGTGATCCACAAGCGAAACCAGAGGATCCAGCCACGTAAATATATTTTTCGAGAAGGGAATTAAGCAACTGTCGGTTACACGATCGCGGGTAGACGCCTAATTCGTCGGGGCCTCGTGCCTCGTGCCCTTGTCCCCTTTTTGGAACGCTGCTTGCGCCACGAGAATTGACCGTGTGCAATTCGCGTAATCGAATAGACACGGATTAAATATTAATACTGTGACGTAGGCGTTCGTGACCAATGTGTTGGGTCCTCGTTTCACGCGACCTTTGGAAATACCCTCTTTTTATTATTACCCCTCGAACCGTTACCATTGTTTTCACTTTCGACCTTGAAATGACCTTAACATGTAAAACTTCAATCACCGATTAATCATTGTAAATTAGAATACAGTTGGAATATTGTTAATCGATTACTGTAAATCACTGTCGAATAGAACTGTGCAACTAAGAATTGAATTTTTATTTCCATGGCGACAGACTGACCATCGAGCAGGCCGCGGACCAAGAAAGGCGGATGCGTTCGATGCAACTGGAGATGGAGAATCTCCAACGACAATTGCAAACGGGCACTTACGATCGCGAAAACGCGATCCAAGAGAACCGAAGGATTCAGGACGATCTAGCCGCGTGTACCTGCGAGGTGAGGAACTTGCAACGTGAACTGGAAGCGTCCAGGGCGGAGTCTTTCGATCTGAAACGACAACTCCAGACCTATGTCAGCGAGGTGCGACGAGCTGAAGAACTCCTGAACAGAAAGGTGACTGTAAATGGATTGACTAATGAGAATGGGAATTACCCTGGCTGAATGGTAAGCACACCGAATCTGTGTACTTCAAACAATCCCCAAGGTCAGGGTAAAGTGGAAGTTAGTCGAACCAGAGAGGGGAGACTGTTTTTATTTCTTATTTGGTTTACCGAACACGGTTCCCTATTTACATGTCGCTTGGCACGGTTCGTACATTTCTATTCTATCTATGACCTTGACTGATCCAAAGGTGTCAATTTACATAGCCTGAAGAGTAGACTGTAGCCTTACCAAGTTTGATGTCTTTCTCGCTTTTGTTAGACAAGAAAAAACGTTGTAAGATTTTATCTATGAAGTGTGTAAGGAGACCTTGGGATGACCTTTGGCCAGAATGAATTTCGAGTAAACTCCCATTTTGGTCTCTCATCGTTAATAATTGTTAGCTACGCCCTGTAATTGAATATTTCATTGAATTCACAGGAGAACGAGAGAACAGAGATGCTGAATCACTTCAGGAGTCTCAGCATGGAGGCGACTGTTTTGGAGAACAATAATCACAGCTTAGAGTCCGAGGCAGCCGAGGCTAGAGGAGCGCTTCAAACGGCTAGGGATCGTTTATTAGATATGGAACGACAATTGGCCGACAAAGACAGTCTGATAAGCGGCTACGAGACCCAGGTCTGAGGTTTAAATATGTTTTGGCGTTCCGTTAGTTTCTTAAGTTAGTTAGGGGATGCTTTGCTTTGCACGACGCGAGAGTATATTGAATCTTAACTCGAGTTTGTATCCAATAGATCAGCGAGTTGACTCAAAATGTCGCCAGTATGGAGACTCAGTTGCGTCAGCAAGATGAACAGAGACACAGAACGGAGCACGATTTAACCGCCGTCCGAGATATCTGTGTAAAACTCGATCAGCAAAAGGACACGCTTATGCATCAGCTGGATGACAAGGATACGCTTAAAGCACAAGTAAAGGAACAAGTGAATTGGAGAGAAATGTGTAAAATATACGAACAAACGAATTGGTGGTGAACGCCTGTTCTCATTTTTTCAGTACGACATGCAGATTGCTAAATTGAAAACGGAACAGACAATAATCCAGGATCAAATGAACAGAGATCGCGCGACAGTGGAACGTTTGGAAATGCTTTTAGATCAGGCTAGACAGGAGTCCATAACTGTGCAAGCTAACAATCAGAAACTACAAAATGAGATGTCCAGATTGCAGACGAAAGTGTCTGAGCTCCAAATTAAATTGTAAGCAACAACGTGTATAATTGTTGTAATGTTTAACCGAAGAAATTTACCAACCCTGTTCTGTTTATTAATACTCCAGATCCTCGGAATCGGCGGAACTTCGACAATATCAAACCCAGGCTGCTGAATATTCCAAACAGATTAGCAAGCTTCGTAGACAAGTGACGGATGAGAGATTTGATCGTGTTCGAAAGGATGAAGAAAATCGGAGGTATTTATTTCAAAAAATATTCTATATGCATTATTGGAAAATTAGTAGATCCAAGGTGATCTTCTGGATCATTGATCTTGTAGACATTCAGAACCCTATGACGATTCGCCCGAAAAAACCGCACATCCAATCCCTAATAACAAAATTCCTAATGGGTCAAACGATACGGCATACAGGTAAAGCTATAAAATACACTAATAATAATCCTAAATGTGGAAGTGGAAGTCTTAAGTGTAAGGTTGTCAATGTAGGGAGTTGTTTAATTTTTCGTGTTGTTAGCAAATACTTTGTTCTAATGATATTTTGAGCTACTACAGTTAAACTTAAAGCCTAATTCAATTGTGTACCATGATATGAGCTTGAAGTGACTATTACTTTCCACTTCTGCACTATTTTATCCTGTCATATCTGAACATTGACAAACGAAATTGAACCTGCCAGGCAAGTTGACTGGCTGAAGAAACCTTATACCTCGACTCCCAAACACTCCCACACTCTTAAAGCTGCGCGACATTCCTTTCCGTTGGATTGCAAGTGTGCACCCTCGAAAAAGGTTTCACAGAATGCACCATCGAATAGATTGCCAAACCTATCTTCTGTTTCGAACAACCAAGCAGATGCCTCAAGGCAAAAAAGTTCTAACGCTAATAAACATTTATAGTTGTAATCATATATAAACTATTTTGTAATGGACTGTTTCATTTAATAGCAGTTTTAATATAACATCGCTTTTTTTGCACAAAGTAATAAATAAATGTCGTAGTAACTTTTCTTGATGCAGCGTATTGTAACTAATATCTTTCAAAAACTACTTCTGCTTAATTTCCACGTGATTTTTTTTTTACTTGCAGGTCTTTAAATTCAACACCTGACAGTATTAACGTAGATTTAAATGTGGTTATATAAGAGTATCGCTTAATCATGTCTCGATCGATAGATATTTACAGAATGAAAGAAATGAGAAGTATAATACCACCGATGACAGCAACAGAATGAAAATGACGAATTCTTTTCCTGTGTCGCGCATCGCTTATTCGAATGAGTCGAATAACTTTAAATGCAACTACCAAAAGGAAATTCACAGTGATGTTCCTTGCATTAACATAATATTACGCTCAGACTGTGTAATGAAATCAACTCAACATAATTGTCTGCAAAAGGGCACTAATCCAAATGAGAATAAAATATCAACCATTAATAAAAATCCGTCTGATCTAGTTAGAAGAAAATTGATGTATTCGGACATCGAAATAATACCCCAAGCTGCACCAATGACGTGTAAAGGAATTACAGAAGCTTCAAATGTATGTAACAAAGTTAAATGTGATAACATCAGCCACCAACAAATAGAAAAATCCATGGATTCTCATAAAGAATTGATGGAGGAGACCTATCCTGTAACAAAATTGGAAGGTACTACGAAAACAAGAACAGATTTCTTGTCTAATTTTGAGAAAGTTCACAAACCCACCATGGAAGCCAATTTGAAACCAAGTTTGAAACAAGCAGGTTTAACAAAAAATGATGTTTCAACCAAGATCCTATTAACACCTACAAACCAAAAATCACACAAAGAATGTTCTTGTGTATGTTCTCTTACAACTTCTTATTCTAATAAAAATTTGATTAATGATAAAAAGATTGAATCCAAGCAATATTATGAAAAGCATAGGGCACCGTTGAATTTTGATTCCACTAATTATTCTACGTTAAATGCAGGACAAAAATGGAAATTTATAGGTATAGCCGAAGATTTAACATCCCCAGGCAATGTTGCTACAAAAGAATTCCACCATAGTACACCAAAATGGACGCCTCAGAGTACCATCGCAAGAAATTCATCGGGTGAACACTGTGCTCCCTGTTGCACTAACATAAATCACGATTCAACTAAGTATTCCACATTGAACATAGGGCAAACAAGAAAATACGATTATTCAACCAGAGATGTAAATTCGAAAGACAATACTACTGTTAAATTTCACCATAGTACGCCAAAACAGGTACCCAAAAGTACAGTTTCAAAGAGCTTATCGAACAAAAATATTGAAAATTGTTGCACTGCTGTGACTTGTGATTCTGCTAACTATTCTTCCATAAATTTCGGACAAGAAACTAAACATGTTAATACAACGGTGAATGTTAAATCTATTGCAACCATTACTGATAATTTTTTGAAACCGCATACAAAATTTTCTCATAATAATGTTGGACAACAACCTACAAACAGCACTGCTATGGATACTCTAGAAGGAATACTGCTGGGAATAAAAAACCTCGGTGATAAGTCCATGGCGAAACATAGTGTGCACGATTATCAGCATAAAGATGTGAGGTGTAAAAATGTGGATTGCAATACAGTGACAGACTTTAATCAATATTCCGTTTTGTCGTCCGAGTGTTTGAGGCCAGAATGTATAAAGATGCTGGAGGAAATCAAGGACTGCACGAAAACATTGGAAGAACAATTGATAATGATGAACAAGAATATGAAAGTGAAAAAAAGTAAAGATAGTTATTACGGTAAACAGCGAAGGGATATAATTACACAGAACCCGGAGAAGGAAAATGTTTGTGTGCAGGAACCCAGCCACGATGATGTTAGACATTTCAAGTACGTACAGGGTCACCAGATAAAATCGAAAATTAATCTCAATCCTCAAAAAGATAAACTCCCAGACAAAAATATTCAGCGAACAAACAAAAAGACAACATGGACAGAAGAAAGTAAATGTTGTGGTAGCGAACAAGGGAAAAGTCAGATTCATAAGAAACAGCTTTACAGATCCGATGATAACAGTAACTCTAATATGAACCAACCTAAAAGTTTCAAAAAAGGACAAAATGCACAAGATCAGTACACAAGTTGTGCACCTTGTGCTTTTGATGATTCGTATTTCAGGCCAATTGCTGCGTCCACGTTTAAAGATAAAAGTTTATTAAACAACAATGAATGTACGTGCCCTTTTATTGAGCAGACTAGTGTTCTATCTCGTAGAAGCTCACAGAGTAAACGAGATAGGAGAACTACATTGAATGAATTAATTAGTTACTCTTCAAAAAGGGAAGAATGTAAAATTAGTTCAAGAAATGCGAGGAAAGTTGAAGAATTTTCATATTGCCCAGAAAAGGCTATTGTAATGTTACTTTTAACGAGAGATGTAAATAATACGCATCTGAAATCCAGATACAAGAAGTTAGGTCTTACGAATTTTAAGCCGAAATGTATTATTGACTCGTGTATCACGAGTGATCAGAGATTAGTAAAATGTCCATTGCCGAAACGTAAATGTCAGATACCCTCTGTGTTCAGACAATTTAAATCGGTACAATGTAAAATTGGAAAGCACAGTGAATTGTTCGAAAATGCCTGTAATCATTCCATGAAACAATCAGTAAGTAATTGCAAAATGTCAGATTTATTAGCCACTGTTTGCACGCAGTCATCAAATTTACACATTACAACTGCCACCTCAGTTTCCTGTGTTACGTTTCGTGATTACTCTGCATGTTGTATTAAAGAAAGGGCAGCAAGATCAGGAACTTGTGCATTGAGTTGAAAATGAAATTAAGATTAACGTGCGGTCAGTTTACAGTATTTAACATAAGTTATTATTTTGTATCAAGAGTGTAACTCTTAGTATACCTGAAATGATTCCGTGCATAATAAAGTCTGTTTATAAATTCAGGCAAAGCCTGATGTACTTGTAATTATGAATACTGAATTTGTAAATTCACGGGAAGAAGACATCAATTGTAATACTATAAAACAATTGTATGAATACTTATTGAATACTAAGAATGAATTTTTAATGGTGTGAATTGTTGAATAATATAAAATTGGTAGTGATATGTCCTGTAATCATAATTTAGAGATAAAATTGTAAGATGTTAGACTGATAAATTATAAGACTGTAATAATGTATAAAGTAAACTCTTATTGTATTGTGGCAATGACTGATACTTTAAGAGAATAGCTTATTTTATTGTACTACGTTTTATATTTGCCTTACTGAATTAATAAAGATATAATTTGTTCATGGAACAAGATACTGATTGATGATTTCAGATTGCCTCATTTGCCTATACTAACAAAATAAATGTTTCGATAAAGAAACTTAAAAAATGGTTGACCAAGAACATATTATTCATTCATAAAAGTAACAGAGAGAGATAGATGTGAATCCTCACAGATGAGCCCACCTTATGGTAAGGTGTCGAAGCTTCACGCAACAAATGCGAAGAGAGAATAAACATTCAAGCGATTTGTATGTTCAGTTTTTAATAGTTTCTCCTTCATATTCAGTAATTTATTATATCATTCTTTTATTCCTTTACACATACGTTTATGATCTCGATGATCGTACGAAACGTTGAACATGTAAACTAGGTAATTACAAATAATAAAAATAAAAAGCCTCTCAATAAGATTTTTTTTTTTCTCTTCCTTTCTAAACGTTCAGCTATTCGATTTGATTTTATGTATATATGTATATGTATATACTTGTATGTATTTTATATATATACGTATGTGTGTGTGTGCATAATTTATATATAAAATACATAATAGAGGCTCGCACAAAGTTTTACAAGTTTTACGGATGTCGTAATCATAAAGGTGTTGGCTTCTTCGTTACAATCGGTGCCAGCCAGTATTTATTATTTCCTTTCGACATTTTCCACTCGCTCTCTCTCTTTCTCTCTCTCCCCATTTCAAACGTCCGCTGTTTTATCGACTCAATAATTACAAAAAGATTTCATACCTTGCAACTCCTACGTTTTGTCATAATCTATTATAATACAGAACTTTCTCGCTTCGCTTACGCCGGAAACGTATTTAATCTTACACTCTTAATAAGAAATTTATACAGAGCTCGTTAACATCGTGAATGAAATACAGGCATTATGTACAAATATTTATAATTATACATATATATGTATAGATAGTTTATTTCTTTTACTTCATCCAAGTATGATCGTCTTAATGGTTAGTTCGCGAACCCGCCTGAGTACTTGGGGCAACTCGACGAACAATACACACGCGATAAATGCGAAATATCCTCACAACTAATCCTGACCGTCTGATTATGGTAAAATTCCTCGGATCCGTTCACTTAACGTTCAAGAAACAAAAGTAAAAGGGTGACGTTTTCATTAGGCTGACGCGTAAGAGATGTCATTTTGTTTTCAATTTTGTGAATATATAATTGTATAACAATTCCTGTTTGATCGTTTATCTTTAATGAGAATTAGCTGAGAAAAACAAAGAAAAATCGTACAGCCAGTACTTAACACTAGAAAGTTTACAAATTGGTTTCAAAACATGGCTGGTCATTACACTTAAACGTAATTTCCATAAATTATTTTTGTATTAATTTATTAAACAGTATATACTGTGTATTCTCGCGATAAATAATGCATTTAAAAAAAAATGATATTTCATATGCACCGACCTAATACAACGAGTAATTAAAGACTACCAGGAAAAGGGATAAAATTTGGTTGATTTTCGTTCAGCCAACCTCGCGGAACAACCGAAATTACCATTTGATGGTAGACTTCTTCTAACGTTCATTTCTTTTTGTACAGCTTATAATACAAAGTAGTCGACAGTATTTCTAAGTTTACGAAACAAGAAAACAATGCGAGGAGACGAGAAAAATCTACTAGACTATGAACTATAAATTGTTTTCTTCTTTTAAAAACTTCTGTAAAAGCATCGCGATCAAGGTTTTTTTTCAATCGAAGGAGTCATACTGTTAAAAAATATAGAACACCACATATCGAACTTAATTGATAAGTAACCTTGCGAAGGTTAAGAGAAACTGAAAATACTTGCGAGTCTAGCACACACTGATGACCGGAAGTAATTCTAATCGACTGGGTTTTCAAAACTTCTCATCGTGATTTACTTTTTAAGGTTATACAAATGCGATTTTTTTGTGAATTTTGATTGTGATTCCAAGTCAAATTATCAAGACTGCGGCTGTTTCTTCGTTGAAAAGTGTTTCGCAGATTAGGTCGAAGAAAAATGGTTAAAATGGGAGCAATATTGGAAACTGTTCTCCATGGAATATGGCGTCCTAACAAGGTTCCTCCATTTTAGTTCTGAAAATTTGAAAAACACTGGCTTCAACGACATTTAGGCCTTTCTAATCTCAAGTATAAGTATACTTACACCTGTGTCTATAATACACGGACAAGTCGGAAGTAATAATTGATCTTTTTTTTAACCCGTTCGAATCGAAGTTGTGACTTTTGTGGGTTGCCTCGTCGATTTCTGTGTACCACGATTTTCACAAACCGGAACACGTTATTTTATTCACGTGTACAGACCATGAAGCAAAAAACGATTTATTTTCGATATGATGCGCTTAAAGGGCAATGTTATATCTTATAGAATATTTTGGACCCAAAGTGCAGCGATTTCAATATACTGAACCACAAACTCTTTTATTTTCATTTTTTTTAAGTGGAATGAATGTTTATAATAGGATTTTATAAAGGCAAATACGTCTTAAAACCAATAGTTACATAAATGTATCATTTCAATCTGACTGAAGTGAAAGTGAATTACAAATCGGTACGTATAAAGCTGCAGGCTCTTTTGGTCTAAAAACACTATAAGATTCAACACGGTTAACTCCCAAACTAGAAACTGATCTAAGGCAGAAGAAGAATTCTTAAAATTCACGACGGATTTCTCTCGGTCGGTGTACGTCAATGTTCAATATGTTTACCCTATATGCGATGCCTTACCAATACACGTCCGACAATAAGATTACTCGATAATAAAACAAAAGAGAGACAATAATATAGCCATGTAATTGCAATATGCAATTATAAGCTATTTTTCTTCGCCCTTTCAGTTTTTTTTTTGTACACGATTACTAAAAACATTTCTTCCGCTTTCTTGTTGAGAAAATAAATATTAATATTAAATTTGAAATATTATCTCCGTTTTTGTTTTTCTTTATTTTTGTTTTGTATCACTGATCTCTGCATCACTTCAACTACTGTCTTTCGTTCATGGTTTTACTAGGTTTCAGTACATTATTATAGTCTAGATCGGCAAATCGGCTTGCCTAGTAAGTTTATAGGCCTCTTTTTAATAATATGGAACATTGCCGTGTCATTTCTTTTCTTCTTCTTTGTCTTCTTATTTTTTTCTTCCCGTACTGCCACTTTTTGACCACTGTTCCTTCTTTCTCTTGTTTCAACGCACAAAGCACACTGTTTGTTTTTCTTTTCATTGCAATTCATTGCAAATCTCGTAATCTTAAATCATTACTTCTCTGTTTTCTCTTTCTCTCACTTTACACTAAAATTCAAAATAAAACAGGTTGATCGGTGCTCGCAGAACATTTAAAGAGCTTTCTCTTAGAGGCCTGATTCAAGAGGTCACCTATGGCTACTGCTGCTTTGATCGTTCATATCGTATAGAACTTGTGCGATTGTTCTTGATGATTCAACATTACTTAATGCCACACCCGCCAAATGTGGTTCATACGCTCTAAGGTGCCTGAAAAAAGAAATTAAAAAGTAACAATCCTCTCGTTAGTAGGGTTTGCTAGAATAGAACGCCCTTAGTTTATAAAATTATATTAATCTGAATAATGAAGAATATGTCCTCACCTTCTGCCATGAGTTGAATATATGACTAGGTTTCTGAGAATAAGAGCTGCTGTCAAGCGAATACTTTTGGTCACAGGACCTTCGTTGTCATCCTGGTAAACAAGCGTAAAGCAATTTAAAATTCGAAGCATGAAAATCTTCGAGTATTAAATTGAAAATATATACATATAAAAAAAAACGATATCAAATAAACTAGTCACACTTTTTAATTAACGTCACAACAAATGTGTACAGAAGTATGGCAATTGTTTAATGATGTTTGAATTAATTAGTTGTAACAGCTTGAACATTAGTGAAATATGGCTGTGAAAACAAAATGATAACATTGATTTACAGTTATCTTACATGAACAGTCCGTATAAATTTATTTAATGTACTGGAAAAAAAGTGTATGGCTTTCTATACTCATAAATCACTGCAACAAACATTAAACCACTTTTTGTATAAACATGTATCATGCTGAATATGTAAATTACGAAAATGAAACTAATTACAAGATGCTATATATAAAAAAAAAAACAAAACGAGAATACATCCGGCTGAAACCATTTGTAAAAATACACACAGAAACCTTGTGAATGTATATTTTAGTCTGGTTAAACAAATTGCAAATGTTGAGTTTTTAAATATTTTTATAGTAAAAATGTTTATATATACAATAAACAATATTTCACCCTTGTCAGTGCATTGTGTTTCATTTGTAAAACAAACTAGTCCTCAAAGCTACAAACATTAACTACCGTAATTAGTCTAAAATCCTGAAAACAGTCTCTGGAACTAGAATTATGTAAAAACAATTCGAACTATGTCCAAATACAAGCGCCAATGCATTTTGCTTAATTTTGTAAACTAAATTCTCAAATTATAAATTAATGATTTGAAATGATTCCCTCCTATGTATTATAAGCACAACAAATGTGTCCTACGTTGTTTAAAATAAAAAAAAAAACATTATACCAACACCCTGACCATCATGAGCACTTTAACTCTGCATCAACACATAAATTACAGCTGCGCTAGCTACTAAATGAAAATAAAATGAACTCCATGCTACAATATTTACGTATATATATACAGGATGAGCCGCTCAAGCGTTGTGTTAAATGACTCATTTATCGTATTATGCAAAAAAAAAAATCCAAGAAAAACTGTCTCTGCACTCTCAAAGACAACGGGGACTATTTTCTGACTTCAAGCTATGATGTGGAACTTACAAGACATAACCTTCAAACAGTGTTCTATTAACAGAAAGTTAAAGCGACTTTAACGTTTTTATTAAGCTTTTCTTAGATTTGTTCTTGTAACACTAAAAAACAGATGAGCTATTTTAGGCGAAACACTTCAGTGACACTCATACACTGCGTATCGAAGAACATATAAAGATTGAACTTTACAAAAAAAAGTCAGCACGGTGCGAAAACAGAAGGAAAATAAAGCGCAAAAAAAAGATGTAGGCGGCTGGTAACAGCGCACAGGAGCTGTGGCTGTGAAATGGATCATGAATCCCTTTTTTTTTTTCAAGTCTGAACACATTTTTACCTGTTCTGGCGGAGGATTTTGCCCAGGTCTGGGGGAAGAAGAGCTTGAGATGGCTGCAGCGGGCTTGGTTGGCCTTTGCTGCTTCGCCAAGAGAATCAGAAATTTCATTACATTAACAAAACTCAACAGACTCTGAGAACTATGGGGCTAGAAAGGATTCCTCGAAATATCGCGGATTAGATCTTTCGCGTCGTTCGTAGGCTATCTTGTATAACATTTTCGATTATGTTACAATGGTAACAGAGTAGCGCTTTGTGTTTTCAACTCTCTTTGCTAAATTCATCGATTGACTTGACAGTCAAGCGATTGGTATCGTCGTAACGAGTATATATGCGCAAAATAAAATTATTACTAACCATCAACTCCTTCGGATTAACGAATTCCAAGGCGTGCCGTTTAATAGCATGGAATGCTGCGTTCGGTGCATAGCCAGGGTGATGAGGGGTTGGTGGTGTCGACGTGGAAACTTCGGTCTTTCCGGTCACCGTTAATTGTTTCCTTCTCATCGACATTGTCTGCAAAGAGGTTCAATCAGGCGATTAATTTAATATCCCAGAAGAAGCAAACTATTCAATATAACCACTGCCAAGTGAATCGACGTAGTACTAACCTCTGCGTTGCAATGCCTATCATACAAATGTGTCATTAACGAAAACCTACGCCTTTTCAAGGCATCGCAACTCGCCCAGAGACACAATATTTCTTCCCCACCAGTTGGACAGTGTGCTTCACACACGTGGAGGTAAACTTCGTGTGGTGTTTTGAATTGCCTGTAAGAAAAGTATTACCTGAACACACGTTTCGAAGAGACTTACGTGTCCTTTAACTACCGCCAAACAAAATCACGTCTTTGGAGAATCGGGTTTCACACGTACGTTGAGAAATATTCGAATTACCTCAAACATCCCCGCCATTCACAGAGATATGCATTGGGATCGATTTTGATCGTGATAGTCTTGTTCTCCAGCTGGTTTTGACTCGTAGACGGTTTAGATTCTGGCTCCGTGGAAGTAGAGGAATTGACAGTCTTCATTATTTTGGGGGGTTGTTTCGCGGGCAAACCGTGCGTGGCAGCCGCTTGATGAGGTGTGGTGGGTCTGGTCGGGGGTGGTGTCGATGCTGGAGTAGGCGTCACTACCCTGGATGGCACACTGGTCGACACTGGTGTCTGCTGGGCCATCGCGGGGATCGTAACGGTCACTGTGTTGGGATTCGTTTGTGTTACCGAACTGTTCACTATTATGGAAGTTTGTGGAATTGTGCCCGACGTTGGAACAAGCGGCGGAGGTATATTCCCGAGCGCGGGACTCTGTAAAATGGGACGGGAGACTTGCGTGACGACTACTTGTTGCCCCTGAGGCGTGACCGCGACCATTTTTTGTTGGGTCGGTTGGGCGGTCGCTTGTGGTTGCAGGATAATAATGGTCTTCGCTCCTGTTCCTTGTTGTTGCGTCGTCTGAGCTACCAGAACGGTCTGCCCTTGTCCCTGAACCAACGTCGTCTGCGGTTGGGCCAGAACGTAGTTCTGACCGGGAACACCGCCAGAAACGACATACTGTAATTGACCACCGGCCCCTTGTTGCAACAGAACTTGCGGCTGTGGCTGCGCTTGCCTCGCTTTCATCGAGGCAGCTGGTATTAACATTTGGTTATTCGATTGGATCGTTTGTTGCACCACTATTTGTCTAGGAGCTGCAACAATAAGTTGCTGTTGCGGATGATGTTGATGGTGTTGTTGTGGATGATGTTGATGTTGCAGATGTGGAGCCTGTTGTAGATGTGGAGACTGTTGTAGATGTTGAGACTGTTGTAGATGTTGAGATTGTTGTAGATGTGGAGACTGTTGTAGATGTGGAGATTGTTGTAGGTGTGGAGACTGTTGTAGGTGTGGAGGCTGTTGTAGGTGCGGAGGCTGTTGTGGTTGTGGTTGAGGTTGTTGAGGCTGCTGTTGCAGTTGCGGCTGTACTTGTGGCTGTAGTTGTGGGGGTTGTTGCTGCAACTGAGGCTGCGATTGGGGCTGCGACTGATGAGATTGTTGATTAATTTGATTCACAAAAATGTGAGGCTCCTGTTTTATCGTTGGAGCAGGTTCTTCCTTTACATTTACATTTTCGTCAAGATCTGTCTCATCCTCTATACAATCCGCAGCCAGAGCCGCGTAAAGGTTCGCGGCGGTAGATGAGACCGTCGCCTTCTCGCTATCCTTATCGTCGTCCTGTTCTTCAGACTTTATACTCGATACTGTCGATTCTGCGGTGGTGGAGTCGACAGCGGGATCCGGTGACATGGTACCGTTGGAATACTTCAATTTCTTAATGTCTATTTCGTCGGAGTCGCTGGCAGCTCTTTTTATCCCCCTTGGCGCTTCAATCAGAGTATCTTCAGACACCTCGGTCTGCAAAACGTTACCTTCTTCTACTTCCGTTTTTATCTTAATGTCAGTTGGAGATTCTTTTAGTACTTTCTTAATGTGATTCTCTACCAAGTCCATTCCTTTCTCGTTGATGGAATTCTTCCCTAAAACACCGTTCAAGATGGGCTCCTTATCGACCTTCCTCTCGAGCAGATCTGCAAGCATCATGCTTTGTAACGGTTTCTCTTTAGCTGTAACGCTGGACGAATCTTTCGACGACCCGTCGTCCTGTGCATCGATGTCCATGTTGCTTGGCGCACCGTTTAACAAGATCCCTTCGAAACTCGTCAAAGAGTTATCCTCCTCGACGCCAACGCCGGAACAATCCCTGCTACCACCTATCCCACTACTAGATGCTAGAGAATTGTTCGTCGAGTCTGAGTCCTCCGCAATCGATGTGCAGGTCGATCGTTGGGTTGTTTTGTTCACGACGGTCACCACCGTCGTCGGAGGCCGACATACTTTAAGTGTGGACGATATGTGATTTTCCATCGAGTTCATGAGCACAGAGGAAGAGTTTGTCGATGTTGCGATTTGGTTGACATTTTCATTATCACTTACTTCAGTCTGAAAGACAATATTTTTACTTATTATTAGAATAATAACGTCTTACTATAAGCTTTCTATTAAAAACAAATCGTGTGTCGCACCTTGTCGCAATTATTAGTCATAATAAATTTGGCTCCATTGAGCCTTTGTATCTTTTTGGCAGGAATGGGTGTAATAGCTGGTTTTTGTTTCGAGTTGACAGAAGTCTTTTGGAGTATTGTTGGTGTGGTTGTAGTCGCAGGTGACTGTGATATATTCGTTAGCTGTTGCTGCAGTAGCCTCTGCTGTTGTTGCCGTTGTGCAACCTATGGACACAACACAATTTAAATGCACGAAACGAGACTTTATCATTTTTCGAAAGAAACCATTTTGCATTTTATACTTTCATTGCTGATGTTGGGAAAAAAAATAATTTCAAACTCAAAAAGAAACACCATGCTTTTGTTAGTAAAATATAAACCATCAACGGCTTTGATTGAATAAAACCAAAATCATTATTTTGTTACATATTATTGAAAAGTTAAATATAATATGAATAACACACGCGAGTGAAGATCATAAATAGTTTCACTTGAATTCAAGTACCATAAAACTGGTATAACAAAAACCCAATGTCAATATCTATTTTAAAATGCAAAAACACAACAAGAAACTCATTGGAATTTAAACTTATTAAAACATACATTCACAGAATTTTCAAAATGGATCTTCTCCTGTAAAATGTCTTCTTAGCAACAATAAGTCTTATTCTTTTCAAACTGTACTCTGTGATCGCAGATATCTTTCGTATCAGATCATTCCTACCTACTTAATATTACATTTGATAAACATGCATTCAAATATTCTCAAAATTCTACATTGATATAAAATTTCCCATTCACGTGAAACTGCTTGTTCATCCTACATTTACATTTTATTCGAAGATTAACAGACTCTATATAACTTGTAAACAACTGTCATCGAACGTTATTTCACTAGACAAGATCATCAAACGATGTTAAGTCAAACAAAATTTCGTATCAAACACAACAATCTACAACTCGAGAAAAAAACAAAGAGGTAATACTACAGTTTTCATTGTTAATATACAACAATGATACCTGGTTGCTGGTTATTAGCTGGTTCGCACTGATGCTGGATGCGATGCTAGCAGTAGTGTTTGTTACACAGGCAGAAGGGGTAGACACACAAGTCGCAGCAGTACTGGGCATGCAGTCGCTGCTGACCGTTACCTTAGTAGCCAGAAGGCTTTTTATAATGGAACTGGATGTAGTACCACTTCGATTATCTTCCTTTGCAACTACCTGGACAATTTGAGACTGTTGCTGTACTTGCTGTATTTGCTGCGGTTGCAGCGGTTGTGTCTGGGATCCACTGGACAGTAACGCTTGACTCAAGTGAGGATGCGTAACTGACACCTAATCAACAATCGTCGTTATGAGGTGAGTACGATGCAAGTTTCAGGCACTAAAAATATTTCTACGATACTTATTTACTTTTCAGTATAAATAATAGAAGAAAAGATCTAGATACTTAGACTTTTTACTTGAAAAACAAAAAAACATTATAATCTAACGGGTCACTTGAATTTTTTGTAATCATGATACTTTATTCTGAGTGTGTTATGTACATAGTGTGTTAATGATTCATTTAAATGTAACGAATGTTCTTTAACTTTTATTGTAAGCTATTTAAAGAATAAGTAAAATAAATCTTGTAAAATGTAATGTAATGAAATCAATTGACTTTGTATCATTTTAAATTGAGAAGGCATAACAGCCAACACTCATCTGTAGGAGCGTTGTATTTATTACTAAGCATGGATCAAGTTAAATTAGCTGGCTTAAAAATTAACGTTTGTTATAATAGTGTAAGATAGTAAGAGTATCATATTATGCTATGATATAAAGTACTGTTGTCTGAAAAGAATTTAAAAATGTATATACGCAAGTGATGCAAAATCTACTTCAATCATGCACTAATAAAAATTTATAATAATTATTGATAACAAGTGTATAAAGATTGAAACTGTAAGCTCCAGTACGAGTAAAAATGAGATGTATCAAGCAAATCGTGTGTTTCATAATTCATAGTAATTTCTGTAAAATAATAATGTCTTGTACCACATACAATAATCAAAGATCCATGTACTAAACATTTCAGTTCAAGTTAATATTTCACTTTGTATTTATATTTTCTACTTCAAATTATACAAAAATGTTCTATATATTTGAAACAAATGAAGGCCTAAAATCTTTTCATCTTTTCTATGACTCTACATTCGCTAGATGTAAGTTTCAATGTACCACAAATGAAAATAATTTTAGACGATCACATGCTTCGATCACCTGGACTATATATGCACTGTACACGTTTTTACTTATCTGCATGCATTGTGTAACGACGGGAATACACAGGGAGATTCGAGGCATGCAAACTGTAACTTTGTTAAGGAAAGCCCATATTACAGTAGCACCGTGAAACCATAATCAAAAAACAAAGAGTCAAGGTCATGAGTGGTAGAGAGAATGGTAGAAAGCTAGGACTCGGACCCACCTGACTTTTAGAATCAACCTTGGTGACTGGATTTGGGGATTGAGTTGAAGTGTTTGATGTACTTGAGGGTGGTTTCGGTGGGGCAGATAATTGGGCTTTCAGGATAGGTGACGCTGGGGTGGGGAGTTTTTGAGGCCCAGATGCAGGATTGTCTAGGGCCGTGCTATCAGGAGCAGGACTAATACTCTTGATTGTACGCTGTTGTACGGGAAGCACCTTTACTGGAGTTGTGTTGACTGCTGGAATTGGAGCTGTGTTAGTCCCAACCGCAGTTTGGCTCGGATAAGTTACTTGGGGAGGTGTGGCCCGTACTCTGATTCCTTCGTAATACTGAGTACCAGCTGTTTCACCTTTCAAGGGATTTGGTCCAACGCTTCCGCCAAACACAGATCTGTAAAACGGATTAATTCAGGCGAATAACGTAGTCGGTTCAACCTAAATATAAATTCATATGAAAATGAACATAAACCAAACACGACCACGCAAGACCATATATAACTCCACGTCTAAAAAATCGGTGTGTCTGAAACATTCTCTTTTACAAGCTGGATTTTATAAATTAATCGTTGCGCGCTATGTTTAATACGTTGAATGCCGCGGGGGTCACCGGTCACTCCACCGTACGGAGTATACTTTTCGATATTATTAATATTGAACCATAAATCGGTAAACTTCTACAAACTAAATGCACAAAAGTATGATAACATAGGTGACTTTAATAATTTAATATAACATTTTATTCTTCTACGCTCTGTGTAACGAAAATTTCACTTCGACGCTGTCGCTGACATGTACAAAAATCCTGCGGCATTCAACGTGTTAAACAGACTGTAAAAAATAACATTTCGTATGATAATATTCCATTCACAGATAGCTACCTAACACATCTTGGAAAGTGAAGCGGCGCAATTACGCCTCTCCTGCCAATCTTTGTGCAGCAACCAAGATACTTCTTGTACAATTCCTCTTGTTCTATACGCACACCCGGCGCAGGTTCAAACGTAGCTCTCAACCAACCCAGAGCAAACTGTTCATTTTCCTGTATGATTTGTTGATGAGCATGTTGCTGTTGGAGGGAATTGTTTGTCTCCATTGTTTCTACACGGAAGACAAAAACGTTAGCAACGTTGGATTGTTTTTTAAATGAATTCCGCGACTGTATTTATACGTACTGTGCGTTGTAGATTTTGCTGGGGTTGCTGCTGGAGTGGTTGGCCGCGCGGCGGGTGCCGGGCTAACAGGGGCTGGTATTGCAGCGATTGTAGCTGGTGTAGTTGGTACTGATGGGGACACCGTTGCAGCCGGTGTAACTGTAGCAGCAATCGGAGTGTTCTGAGTAGTGTTTGCCGGCGGCGCTACGGTAGACACTGTCTCGATAACTCTCATCAGAATACAGGCTTTCGGTCCATAACTTTGCGCTTCTACAGTTACAAGGGCGACTAACGTGTCAATAGCCCCGCGTACCCGCGCGACGCTAGTACATGGCCTTTCACCCAAAGATGTCAAAGCATACAAACATTCCAAGGTATATACTAAAAGGGCTATGTCGTTCAGAGCTAAAAACCTGTAAACAGACACGACCTCTTCTATCATGTATTTCTTTGTACTATAATACATCTCTTGTTGCACTACAAGTGGTACAACTATACGAATGATTGTGGATGGAACAAAAAAGTTTAGTGGGGCTATGAAGAAGCTAACGAAACGATGGTATGCAGAGTAGCACTCGAGACAGAAATATCCTCTTTAATGATAGCACAATTATGACCTTATAGACATAAAACAGGCTGTTCTCGACTGTATCTGTTCCATCGACAATAACGTGTACATTATATGTTTATCATGAACATTCACCTGCATATAAGTTCATACACATTGTCTTCTAATCCAAACGTAACGATCTCTTCATTGCTGTCTTGTTGGCTAACTTTATTAAGCACCTCCAAACAGGAAATAACAATAAACCTGTCCTGGGATTCGATTCCCCTCGCCACACATGATAACACAACATCCGTTATCCTCTCGCCAGCCTCTTTTAAGATTATTTCATTTGCAATGTTCCCTAGTATGTCGAAGCCAAGCTGATGCAGGTTACTCCACCTCGCTCTCACGCACAACAATACGAATCTTAAGAAACACCGATTCCTCCCTAACACGGAGGCGTTCTCCGGGGTGAAACTTAGATTCCGTAATATGGACGCTATTTGTAACACCCGTTGACCGTACGGATCCTGCGTTCCAAGCGTTCGTCCAACACAAAACAAATCTCTGTCCTCCTCTTCGAACTTTATGGAGTTTTGGTTCTGGTCTTTTAGGATCTCGTCCTGAAGTGGATCCAATCTCGAGCAATCTGGAAGCACCTGAAACGTACAAGCAGATATATTTCTCCATTATTCTTTCAAATTCGATTCCGAAAGAAATTTTAGTACTGTAAATAAGCGAATACTCTGCAACCCGTGACACTTAATGAACTTTATTAGAAACTAGTGCTCATCACTGATTACATTATCACAGGGATTCAAAGAAAAAGTTGTTTGTCGATTAATTCCATAACTTTATTAAAGCCTGCGTGCGGATATTCCAACGTTGAGCAAAACCAAGCTTCCCTTTTAAACCAACACACATATTCTCTGCTTAGTTAAGAGGTATCGAATTAATTATTGGCGTCTTACCGCGTCGACATCCATCGACGTTGAGGGCTCATCGTTCTCCGTCGGCGCGGCGCTTTTGTTCTGTTTCTCCAAGATTTTCCGCCTGGAGAAGGTCTGCGGGCTGGTGGTCGGTTTCTTCATGAACGTCCTCTCGTTCGTTAGATCTATCACATCCTGGGAGTCGAGTACGTCCGACCAGAACGAGTTGATCGAGTAATTCCTCACCCGCGAATAGACCTCGATGAAGAGCTGCCGCGTGCCCGGCGAATCGAAGACGCCCGCGTGCGCGAGCAGAATGTTCACCAGACGGGGATACTTGTCGAGGCGCAAGATGTGCTTGCCCTCGTTCGACAGCAACGTGCAAACGTTGATGGCGAAGTCCTGCTCGTTCGGTAGCGGCGAGAGAAGGGATAGCGCGAGCTTATCGTAGTTAGATGGCTTGTAAAGGTCCGACGAAAGGCCGTTGTATTCACGAAGAGATTCTGGAAAAGAAACAATTACTTAAAGTCAATATCCCTATTTCTAATTATGTAAAAGTTCTGCTACCACGGAAATTGATTTTTATTATTTATTTAGGCAACAATCGACAAAAGAACTTATTAGATATAAAACGTAAACCTCCCTTTATATTAAAATTTAAATAAAAGTATTTTTTCAAACATTTTCACTTAATAATAGTTAATTTAATATGAAGTATAAAATGTACCTATTTCTAATCATGTAAGAGTTCTGCTATCGCGGAAATTGATTTTTATTATTTATTTAGGCAACAATCGACGAAAGAACTTATTAGATATAAAATGTAAACCTCCCTTTATAATCAAATTGAAGTAAAAGTATTTTTTTAAACATTTTCACTTAATAATAGTTGATTCAATATGAAGTATAAAATGTCCCTATTTCTGTTCAGCGAAAATGAAAGTGCTAACACCAAACTTTGTGTGAACAATATTAAAGATTCCAGAAGTTTCTTTTTTTTTTTTTTTACTTTAAATAGCAAATACAAATTTTTGTTTGCTTAATGGCGAGTATACTCGTCATTACAAACAAATGCCATCTTTTCATGACAAATATACTCGATATGTACATCGAAAGGGTTGATATCATTTATGAACACATGAATTCGGGAAGAACTGTTAAAATGACGTTCTAGGTCAAACGAGGTTGGAAAGAAATATTTGAAGCAGAAGTTAGTCGTTTTTATGAATCTATTAGCGCGTAATTATGTTTAACGGGGAAAATATGATTTGAATCGATAAAATCAGAATCAGTTACCAACGATTAAATTTTTGTAAATATTCAGTTCTTTTCAAATCGTGAACAATCCATTCGTGTACAAGAGTCGCGAATGAAAGATGCAAGACTGGCGACCTACGACGCGCTCCGTGCAACTGGTGTGATCGACAAATCACGAGTGTAAGTAGGTTGTACCCGGTCAGGGTCAGATTTCTACGAAGCAACGAAAATACCCTCCATCGGTCGGATGATCATCGTCTGTGATTTTTATCTGTTTAATCTAACTCATTTCTACACTAATTGATAAAAAAAGTCACTGTTCTTTATTTAGATAGAATTCGATTTAGTTTCGGTTAAATCCACGATATTCATAAGAATATGTGTATCGGATCCGTCTGGCGAGCATTTAACGAGTACCCGCCGTAAATCGTTCCTTTCTAACGACCCAACGCGAGCTCGAACAAACGCGAAACGTTTCAAAGAAACCGGGACCGAATTGCCGCCTGCGGAGCAATATTATCGCGAAACGCCGGTAATCTTTTCAGCCGCGCAACCGCGATCAATATCGCGTCCCCGGTGAAATGTTGCCTTTTGGTGGTGTCTACTGACTCCGAGGGAAAAGAAACACTGTTTTTGTGCTTGCAAATACACCTCAGGTGGTCTAAAAATATTTAGAAACTACTACTTAATTTTTATTTGCCAAACTTTACATATAAGGAAAACAATTTTTCCCAATTTTGTTTAATATTCTAGTCCTTTATTTATTTATTTATTTTACGGGGTAATTCCCATTAGAATACAAGAAAAAGAATGTAAACATGTTCATATAAAATATAAATTGGACGAATGATAAAACTTAATTAAACATAGTTCTTATTTAAGAAAGACGTATTCTCAACTTTTCTTTTTGAAAAAACGTATTACTACGTCATCCGACATCGAAGTGATATATGGACCCTCGACGACGTCGAATACCCATAAACGACCAAAAAAAAAAACAAGTTTCCTTTTTTATATTTGTTCCTACGGGGGAAATTTTTGATATTGATGAAAACGTTCGAATTGTAATTGTCGATCGATATCTATTGCGAATAAATTTCGATATCAGCACTAAATTCGTGGATTCCGTGCATCGGCACACCAGCCAGAGAGATCGCGTTTAATAACCGCAATTGGTGCTCGTGTAACGCCTATCAACCATGATTACTGTACTTCTATCCGCTTTCCCACTTCACCCCGAAGTTCGACTTAAAATGGAACGCGAAATAACAACGTCAAATCGAATTACGATTTACTCGAGGCGAAGGCTTCGTGGTGGCCAAGTTTTGCTCCGCGACTTAACAGTATTTACCTAACTTTCATTTTTTGCAATTCTGTCGCTTTTTTAATAATCTTTGAAACCACGAAGTAACCACTGAGCCTGGATAGAATGATATTTAACAGACTTTTCCAAAGAGACAGCGATCATTTCTCTACCAGAGTACGTTATTTTAGGTTAAATATTGTTTCCAGTTCAGAGGAATAATTTGTAATTAAACGAACGCGATTTTCTTCGTTCGAAGTGAATGAAGTGTACTCGAACGTTCGATGTGTAACTGGATTATTTCTCTCATTCTTTTCCGCGAGAACAACACAAACGGAGTAGAGTCCGACGCACGACGCGTTCGTTTTCTTTTCCCGCGTCCTCTCAATGCACTCGCCGTGTAAATGAACGGCTTTACAAGACGGACTCCGATAAGTGATATAGGAGTAATTTAAGCTCCTCACTATGCTTCGCCCTCGTTTGTAAACACTAAAGAATGCAGAGAAAAAGCAAATTGACTTTCGACACAACTCACGCTATTATCTTTCACGTGTACAGAATAAACAGTTAAAAATACTCATCAGAAGCGTTCCACAAGTTCTGCACGCTCGTTACTAAAATCATTAACGATAGTTACTAAAGTAATCGATCCTATACATTCCTCCACGAACTTTCTTTAAAGTCGACGAACACACCACGATAGGTTCACTCAAGTCACTGACAACATATATCCCGAACGATAAATGTTTACACGACTTTGAAATAATATCGCCACACCTTCGATATAGCATAAATCTAACAAACTCCAGGATGCTTATGTCCATGCGTATCTAATAAGAAATCTAAGCTTAAAAACGGTGATGCTGTGAATTACTCTGAACCCCACCCCCTCTATGATCTCTTACCGTTCTCCCTAGCGGTAAACCAACCGACCGATACAACAGATTAATCGGTCATCGGTAGGTAACCCGACAAAAAAACGAGCGACCTACGAAATTCGATGGAGTTTACGGGGGGGAAGAGTTTGTTTGCCGCGAAGTGACGCGGGAGGTGGACAGGGGGCGCTGCGCACGCGACGCTGCTAATTGGCCTTAAAGGATGACAAACGCTACTTGTAACGAGTTACGCAGAGAGAGAGGAGCGGAGGTAGCATGTGCAGTGGGAGAGGAAGCATCTCCCCGTGTGTATCGATGGCACGCGGCGGTCTAAACGTCACCAATCGCCAAAGTGTCACACGCGTAGAGTTGGAAAGGTTGGTTGGTGGGGGGCTAGGGATCGGGAGTTACGGAGAGAGAGAGCATCACGCAAGCGCCGAGAACGCTGTATTACGCCGGGGAGAGGATCGAGGACTCACGGAACACCTATCCCCCGCAAACGCTTATTGATTGTGACTCTCGCATCGTGTCTCTCGCACTCTATCTACCCTCCTTCTCGACCTTTTGCAGTTCCCCCCTTTTTTTTTCTTCCGCTTCTTTCCTTCCTTCTTTCCCACTGGTTCACTTTGCTATCTTTATTTCCGTTTTGTTTTTGGAGGTAAGATCCTTGTGAGTTCTTTTTAGGGAACTGTTCGTAATGTATAGATTCGCCTGCATCTTATTAGCGAAAGTGTTTTTCTTCCAGCCGTTTTGAATCATGTTGATGCGACTTGACTATACGGGGGATTTCTATCCCGGGCCGTCCAAACGGCTATTTTCAAGTGTCCGTGTACTATTTCAGAAATACTATCTAATAGCGTCATGCGGTTAATCATATTCCGCGATCAGTTTAATAAAACAATGTAAACTGCATTATACTCTGAATAAACTCTGAGTATTTTAGACATGTAAAACACTAGAGTATTAAGAACTACAAATTCCTGAATTAGCAGAATTTCAATTAATACATTTTAGTATATTGCATAGTATATATTTATTCGTTGAACGTGCCCGTAAACGAAGTGGTGAAATTTGTAGGTCATCGGATACGAGCATAAATTGCTATCGCGGCCGAATTAAGCAGAAGAAACGGATGCCGGGGAAACAAACACGATCGGCGAAGCTAGGCAGCGCGTCCGAGTACAAATTCAATGAGTACGCGTTGCGAATGCTTAACGAACGGTTTAGCGCGCGGCGCACGTCACACGCGAACTTCGACGCCTCTGGGATATAACGTTACGCATGAACGCGCGCATGCAACGCGAGAACAAGCCGGAGGAAGATTTTGTGCACGGGTACAACGAGATCCTTAAACGCGGGCATCGATTTTGTGGTGCACGCCCCATTATTTTATCACCGCAAATGACAGCTTGCCCGTGTGGTTGGATTACGATACACGCCACCGTCGTTATTGACATCAATCGAAATCCCTTACGGTCATTAGAAGTCCAGAAGCTTCAAACCCCATTTGTAGTACTGTATCTCTACTGCAACAATGCAACAATTTTTAGGAAATATTGGAAATTCAAATTGGTTTTTAGAAGGAGAAACAAATGCAATAAAATATGAACAGGTTTACAGAATGATGTTAAACGCCTGCTCGCCGCTAGAGGACACACAAAGTCGACGATTGACAGTTTACATTAGAAGACACGACTGATAAATTATGCAGTACCGGTTTTTTCCCGTAGATTCCGTAACTCTCGTGATTCAAGGTAAATACAGAATGGCTCATTAACAAAATCTTAACAATTCTGAGAATGTAACACGACGATATATCCAGACATCTACATCAGTGGCGACTAGATTCATAAAAACTCGAATGCAAGGATCTAACCTTGTCACATCCGACCTTTAAGATCAGGATTTTCCGTCGAGCTCAGGTCCACGACTAGAATATACAATAATAATACCGTGCACTCGTCTTCAGCTATCTCTCTAAAAAAAGTTACACCACCTCGAAGTTTAAATCGTTTCGTTCGTCGACAATCGGCCAAACAAGCAACCGGTTACGCGTTTCGGTTCGGATTCCCTACAAGTTACCGAACCGTTCTACAGCCGCCTTTAGTTCCTTTTGAAATGCAGCGTGCTGTTCTTGAAGGCGTGTGATATGTGAGGGGAGGGGGGCTAAAGGCGAAGAAAGGAGTAACGCGAAAAGAAAGTGGCGGGGGAGGGGGAGGGCTGAGCGGTTCTTGGCGCGACGAAGCTGCGTTAGTCGGTGGTACGCAAGCGCACAAAATATAGACCCGCGTTCCGACAGTCGGAGCGCGGCTACGGACGTGTATGCGCGGTTCTATGTGTGTCATGATTATTGCCCATTAAATTATCTCGTGCACGTTGTGCTACCCTCACCCCTGATACACGTTACGCGGAATATACACGCGTGTACCACACGTATAGGTTATACGCATCGCGTGTGTCCCTCTATATATATGTATACTATACATATGTATGTATATCTATATACATATCGTATATCTATATCGTGTACACGTACACACGCGTTTATTCCCAGCCCCAGACTGGCTCTCTATCTCTATATCCCTCTCTCGCCCCGACAACAACTCCACAGAAGCACGTCAATAACCCGTTGCCGCCTCGACATGCTGCGTATAGCGCATTTATAGCGGCCGAGCCCCGCCACCACGGCTGCACATGTGCTCTCCGCGCGCACTGCTCCGCCGGCAACACACTTACCGATGCTTTTTTTATGGAACGAGTTTCGGGGGGCTTTCACCTGTTTCCAGAGCGCCTCGATCCTCTTCGTCGGGAGATCCTTCTATGCGCGCGCGTGCCCGTAAAGATGCGCGTTAGGGTTAGGTTAGGCTAACCGCGGTACTTATTTTCTCATTGGTTTTCTTTCTTTTTTTGGTCTTTTTGACAGTACTATCCTTTCAACGGGGATCACTGAACAAGACTTGTAAATCATGGACGACGAGAAAGGACACGTTGTGCTGAGACTTATGATATAGTCATTTAGTCAGAAGTTAATCAAGGCGTAGAATGTAACTACAGGAAGCTTTTTTTTAAGGCTATGGGTCACTTCGACCAACTTCGATTAACTTTAATGAACGATTAAGATCGGTGTGACGCATGACTATAGCCCCCGCCGCCCTATTGAAGATTCCCCGAGGTCGAAGGGTGACAACAGTCACCACCACCGCCATCATCGAACGTCTTCAAGGTTTTAAAACGGACCATTTTCCCCCACTCTGCTCCCCGTTGTTATGGAGACCATCATAAAGCCAAATGCTACATGTATATTCCTTTGTTTCGCCCAGGATTCAGCCCTTCCACCGATTCATCTACATCGTTCACAATATATAACTAGCGCAGGAAGCTTCATTCTATTTGGGTATAAAATCGAAAACAGTTGAGATTGACTAGAGTTTCTCCGACTGAGTTTAACTAGTCGCGGGAAACGGAATTCTAAACGTATCGAGTGATCGAGTTACACACCGCCTAAAAGTATCGATATTTGAATTGAAAAGTATCAATATTTGAATTGAAAAGTATCGATATCTGAATTGAAAAGTATCAATATCTGAATTGAAAAGTATCGATATTTGAATTCAGAAGTATCGATATTTGAATTGGGAAGTATCGATATTTCAATTGGGAAGTATCGATATTTGAATTGGGAAGTATCGATATTTGAATTGAAAAGTATCAATATTTGAAATATCGATACTATATCGCCCATCACTAACGCCATCTCACGTGACTACGCACGAGTGTGTATCGACAGTAGCAGGACAAGAGCGGAAAAATACAGGAACAATGCCCCTGGTGTAAAACGCATTTGAAAGTTGTTCGAGCGTGCGGACGTGCATGCGAAATGTGCACACACATACACCCTGGGCATAAGTTGGTAAAAAACGGTATTGTCGGGGAACGATCGTAAATTCAACGGAGCTCGAGTCGGTGTGAACGCCTTGTTGCGGGCATCGCGTGACAAAATTGTAATTGGATACTACGGTAACGTTTCGTTACTCGTACACCGTGTAAAACGAAAGTCGCGAGCTTGGACATTAATACTGTCGCGATAACGATAAAGATTACGGTTTTGTTCTGGACCGAATTAACGTTGAGGCAAGAATTAATACTTAATATCTATCGTTTGTAATACTATTTATACACTTTTTATCTTTCATCATTTTCGCTTCCCAGATATTCAATTACCCTAACTATCGTCGTGTATGCTGACACTTATTAATAATAAGACGAGGATCATAAACTTGACTGGATTTGAAAAAAATTGAATGGTTGATTGACGGTACTGAAACACATCCTCTTCTTGGTTAAATACATTATAAAGTCAAGAGGGAACAGAATAAAAGGAAATCTCGTAATTACCTGCGACATTGTGTTGGTGATGATTATACGTAAGAGGAACAGAGTGTAATGCCCTGGCAGACCATTTTCTATGTCGGGAGTCCTCGTCATCGTCGTCGGCCTGCTGTCCGTCCTCTCCAAGAAAATGTACCTTCTCGTACCTATCCAGATACCTGTAATCAAAATTCACCACGGTTACATCTCGAAGAAATTAAATCCAAAACAAATACAGTACATCCTCTATGAATATTCGAAGGTTCTTCAGTACTAAAAGTTAGTCCCCAGGTGAAACCCTGACTTTTTAATGACGTTTAGCACGGCGATAGAAGTTCTTAAGCCAAGGCTATTTGTTTTAGCCACATATAGTCATTAGTTTATAAAATATTTCATTTTCACTGCCTTCGAACACTCATCAAACATTCACCGTAGCACATAAAATAACAAAAGATATTATTCCATTATATTTTCAATTATTATTATGCAATTTCCAATTATATCTGTCTTCTTCTCTTCGTCCTGCAAGAAGCCTTTCAGTGGGTAAAGGACCGTCAAGGGCTGCAAAGACAATGATTTGACAGTCTCCAATACCGAGGAAACAAAAGCGAACCGAACCAACGGAACACAAATGTATACAGTACGCGAAGCCTTCTCTGTTCCTTCGACGAACAGTATAATCGGCCATGAAAATACCAGCGGAACGTTCCCTTTGACCACGTCGACAACAAAGTATAATATACCGGGTGGAAACGATACAGAGTGAGCGGAGGGAGAAGAAACTCCTCGGGTCACATTCAAGGGTATGAAATCTGAAACCCTTGTTTCGGCTACTCGATACGCAGGTCGATACCCGTTAACGCAAAGAGAATATAGTAACGCTTTCGTCTACACTACAGCCTCTCTTTTCGTGGCTGGTCCACTTTTTCTTTTAACCCCCTCGATGCCCGACTTTTTTCCAGGTAAATACCAATTTTTTTTACAAGGGAGCAACATCCCTGTTCCCTAAGTATTAGAGTGTTCTTACGCTGATTTACCAAGCAACACAACTACACATTGAAATAAACACCAGATGTATGTATTAGCCACTCAAGGCCAGACTGGGGAAAATCCCAGAAGATCTTGTACATCAAATTTGGAGAAGTTTCTGAATCTAGGGATGTTCGATTTCGAATCGATTCTTCGGAGGATCAATTCCATTGGATAACATGTCACTGCGATATATAAAATATGCACATTAACAGCCAAAAGTATAGGACCAGGTTTGATAATTAATGAAAAAGGAATACATTAGTTTACAGAGGGTTAGTGAAGGCAACGTGTTAAACTGTTGAGAAGTGATTTAATTTAGACACGTAACTTTTATTTTGTCGTAATAGAATAATGAGTTGTTATCATGAAATCTAGTCCTATACGTTTGGCAGTCAACCTCTTCAGGGACAAATTTCTCAAGACCAGAAGAAATATTTTGTTTTATAAATATTAACAACGATCAATCAGTAGATTACCCTATTTTGTTAGGGAATTTCCTAGTGTATATTTAATCACAATTTCGGAATGATGCTTGAACCAAAGGAACGCTAAACGTACACATACGTGCCAGTATCCCTCAAGAGCTTAAGGTACGGTTTTACGGGACAGTAAGTCATGACACTAAATGTCATGACCTTTATCGCCGTGAAAGCTAGATGTTGCGTTGTCATGATATTGGTTTACACTGTCATACAGAGTCACGACCTTAACTATCGCATGAAAACGTACCTTTAGTGTATAGGTTAAGCTTCGTCCCCACTATGCCGCGGGGCCTGTCGCCACGTGCCAATGACATATCCCCATATGATCGGTTTTACCGGCCGGCATAATGGGGACGCACCTTTATACAGATCAATGGCACATCACCCAAGGGAATCCATCTTAGAATCGAATCGAAGTTGAACAATCCTAACCAGAAAATCACCTAGTGAACAACAGAACACCAGAGAAATCAGCAACTCCGTCACCTCTCGCGACTTCACTCAGGCTCCCAGGGTCAAGTGTACCAACGCACCCGATCCACCGTCCTTGGGGGTATACACACGGGCGTAGGATCAACGTGTGTCCGTGCGCGTCTCTATGAGTCCGCGGGTGTGTTACACGAAACCTCCGCGCGACGATCTCGCGGCGCGAGAGACCGACACACGGATCGACCGACCGACCGACCGACCGACTGAACCGTCGACCAGAGAGTACGACTAGAAAGAGAAAGATAATAATAATAAGGAAAGAGAAAGGTATAGGAAGGGGGGTGGGAGGAGGGGAGGGAGAGGACACAGAGTCGTGGGTGGGCGAAAGAAAGTGGTGGGGGTAGGTGTAGTGGATCCATTCATGCACCAACGTAGAGTACGGAAGGTGCAGGCGTTGGAGCACTCGGCCAGAGCCTGATTGGCCGTTGCTAGCTGCAGACTGAGCACAGACACACTTTGACTGCTACTGGTACCCCCCGGTCCTCCACGGTGCACCACGCTCGCTCGCTGCCTGTATAGATCGGGAGTAGGAAGCTGCTACTGCTGCTGCTCTTCTACTAGCGTGCCGTCGGTGACTGTAGGGTCCGGCAGAGGAGTCACGTGGTCCCCTACGCCTGGCTATGAATGAACCGCGCGCTCTCGGAACCGACACGCAACGTTTTTGAAACCAATACGCACCGACCGCGCTTTCGGAAATGACATGGACCGCGGCGCTCTGGCTCGTCGGGAAATGAATGTTCCTGCCGGAGGTTTCGTTTTACAAGAGGAGGCCGTGACATATGGGACATGGATTTTAATCAGTGGCGTATATGTTGCAGTGAAGGTGTAGTACAGCAACATATGTCTCCATGGTAGGTCCAACACTCAACTCGTGTTATACGAAACTAAGACCCTATATGTTAGACACCCTAAGAGAGACCACCTGCATATCTTGGCGGTTACTGGTGACAAAAAAAAAAACGTAGCAGACCAAACTTGCGCTGTATCGAAGTGCACATAATTTGATGTAAACAGTTTCTTGATAGGCGCACGCTTTTCAAATGGAAAGGCATGTTGTTTTACGTACCATCTGGGTATTATTGGAGTTTACCTAGTTATTTGGGGGTTTTCCCTGGAATGCCGTGTTATACGGGGGCTGATGTACTATTCGTCTTTTTCACGATGAATTGTACTGATCGAATATGGATTCTATATTGTGGACTTTTCTTATGAATATTGATTACCCTCGACGATATTCCGGGAATTACAGCAGTCACAATAATGGAAAAATCGCTCCTACGCGGTAAATGCTTGTGCACACACGCGGATGCAGAGTGGAAAGAAGAACTACGAATGAAGTGCACGATGATGAAAAAGAATCTTGGAAATTCCAATGCCAACTGCGAACTACATTGGATCGTTATCGATCGTGCTCACGTAACGATTCACCTTAAAAGATACCATCGTTTTTCCCACACATTCCCCGCCGTGAAACTTGCTATCGGTCGAATCATCGGGCACACATGTTTAGGAAGAAATTCCAGCGAGATTATCAGATCGGTAGCCGATCTCCGACTTACTTGTATATCTATATGATCACCGAGTGCCGGATAAGAGCCCTATAATCGCGTTTCGATGACTCACTGATCTGTCCAAAGTGAACGGCAATTCAATCCTCGTTTTATATTATTTATTATATCTCTTCTTTCTACTGAAACGGAAAAATACAGCCTGGAAAATCTACGACTCACACTGAAAAATCCAAGTTCCGGAAACCTTCAAATTTCTCGACCCAAGTCGTTCCCGCCAAAAGTACTACTCTAGGGGGGCTAGCAACCGACCACCGTATTCCAATTTTCTCTACCCCTAGGCAAAAATAAATACAGTGGACAACAAACCCTAATCGAATTCACCTATGTAATATATCGCATAACTGAAACAGCAGCTCAATCGAACCAAAGGATGCTGATGTGTCTCAAACCAAAATCGAGTGTCTGCACATTCAGAAGCAAACTCTACTCCCTCTAGGGGAAAAAGTGACGTAGGTAAAGGACCTCTTAAAACTGGGTAAACATATTTCAACTTCTAAAATAAACCAAATGTTGTCTAAAACACGTACCCCTTATTTTTGCCAGCTCACAAAAGCAATCGTCGTTTCATCAAAACCGGAGAGTGACACTTCCGTGCCTTCACCTTGCAAAAGGGTTTGAACACAACGAACTGCACGAGGAGAGCAAATGACAGAGAAGCGTCGCGCCGGCGGACGTTCGAAAGAGAACAAACGGCGGCAGCGCCGCGGGGCGGCGAAAGATGGCGAAGGACGCGGCCGACCAGGCGAAGAAGAATTGACCGCGTCCTTGTTTGCAAAGCGGGGCGCGCACACGACGCGCGGTAACAAGGTTGCACAGAGAGCTTAACCGGGCGAGAGAGAGGACAGCGACTCGAGGAACCCACGTGGTGGGTTGGTCGGTGGCGGTGGTGGCTCGTCAGCGAGGGGGCCACCCGAGTATGAATGAACGGCGAACCCGTACGTACTATACGATACGGAAAATGGTGGTGGGGCGTAGAGGTACCAGTCTGCCGATACGCCGCGGTGGTGCCTGGGCCGTGGCGGTAAAACGTCGTCGCTGGCTCTCCTACTCTTGCAGACGCTCGCGGACCGTCAGACATAATGGAACACACCGTGGCTGTATGACGCGACGAAAAGAACGGAAGGGGGGTGGAGGGGGTTCTTAGCCGGGAAAGTTGCCACGGACCATTTCCTCTACATCTCGAACGAGGATTCTCTTTTGATGCCGTTTTTCTGCGGAGGGGTGGTCATGGGTTTAGCCAGGTTATCAGTCCGGAGAGAGGGCAAAAATATTAATCGTAAGACCGTACGTAGCCAGACATACTTTATTTTGTTTTTAACTCCTTGCCCTATGACATCGAGTCAGACTCGTATTGACGACTGGAAAATCGATTCTACAAAGAATAATATTATTCGGTTTTCTTTGGGTCGAAGTGGAGTACCACTTTGCTGGTATTATTTAACTTTCACAGAAAAAGTACAGTTGCGATAAGTACTGAATTCCTTTCGTTTCTGGGAAACTACCGATAAAAATGTAATTAGGGAGACTACGAACGTCAAGAAAATCATAGGGTAAGGGGTTAAAGTCATAGATCGTTGAAAATGTATGCGTTTTGTTAATAGAGGCTGTTGGTCATGTTTCAAATTATATTGCAATATTAAATAGTAACTCTGGGAAGAGAGGGGCAAAATATAATTTTTTCTTATAGGGTGGAGCAAAAGTCACTATTTTCCGTCCACCCCTGTTTTAGTTGGGGATGATCTTCCGTGATAAGTTAACGAACCATTAAAGAAATGCAGTAAATACTCGATGAGTGTTTGAAGGCTTCTAAGCACTGAACTGGTTGAGATAAATATCATTCGAAATTCCCAGATAAGAAATGAATCCAAAGAAGAAACGAACTCATTCACCAGTTGTATCTCGCGAAATAAAGATTAAAAAAAAATACAAGAAAGATTGTAGAGAAGGTAACCTTTGAAAGGTGATTCCACGAAATTCAGCAAATTTACCAGTGGAATATGAACGCAGAAAGGGGTTCTTGGAACTCTGCTGGATAACTATCATCAAACACTACAGTCTCCAAGTACCAATCGGTTTTTCCCAGACAGCGTCATTTTCTTGTCCCGAAGAACCCTGTGATGCGTTTAACTAGAAAGCAGCTGTGACGTGGAGTAAATAATTGAAGACTTCCAACGACACAAGAAATTCGATACAGTGATTACAGACTCGCAACGATTAATCATACCCACGAAAGAAGGGACACACATTCGTGCATTCAGAAAGATATACATTGTTTATAAACCGAGTAGACACCAGCAAGAAGCGAAATAAGAGTATCCACGACGGTTACGCGAAGTTGAACGCATCGCGATTCACCTGCTCCTTGAAATGATGTACGATGGGGCGACCAGGACCCCTGAAATAAGGTGTGATCGATGTTGGTCTCGGTTTACTTACCTAAGGTAAATTTGTTTAAGGCCGACCCCGCTGTTCACGCAGCCGTTTGGTAGATGGAATTGTTCGCATAGTGAGGCCCACTCGTTTCTATTGTTCACCTGGAACAGAAGAACGAAATTAACAGTTAAAACTAATTTAATTCGCTGAGGCTTGATACTGAGGTAAAACAAGGTTGATGAATGATTAAAATTGCTGGGCAATCGTTACTTTTATTTCAAAAATAGAAAGAACGATAAGATGCTTCGAGTTACAATTGGATATGAGTTTGAAAAGATTCTAGTGAGTCAGCTACTGGTTCCGTTGGGTATTGTCGTAGATCAGTGTTCTGTTGGGGGCCCTTGAGTTAGCAGTATCCCCCCTCCACTGAAACGAAGAGAAGGTGAACTAGGGGACCAGTACAGGTAGGATAGAGACTAATAAAAATGGAGTGGGAGATCGTTAGAAGCGACATAAACACCTGACAGACACAAAGTGAGGTATATATACTTGACGATAACGAGATGGTGAGGTAGCAAACTCTGGAACCATCAGCAGGAGCTCCTAAACTGGGGTCCTAGGGATCAGAATTGACTTGAGCCTTTGAAGTATTTTCTGAACTGGTCTAAAAAGAAGCTAATTAAGCCTGCTTCTGAACAGCAAAGGGTGAAAAATAGATTTTTCCGATTGTCAGGACACCTTTTTCTTGGTTATTAGACCCAAACCTCTATTTATGGCCCTGTTAGGTTTACTACCATAATATCTTAATATCTTATCTCCGACTCTACTAATGGAAGTTGAATAGGAACGTGACAGATAGACAAAGTGGGATTGATAGGGGGGTCCAGTAGAACTAATAGAAATAGAGTAGAGGTACTAATAGTGGGTAAAATGAAACTGGTATGGCAACAGGCTAGGAATCGACAGGAAACTAACGGTAGTAATATGTGCGAAATAACCAACCCTCAAAATACAGTGCACGAAAATGGATGTTGGGTCCAAGCAACCTTTTCAAACTTATCTCGAACTAGAGGACGGGTCTGAAAACATTCGATGAAGTTCGAGAAAAATAACATCGTTGAAATTCGTAATTATTCTCGATATTCTTTAACGAGATTAGTTTTGCAGCCACGAATGCATTTACATAAATATTTATATCTGCTATCATTTAACAGTCAGTTGTCTGAATGGAAAGCGACGAAGAAGCCAGATGCACGTTTCGAAACGAAATTTCCAGGGGGGAAATCGACTTTTTCTTCCCTCGTTGAGTTTTAATGCATCGAGAAACGTTTCGAAGAACGATTCAGGGGAAATACGTCGTTCTAGGCTCGTTTGCGATTAAGAGTTAATGGGTACCTCGATGGTAAGGCTATTTTTAGCGAATATTAGTTCACGGCGCCTGGATACAACGCTCGGTATCTACACTTGTGTACCTCGTTCCTTTCCCTGTAGCCGATATTCTACAGTTTTCGAAGGCTGAAGTAACGATCGACAAGTTATTAATCCTCAGACAACCCACACCAATTAAACATGGTTTCATCTGTACATCTGCATCTACACTATACAACAAAAAAGTGTTATATAATAAATTATTACAAAATTATACCTTTTGGACAAGTCTTTTGGAAAGTGTGAATGATAACACATCACTTGCTATATAACACAATAAAAATTTTATATAACATTTTTCTTTGTGTTCTTCTAACAACTTTGCTATATAACTTGTTAGGCTGTATAGTGTAGACGCAGCTTAACATTCTTGTTTCAATTTATTTTATATGAATTTAAGATTCATTCCATTACGATAAAAAATGATTTCCCACTTTTGCTATTTTACCGTTCAATTTCTGAGGAAATTTTCCCCTAAACAATATGTTATTTGCTTTTATTATCAACATCTTAATCATCGAAAATTCCAAATCCGAATTTCCACTAGTATGGTGTTTACATGTGCTAAGGTGGGGTGTAGTTTGTGAGGGTTAAAAGGCGTTTTTGAATGCGTAAGTACACAGTGAGCCAAAGAAAAAATTCGATTTACCGTTCAGACATATTTCTGCTCCCCTACGTTCCGCGGAGCCGGTAGATTGTTCAACAACTCGTAAATGTATTTCAGCTGACCTATTTATAACGAGCTAACATACATAGGTGGTATAGTGTACTATTTATAATTGGAACACACACTCGTGAACCTTGCAACGTTTCAGGCTTCCACGAACCAACCGATGAACCCCGTGATGGAGCCACGGTATTTTCCTCGATATTCTTTCTATATACATCTGTCTTAATATCGCTTTCACCTGACAGCTGTCTACCTTCGCGGCGATGAAATGTAACGTTCTAGCCTCCGCACGCGTTCGGTTATCGGAAATTACGTTGTAAAAAGACAAGAAATAATTAGATAGTCAATACGCTTGATTCTATATCGAAAATATGGTGGAAAAGTTGTACTTCTGAAATATACCGTTCTGTACATTATTCAACAGTTCGCGAACTCTTTCCAATTTATCCAATCACGAGGAAATTCCAATTAGTAGGTGGGGAACTTCGAGTTTCGCTAAATCGGAGAAAGGAAACCAGACGTGTACACTGACGAGCAAACTCGGCTTTCGCTAGGGGAAAAAGTGACGTCGGGAAAAGGCTTGCTACCACTTGGTATTGGGAATTACTGAAACTCGTGCCAAATTAATATTCAAGTTAACATTTATTTCAGTACTTGAAATAAATTTACCAAATGATGGGTCTTTCTCTTACGCCTCTTTTTCCCCTAGTCGAAGCCGAGTTTGCTCGTGGATGTACAACGTTGACCAGGAGTACCGAGAAAGGATCGACGGGTAAATATTCAAAGCGCGACGGTGGCTCACGTTTACGACTCGGCGTCCGGCCAAGGGGTTTACGGTTCCCGTCGGACGAACCCGGTTGTGAGCGCGTGTTGTACCGGAATATATGTATGTATATACCCCGTGTGTGCGTGATCCGTCAGAGGCACGAGATGAATACCGACCCGGTTCCGAGGGGGGATTCCTGGTAGCGGGATATGCCGAGATAAAACGGCCCGGCGGGATATAAATTTCTTCGCCTCCGTGCTGAAAAAATAACCGACGACGACTCGTGTTACGCGGCGACTCGTTTGCGCAGATGTGTGTCGCGCGCCCCCATAGGTAGAGGCGGTGAAAATGCGCGCAACACGTCCCTTCGAAATGTGTGCACGCACGGTGAAAAAAAAAATGGAAAGAAGCTAGACGTCGCAAAAATTACGTGCGCTGGGACACGAATTTCAAATTTCTAATTAGCACAGTCGGGAGCTACAGGCTAGTTTCCGTGTACGCGTGTTTTAGAGTGGTATGCATTTGGGGCGATCGTTTCGATAGTCGTGTCTCGTGAAGAAACCTAACCTCAATCTACCGTTTACGATCTTACAGGATGATAAATTGCGTGTGCCTGCTTTATAGATTTATGAGCATACATAACATATAGAATTATTCTTCCACGAAGACCTCCAATAATTAACTACTCTGTTTCATTTAAGTACCACTCGGAGATCTGCACAGCACTCTCGTTAGTCGACGAAACATAATTCCGTCTGGAGCTGATATCTCCTTCCGGAACCACCGCGTCGCAAGCAGGGGGTTAGCTTATCGCGGAAATTTAGACACGCTCCGTTCCAAGAAGAGTTCATTCCCTCGAATCGTTCCCCTCGTAAAATCCTGTCTACAGCCGTGGGTTACCCAAAGGCTGGTTAGGCGAGCGGTGAAGTTCGAGAAACTTGCGCTTGAGCACAATTATTATCCGGATTACCGGGGACGTGTAGAAATTCAAGATTTATTGCGTCGCAGCGACATGTCTCGCGCGCGCTGCGTAATGTATTCTATGTGACAAGACACGATCGCCAACGATTTCCTGTTTCATGGCGGAAGGTTGGTTAGGTAACCCCCATTTGGGTGTCTGCGAGAGCTCGTGACCACCGAGAAAGATCGTAGAAACGAGACCATTACTTCGATATACACCGACACTGACGAGCACACTCGACTTCCGCTGGGGGAAAAAGTGAGGTAGGCGAAGGGACTCTTACCAATTTAGTTTAGGGTGCTACTGAAATTTATGCCAAATTGATATTAGGTTTAACATTTATTTCACTACCTAGGATAAATTTACCAAGTAGTATGAGAATTTTCTTCTACGCCTTTTCTCTCCTAATGAAAACTGAGTTTACTCGCCGGTATACAAGCTTGCTCTCTACAGCCCCCCTCCAACCCCCCTTAATCCGGCGCTGAGATGGTCCTATCTAATTTTTACAGACGAATGAGACAAAACACCATCGAGTGGAATAACAGGTAGATTACACTGTCAAGGTTTCTGGACCTCGGTTCACAGATTACTGTCAGTACTATTGGAAGCCACGTGATTAATCAAACTTCGCGGTTTCTAGGGGGAGGGAGGGGGGAGTGTTGGCGCCAGACAACGACGTGACAAACGCATGCAGATCGTTCGAAGGCGGCCCGCCCCATGTCGTGTCGCGTCCTATTAATTATCCGGTGAAAATAAAATTCAATCAACCAGCGAGCAGCAGCAGATGGTATGCGCCGGGCAATAGCCGGAGACGTAATGAAATATCGTCTCGGGAGGCGAGGCGGTGGGTAGTATTGCACGACGGCGCGCGTTTTGTTGCGAAGGAGAAAAGAGAAGCAACGCGTGCGGGGTGGGGAGGAACACACACGGGTCGTGAAATCGACGACCACGACGACGGACGGACATACTGGGTCAGTGCTCTCTGGATCCGCGCCCGTTTTCTTTGCTATTCTCGTCGCCGCGACGTTCAACCTTATGAATCGAGAATGTGGCGCCCCACCGTGGACGACCTCGCGCGATATCGTCGGCCTCGTCAAAGCCGCTTGGTGGCTCGACGAACCCGCCTCCTCTCGCCACCTCACGAAGAAACAAATACCACACGCAACACACAGTCAATGAACGTTGAGTTATATACGATCGGAACGGGATAAAATACAATATTGTCGTTTTCTAACCTGAACACAAAATTCCTTTTGTCGATGTGGTTAGGGTGACACTGTTCCATGGACAGTGTTAGGTTATGTGAGCATAGGACACTGATATACAGGGTGATTCA